CGAAATTTTACCATCACTCTTCTGTAATTTTGATATATTTTATATCATCACTATAGCTCAATCATTTGGGAACTTTTAATTAATGCGTGAAGTGGTTTATTAAACATTGTCCATGCTGCATCATCAACGAATTCTTTTTGTTATTTCACACATTTAGTGCAATTGCTTTAATGTAATTCAAGATTTTTACCATTCCTTGTTTTAAACTGCTTAGTGTATTGAATAATTTGCTTTGAATTGGAAAAAATGCAATGTCTTACCATTCCATGGTAATATGGGTATTCACCATACTGCTGTTTTGCGTGAAGCAATTGACGACTTTTTTGCAAAACGAGACATGCACTTGGACTGTTCGCCCGTTTTAAACTTTAAGTTGTCGGATATGTACTGAATAGTAAATTAGTTAGGTACTCATTATTAATAACACTTTATCATTTTTTGAGGCACATCATTATTAAATGTGTTCAGTAGGATTCTATTCTATTAGAATACTGTAAATCTGTTATATCAAATCACTTTCAAATAAGATTTATATTGGAAATTTAATTTACTTTAGTCATAAGTCAGCTGTGATTTTATTTAAGTTTTAATGTTGAATTTTATTTCAGGTAAATCACCTATTGAAGACTTCTATAATGGGTCATCACAATCTAGAGTGGTTCTGGCGAAGCCTAGACTTGGTGGTTTTGGATCCTCCAGCTTAGCATCAAGTTCTAATAAAGGATGTAATAATCCATTTGGTAAGAGAAAGTCATTTTTATGGTCTTAATCTATATATTATTTTATTTTTTTACAATATACTTCCAATTAGTATATAATAAACTTAATTTTTCTTTACAGTTCTTATTTTAGTAACAAATTCATAAACAATTGTGTTAAAAAATAATTCTATCTAAATGCAATGTCTAGACAATATGAATCTTGTATTCAGGTTCAATTCTGCGCCCCTCTCAGCTGAAACCTGCTAGCAATCCATTTTTGAAAGTTAATGAAGCAACTGAAGACCCTGAGGCTACAAAAGATAAAGAAGAAACTACAAGTGAAGACAGATTGAAGGAAACCAAACCTGAAGTTGAAGCACCTAAGTTTGTACCGTTAGGATCTGCTAATGTTACTCCTCGGACCAATACAGCCGCACCCCCCGCAGTACAGACAGCTCCAAGCTCTTCGGGATTTGTATTTGGACAAAATTTAAGTGAGAGAGTTGAATTGAAAGAAAATATCAACAATGGTGAGGCTACAACAACAACAACAGACCACACCTCTTCAAATGGTGCCACAGAGTTACTGTTCACCAGTGCTGCAGCATCTGTCAAGGAAAATCAAGTTAGTGTTATTTAAAATCCAGAATGCTTTAGCGAATGTTTTTCATGCTACTATTGTGTTAGTTTCTCTGGTATCATCTTTTTGCTGGCTTGATACTTATTACTTTTAAAATGTTAATATCTATAAAAACAAACCTGACCTGTGATATTTTTTTGGGTAAATTATACATTAAGTAGATGAGATAACATTGATTTTTTTAAATTATTGCTTAATGTATGTGAATGTTATCTTAATGCCATTGAGGGAGGCTTATGTTCAGCTGTGGGCATCATTTGTCTGCGATGATGTGATTGTTTGTTACATAATCACTCACACCTGTTTTTAAGCATCTTGCTTGGAATTCATTTCTATTGAGTTACATGTACAGTGTGACTATGACTAAATGTATAAAATGTGCACACTTAGGTGCTGTTGTTGTATCTGTGCGTAAATAAACAAGGACATAGTACTTGATACCTGCATATACTGTAAAATATAATGGTTTTTTAATTACATTAGAAAATTCTAAATGAGAATGTAAGGTGGGAATGTAAGTAATGCATATGTGTGTATCATGTGTCAGGAGGACAGTAATCAAGGCGAGACGTCTAGCGGCGACGGGCTGGCGGCCGCGGCGGCCGAGTACGAGCGCTCTCACGCGCGACCGCCGCCCCCAACCGCAAACTTCACTATCACCGGCGAGGAAGGCGAAATAAATGTCATGCAGGTACCTGTTACGATAACGACTGCAACTACAAATTATTACTTTGTGTAAAATAATTATAAACTCGCAATGGTTTAAGTAATAAGTATATTACTATTATTGATTGATTCCTGTAACCACATTTTCCTTGTAAAATATAATGAATAAATAAATAATGTTCACAAATATTGTATTATCGTATTTTACAGATATCGTGTCGTTTGTTCGCGTGGGAAGCGGGCAGCTGGCGTGAGCGGGGTCGTGGCGTGCTGCGACTGAATGACGCGCCGGCCGGCAGCGGCGGCGCCGCCAGGCTCGTCGCCAGGGTGGCGGGCTCCCTTCGAGTCGTACTCAATACCAAGCTGTGGCCTGACATGGTCGTAGAGCGAGCCGGTACTAAGTCACTTAGGATCACCGCTGTTGATGCTCAACAGCAGATTAAATTGTTTCTTATAATGGTTAGTAAAGACAAAGCAAAGCGTTATAATTTTTTTTTGTAAAACACTTATTTTTAGTTACAAATACTATAGGAATCAAACAACAATAACATGTTAATTGTATGATTTAGCCATCTGTCTCCAAACATATTTTTGCTATCTTAAAATATTTCTTGAATCTATCATAATAATAATTTAACTTTGTTAATGTTAATATTCATTTCTTAGAAATTTTCGTTTTTTATTATTTCAGGGTGCACCTGGAGACATTGTACAGTTGTACAGGGCGCTTACAGCCCGAGTTTCTATGAGCAAGCGTTCAACGTCATCTAATACAGGTTCGCAGAATGCCACGTCTCAAAGAGCCGCTGAAAGGTTGGAGGCGGCCGCGGATGAGGAGGATTATCTCGACAAACCCGATGACGATGAACAAGATGATGCTGCTGACAACATTGCTCTCGATGACGACGATGACAATGAACAGGCTAATAATGAGAGGCTAGAAGCTGATCATGAACAAAAGACTGAAGAACACGAGTCTAATGTAGATGGCATGGAGCCAGACAAGGAAAGCAAATCATTGAAGCGGAAAGAACCGGCAGAGGATGAGACATCTCCCAAGAGACAGTGCCCTGATATATTAATAGAGTGATAGTACTGCAATAATGTTCATAACGACATGTTGTATAAACTTTGTGATGTAAATGTGGACATGGTTCATTTGTTCGACATCTGCTGAAAGCTCTGGGTTCAAATAGAAATCTTTATGTAAATGTAACTAATAATAGATAATGTGTAGAAATATTTATGATTAAATTAATATAGCATTTTACAACATTGTTGATTATTACTAATGGAGGTTCCATTTCTAATAATGATAGCGACCGCACACGCATTTGAAAAATAATTTGAGTACAAAGTAAAGTGGCCGCAGTATTACATTATGTGCTATGTAAACAGCTCAAAATTCTGTTCTCACATTCCAGACGTTGCATGCGAAAACAAATGGTTGTTTAGCATGTTCGGCCAGAGCTGAATACCAAATACAATACTGATGTGGTTTATTTTCTGATAGATTTTTAAATAAACTATTTCGCAATAGAACACATTGTTATTAAACTCCCGTTTACCTGTTTCCTGTCACACAGTTCCTTGCCGTTCTAATTTATATTCATGCCAGTCAAACATTAGTGCCATTATTTTTGAGTAAATACAAAAAAAATATTACATGAATATTAATATAGGACATTTCCAATGAATGTTTTAGTAATTGTTACTTCGACATTTACTAAACATAGCTAAGTGAGTGAGCAGCAATCAAATAATAACACATACATACCCTATTTGATGAAGGGCCAATTCCGTCAAATCAGTTTGTTTACAGTGCTTATTAGCCAAACTACTTAATTGACAGGGGTACATATTTCGTGTTATTAATTTAATTGGAATGTAGCAAAATTAGCACCTTCGCTACAGTACGAGTTTTATACTATTGAGTCAGATTTTTATTTATAAAATAAAATTGTTACTTGAAAATTCTCAGGTTAGTAAAATATAACTTCAATGGTAGATTATAAATATGTATAGGTAACACAATACCTCAATATGCAGTGCTGCTGAACGCTGAACATGCTACCTATGTTCAGTGTCCACTTGACTTAACGCTATAAATTGACGACTAAGTTTCTTTTTCTAGCTCCCTAACCTAGCTGTATATCCCTCTATTGTTTCTACTAAGTTACATAGGATTTACCCAAGGTTGTTTTTTTTTTGTGAGTGGCAAATCATCAAATGACTTCACCGCGGTGCCTCATTGCCCCGCAACCCCTGCAATTATCCTAGGTGGTTAAGCTTTAATCAGAAAAGCGTGCTTTCAACATGAGAATCAAGAAGATGTTCAATAACCTTGGATTTGCCTAAATTTTGTAAGCGAAAAAATTAAGCTAGGCTGACAATGTATTTCGACATTGTGCATGTCGGTACAACACGCTACGCTACAATTAGGTCTATCAATGTATCACCTGAAAATTGGTCCTAACAAAACTTACTATCCACTATATTCGTGTCCCCTATGTTTGACAGATTCAGGAATCTGCAACTCCTAAACCTGCAATATATGTACTGGTCATACACATCGCTCTATCCTAAAAAGTTTAACGATTAGGAGGAAATCGAAGTTTCCACGCGAAACGATTTGAGAAGACTTTGGAGAACAGCTACAGAAGCGTCATACAAAATGTTGAAAAATGATGTTTCTGCACTTTATACCAGGCACTTTGTACCTACTTCATAAATTCTCGCATAATATCTAGGTATTTCTAATGACTAGATAACGCTGGATCAAATCTTTTGTAGATAATTATACCTACCGCAATATTGGAGCACACTGTAGCTGTCTAGTTAATTATTTACACTTAAGAAGGTAGCTATTTCATAGTGATACATTAAGTTTATTAACTATTTTTACTAACGAGTTCTTAGTTACTTATTTGTTGAAAGAAACAGATTGAAATTATTTACAACATCATTTCCAATCCATCCATCCATCTTCCATCATGGAAGATAATGTGACATACTCCACGTTTCAAGGCTTTAGGCCTCACTTCGATGCATTAGGCAGAGTCGGCTATTTCAAAATAGTTCTGAAGCCCACATCCTTTTTGAAACGATTCCTTCACAACGTCTATCGTTTTGTATCTTGCAGTTTAATTGTAACGTACAATTTGCAGCATGTTATAAGAGTAATTCAGGTAAGATGTTAATAAGTCAATCGGGTTCGGATAGGTACCGATTTATTGTATTGTAATGTTATGCTCACTTTAATAAGCTTTGACTAACTACTTATAAAAACTAGAAAAACCGAAAGTATCAATTGCAAATAAAGGTCTTCCTGACCCTTATGAAGTTATGACTAAGCTAACAGAGATAGACACCAAATTCTCTTACCTTTTCACCTACCATTATTATCCTATCATTATCGAAAAATTTGAATAGGTATCACAGTGCTTGCAGACGTAAATTGTTTGTATCCTTTGTATTTGTGTCCCGTCTATCAAAAATATTTATCAGGTTCGCCATAGCACCAACCTGATAGTGGACACGCTGTTCATCTTGTTAACAACTCTGAACACATTGGGGAAACAAGCCGCATTCAATCTGAGGTCTCGTCGCATCGACGGCATCATCAACATCATTAATGGTAGGTACGACTTTTTAACTTCTCCACTCGTATTTACCTAATGTCAATTAGTTTTTTTTTATTTCCGAGATTACGTACCTACCTACCTTTTTCAAGGAGAAACAATCATTCAATGGGTTCTTCTGTCCTGGATGGAGCGAGAGGGTGTGTTTGGGTGTGTCACACTCGTAGGTAATGAGTTTAAACCACCAAGTTCCCTCTAAGGATTACGTAGGTAATCTAATAACATAACTTGTGTCAGATATACGATCTGCTCCGTGTATGGGGCGATAGGATATAATTAGGTATATTGTGTGTCAATCTTCATGCAGCTTACAGAACACTTGTCTACCTAGGTAGGTACCTAGTTTCAACAGCATAGTTCTCAGGGATTTAGAAAAAAGTGTCTGTGACATTTAGAGACGCATACACAGTCTTGACGTAGGTACCTAACAAGGGCTCCCTTTTTTGCCCGCGGAACCGATAATGATCACTAGGTACCTACTTCGGGACTAGGCTAATGTAAGATACCTAGTGATGTGAGTGAGTAGCACTCAAATGAGTATGTATCTACACACATACACCAGAAGCTATTGAGAATTTTCTAAGCTTAATATTTTAACGTGTTTTCCACACAGGGCCCACCTTCGCAGCCAGTCGACCTTATCACGTGGAAGTTCTTAAACAGAATGCGTTAGTCATGTCCCGTCTACTGACTCTGTATCACGGCGCCATTTTTACTTGCGCCTCTCTGTGGACCGTGTTCCCAGTTGTTAATAGATCCCTTGGTAAAGAAGTAGAGTTCACTGGCTACTTTCCATTCGATACTACGGGCACGTTAGCGTAAGTCAAACTTCTTATTTGATTTTACACCTAATTAGTATATATCTTGCAAAAAAACTTTACTTAGTACAGAACTTCGTATAGATATCTTAGAGCGATATCAGCATTAGCTAGCGATTTTTTGTACGCAATTAAGCTTATCTTTCTAAATCGATCGTTTAAATGAAAAGAAGAACTTTATTCTAAACTACATTAGATATCAACAAATGTATGTGAGATAGTAGGACCAGTATCTGTCTACACAAAATGTATCAAACAAAACTAAGACAACCGCATATCAATTTTTAGATTCTCGCTGGCATTGGCCTACATGTCTGTTCTGATAACTTTCCAAGCTTATGGAAACGTAACAATGGATTGCACGATCGTAGCGTTCTATGCGCAAGCCAAGATCCAATTAAAGATGCTTCGGTACAACCTCGAACAATTGGTGGTATTTACAAATACTAAGAAGTACAGTTCAATAAAACATCAATACAGAGACCAAGGAGAAGAGGAGACCGAACTGCAAGAGAGATTGAAGAAATGTGTTATACATTATCATCAGATCGTAAGGTACCTAAGCTTGTCTAATTGGCATTCATCTGCCTTCATCCCTTGTGTGGAAGCGCCATGTTTCACAACGAATCGGCGGCTCGGCTCGACCGAAGTGGTACCACGGCTTTACAAAAAACAAGCGTGAAACAATCACAGCGTTGTGTTTCGCCGTGTGAATGAGGTTACCAGAGTCTCAATCCTTCTTACCCTAATCCCTAAATCCTCAAAATATAGGCAACGCTGTCGTATCTTCTACGTTGTTCCGGGTGTCATGGGCGGCGCTGATTGCTTACCATCCACCCAAATGCTAGATTGACGCCCTATCACATAAAACATTAAATAAAAAAAACCCCAAAACATCAAGCAAATCCAATCTTAAGACCATCCACCAGTAAATTAATATAAAAAAGCTTAGTATGTAAGAAGTCCTCTTTCTGTCGCCAGGTTTACAAAAGAAGTTGAGTCGATATTTGGCGAAGCAATGGTCGTACAGTTCTTTGTAATGGCTTGGGTCATATGCATGACAGTGTACAAAATTGTTGGCGTAAGTTTATTGATACAAGACAAAGCAAAAGTTCCAAATAAAATCTAAGTATACACCAATATCAACTGACAATCCACACATTGTTTGTTTCAGTTAAGCATATGTTCCGCGGAGTTTGTATCGATGGCCGCGTATTTGGGTTGCATGTTAGCCCAGTTGTTTATTTACTGCTATTTTGGGACGCAACTCAAAGTTGAGGTAACTGATTGAGACATTAAACGCACGTGTTGCCCAGTAGACGCTACTTCTTTGTGTCAAAAGTTAATTGCTAATACGCACTGTACTAATTGATTAAGAATCTTCATAAGAAATAAAGCGAAGTAATTTGGCAGAGGTATGCGAGTATGATATATTGCATATGTTTACAGAGTGAGTTAGTAAATCAATCAATATACTGTAGTGATTGGTTGATTCTGTCGCCGCGGTTCCGAAGACAACTGCTCGTGATGATGCAGTGTTGCGGTCGGCCACTAGCACCCCGTACCGCTTACGTCATCCCCATGTCTTTGGATACGTACATACACGTAATGCCTATTAATATTGATTGAATTATGATATTACTGAAGTGAAAGTAATTTAAGATTTAAAAAATGACAATTATTTTTACAGGTGCTGAGATCTTCATATACACTGTTTACGTTCTTGAATCGCTAAGAGCACCAGGGCACCTACTTATTTTTTTTACTTAAGCACGCAATCATTAGTTTTTTGTGTGATAGAATATCTGGACGATTTTTCAATAAACTAAAAGATAAATAAAACCAGCAGGGCAGCCAGCGAAGGGCAATGGTTGTTTCAATGGTTGCGCGTCGGTTCAAATGGTTTTGTTATAATCTATCGCAAGATGAAAACATCACAATACCGAGTTCTTGAGTTTTATTCTAGTGATCTCAGCAGAGAATAGTATTAGAGGTCGCTCGTAAAATTGACCACCGTTTGATTCATTGCGCCTATTTACTGCCGTTTTATGGCCCAACGCTGCCTGAAGTAAACCGTAGTTGATCTGAAATCCTGCATTGTTCTGTAGTTGCTTCTTACATCGGTTGCGCGGACGTAGGTAACTGCTTACCTACTAGTTTAAATTTGTTAATTGCGACTAGACGTAACGCCTCCAGCTCGAGATTACGTAGAGACAAAGTTATTTAGGCGTCACGACGCTAACGCCAGCACCATTGTTTTTGTCTTCTGTTAGCCACTGAAAAATAAACACATAACACTATAAATAAATATCAGTGTGTTTTATTTATTAGTCGCAGCGCTCCCGAAAAGCTGGTAGGTGCTTTCATTATTTTAAGCACAGTTCCTTGAGTGAATCGCTTAACTTTCGTGTGAGGTGCGTGTGGTGTGACTCACGCGGGCGCAGCCAGACAATCCAGGAGCCCAAATCAACGAAACCCGCCTCTTCAGTGCTCCGTACGACGTAAGTGCTGAAAGTCGTGTAAAAAGTTGTATCCGGCCGCGAATAGCGCGTGTGGAATTCCGTTTATAAATACGCGAGTGCGGGCGCGCCGAGAGAAGTGTTCACGGCGGCGGCGGTCAGCGGCCGAGGGAGGCGTGCTGCGCAGGGCTGCGGGCGGACCGCGGCGGCAGCGCACACTCGCGGCCCGCAGGCATGCGCGCGCGCCGATGATATTCACGGGCGGGGGGGCGCGCCGCCGCACCTCGCCCGCGCCACGCGTGCGCGTCCCCGCCCGCCCGCACCAGCGACTCCATGCCGACTATGTGAGTCTCAGCGTCCATTAACTATTTACTAATAACAATCTCTATCCTCTTATCAACCGCTCAATAACTTTCCTCTCTTGGTCAGTTATTACTCATGTAAACTTTTGTTTCTCTTTCATCGTCTACTTTGACGATATTTGTCTGAACGAGCTAGTTTAAATAATTCATTCTGTGCAATACTCTTAACCCGTTTAAAATAATATAAGTAGGTAAAAGCTTTTGTTGGTTAACTAACACAAATCGGTAACAACACTTTATGTCAGCAATAAAGCAGTTATTTGAGGATAGTGGAGGCATTAAACGGCTGAGAGATATAAATTCTATTTAGCAATTAAACGAACATAACGGATGAAGCAAATGCAATAAACAGAAAATGATAACTATAAATCTTAAAACATCGTGTCGCAAACCGTGTCTAATTGACTTTTTCTGATTTCAACGTAATTTAGAAATCAATTACCTAACGTCAACAAGCAAATATTTTCACAGGTCAATATTTCTCCAGAAATGTCTGTCGTGATATATTTGTAAGTAAACATTTCGACAGATCGTTTAATCTGTATATAAGTGCTTGCAATTTGTTATATTTCTTCTTCGTGCTGAAATAAATGGCGACGGATGCGAGATTCAAGGAAACATCGCATTGTAATTTGTTACGAATATGAATCATTTTTATGGAATGTTTGTAGGTGTCTATACTTGCACTTATCGTTAATCCACATCAGATGATGTTAAGAGGTGTTATGATAAATATAGGAATCCCAACTTAAGTATACGTAGATTACATAAAGGTGAAAGAAAGGAGATTGCAAGAAAGAGATCAAATGTTAAGGCGAGGTGAAACGAATGGACGAGCATAAAAATACCTAACAATAGTTGTCTCGGTCATCATAGGCTTTATGTTAGAGTCAGAGGACCAATAACGAGACACGTAGGAAGCAAGGACATAACCACTCAGTAACCAAAAAAGGTTGAATGACTGACAAGAAACTAGATCAAGAGGGATTGAAAAATGTGAGTGATGATGAAAGCAAAGAATATGGAAGGATAAAACTATCACCTTCCATATTCTTAGCAGTTAGATTATATTATACATACTAGCACACTAGATAGATAGCAGCAGCTAAATTTCAAATAATAATTGAGATAAAGCGAGGAAGAAGAAGAGCTTCATGAAATGTAGGTACCAGCGGTTTAATGCGAGGAGGTGAAGACTGAACTCAGAAGCGTTCTAGTGGGGTGTTGTACAACGAGTGGGTCTAGTTGCTGAAGAAAATGGACTGGCGATGACGATGAGAAGAGATGAATATCGAGCTCAGTGGCGTGAACTGAAGATGCCTGCATCAGTCAAATTTATTTATTTACACTATAGTACATATTTATGTAAGTCTATGTATAATGTCTCTGATGATGCTTGTTCTGTGCACCTTTAAATTTATCTCTGCATCATCCAAAGGTTTGGCTGTTAGAGAATGCCCATGCATAAAGATATTATATGAATAAATAAATCAGTGGATGGAATCAGGCAGATTATGGCTCCCTAATGATGATGACGATAAAAACCAACCCATATTTTCGCATTTAGGTATTTTTCACTTCAACACTTCGGCATGGCCGTCATAAAGTTCCAAATTTTATTCATAGTCAGATATTTTCATTACAAGTTGAGATTACTTAGTACCGATATCCCCAGTTGCTTGAGTTAAACGTAGATTTTGCTAAAGAAATGTCAAAGCATGCCGTTGTGATAAAGCAAATAATAGCTCAACAAGTTGAATCTGAAGTTTTATTTTCATTTTTGCGCAATAAAAAGCATGGCTATCTTCATTTAAATATTTATATCTTGTTTTTAAAAGCTGGTTGTTACTATTCGTTCGATATTCGGTTTACGATGTTTATATTTCAGTGTATACAAGTAGTTGTATTATGATATCTATTGTTAGACTTACGAAGTACGAACCCACGTATACTAACATCGATATCTGACTACAACATTTTTATTAAAATGTTATGTATCTTGTACTAGATAAAACAAATACCTAATATCGTTAATGCCAAAAATTTTGATCATCTTCATCATCAGGCTATAAGTGCCCACTGCTGAGCAAAGGTCTCTTCTCACACGGAGGTTTGATTAATGACCACGCTTGAAATTTTGATACACAACTATTTTTTTACATATTTTATGGGATACTTCATCAACGAATAAGAAGTTGGATCGCCTTGTGGTGAGCAATAAGCAGTGCCTATAGACACAGTTACTAGTGCGTTAGCGTTAGTTTGCTGACTCCTAAGGTTATGAGGACTGGACATTTGGGTATTGGGGATGGGGACATTTGGCCTTCGGTGACAACATTCACACGGCAACATACAACGCAAGCATTGCTTCACACCATTCTGTAAGGCTGGGGGATCACCCCAGTCGAGCCGGCACATCAGCTCTAACGTGTATAGTACCCTCAATAACCTCGAGCATGCTAACGCACGACTGGCGCGGGCTGCGTTCGCTCGCTTTTTATATAAATGGAAATCCCAATAATATAACATGTTCTTTGTAAAATATGAGTGCTTCCCACTTTGTAGAAATTAAATAAACTAAGCCATTTAGAAGGAATATACATTTAAATGCCTATTCCTTATTTTATTTGAACAAAATAGCGTGTTGGTAAATATTTTTATTACAGCTTAACTATTTGTCATAAGAAAATCAAATTTACTCACATTGTAGTACATGTCACACACACACAATCTAATCAACATATATTTTTTTCAATCTTTACACCCAACCGTTAATGAGGAGTTAGGCTTTAGAATGTACCTAACGTTTTTACGGCTTAAAAAGCGCTTAGGCTCTTAAATACTGATTTAAAAGGAATCGTGTTTTTTCTAAGGTTCAGAATATATACAGTATTTCGTGGGTTACAGAGTGAAATTAATAACTGATCTTAGGTAACCCAAATTCTAAGGATCGATCTAGATTTTTGTTTTCTTTTTTTATATAATAGATCGGCAAACAGACGGATTACCTGATGGTAAGTAATCAGCGCCGCCCATGGACATCCGCAACGTAGGAGTTACGAGTGCATTGTCGACCGGGGTTAGGGATTTGGAGATTTAGGGATTGAGGAGGGATTGGATTTGTTACTAAAAATCAGGTCCAAGATTATTATAACATTATTGATTATATTAAATGCAACTTACAATTATCGCCTTATGAAGCGTACGGCGTAGGTACTTATGTGGTGTTAGTTTTAGGTCGAGGATTTGCTTCCATTTTCCTGTTTTCAATTTATCACGTGCAATGCACTCGCTTCACATCAATCGCTCCAATAAGTACTACAGGAGAATGTACCTATATGTATAATAATGTGTATTGTAATAAAAATATTATCATAACATATGTATACTTTAATTAGGTCAATCTTTGCTTTATATGATGTAATTAGGTATGTATAATGGGTGATTTAGTAAAGAAACACTTATAAAACGATATCTATTTCATATAACCACATCTGCATCTAGATTTTAGTAAATAAGTAGGTGCATTCGAGAAGACTGTCACATTATAAATAAGCATATTAATGAAAAGTAAAACTGAAACATTTGTAGATAAATGAAGACGATCAGTAGATTATTATAATTAAAACGATATTTTTTTGAATGTAATGAAGTTCAATTTAGCTGTTTAGCTATTTTCTATTACAATAAATCATACGAAACAGAACGTATCGTTGACGATACGCGCTACAGTCACGCTCGCTTATATGTGCGAAAAATCGCGAGGAGAATGTAAACTATATAATTAAAAGTATTGAATCGAAGATAAAGACATTGTACTTCATTACGTTAAAGAAGTAAACGTGTCATTATTCCTTATGATAACGATTGATACCTGAATATGTGCTGACGCATAACAGTAGAACAGTACCATGGAGCGAGCAATGGGTTCCTTCTATTTTTACTCGTGCATTTACCGCGCAAGCTACTCAACCTTGATGCTTCTCGCGCGATACTTTCGAAGCCACGTTCAAGTTTATTTCACCTGGAAATAGAATATAATACATATGTTATTTCACGCCTGTTATTTCCAAACGTGTACTTTCCATTTACTATAGAACTTTTGATGCAGGTTGGGTTAGACAAGTTTTTTTGTGAGGGTTAAAGTCATCAAATAACTTTTCCCGCCCAGGATGCGGCTGGAGGCAGTGTCAGACTGCATGTACTGTCTAAACCTGTAACTAAACCATGTACTGACTGGACGGTTGGTGCGGTGGCTGGGCAACTGGCTGCCGTGCAACGTCTCGCGGGTTCGATTGCCGCACGGAACAACTCTTTGTGTGATCCACAAATTGTTGTTCCGGGTCTGGGTGTCATGTGTAAGTGAAATTGTATGTTTGTAACCGCACCTACGACACAGGAGAAAATCCTGAAATAATGTGGGGCAAGATTTTACGTAAAAAAAATAAAAAAAACTCTACAAACCCGTTCCTTCTGCTCTAGGCCGAGGCCGTGGTGACTTATACCATACTTATATATACCAGACACCAGACATATATGTATATTACCCGAAACCACCTCAAAAGCATATATATATCGCATTTATTTCTATATACTATGTTTAGTTACACTCACCTGTCTTCTATGCATACATATGTAGATTGTAGGGCAAGGTTGTAGATAAAAAATATCCTAAAGTATGTAACTGAATTATTTACAACGAATATTTAAAAAGCAGAACAAACAAACATGCAACCATTAACCATGCAACATTAGTTAAGGTATCAAGTGGGAGCTTTTAGCCGTTACTGCTGTCAAAACTGAAAGAAATATGATGTTTAGATGTAAGTCTGGATTCAGTGTTTTATTTTCCAACATCCCTGGCCTAATTCTATGTGAGAACTGAAATTGTTAGCTACACAATGAAGTTGATAGAATTTTTTTTTACTTGCAATAAACTAGTGCTTGACTGCGATCCCACCTGGTGGTAAGTAGTGATGCAATCGTTGATGGTAAGGCGCACTAGTTTATTAAGAGCCTATTCACTCTAGCCTTGAAGACACCTAAATTATATTTGGATGGAAAGACTGCAGCCAACTGTTCCAATCCCTAGATGTACGCGGTATAAATAATTAAGAATAAAATATAAGTTTATCACCGCGTTTTTGCCTGCGTTGTCAATGAATACCTCTATCATTACTATATATCTCTCGTTCTTGATGAAGAATTATAGAAATACCTCTATTACTTACCGTGTTATGGTGTTTGTGTTGGATAGACCGGGGAAGGATTTTTTGTGAGGGAAAAACCATCTAAAGACTTTTCGCGCCTACGGTAGGGCGAGAAGGAGTGTCAGACCCTGACTGACTAGAATCCCTCCGTCCCTTGTCCTTCTTCTGTATACAACTGCTGCTTGTTTTTTATTTAGTTGGTAAGAGAGAATGCAAAAACAAAAATTATAACAACTTACCTACTTTCCTAAGCATAAACAAAACAATGACGCAGCTTAAATAGTTATGAATAAATTATCAGTTTTTTACGGTGTACACGGTATATACGTGTCGTTGGTACACTGAACTTCTGAAGGATAAATATCTGTCCAAGTATGCATGATGTGGCAAATTTCATCACGTAGGCAGCAGGGTACAGGATGTACCAGTTTATAGTAAAAAATAAGTCATCACAGGCGGCACAAGATAATAATGACGATTACGAATTTGGACCTACACTAAAGAAAGAAAGAAATTTTAACATTTTTTTTTATCAGCAATTTTTTTTAAGACATCCAATGAAAAGCAGCATTATAAAAGTTCTCCATGTAAAAAAGAAATTGGAAATATTCGAAACTATTTTCCACCTTCGGCTTCGCAAGTGTATAAAAGTAATGAATACGTAAGTATATATAAATACGTATATATAAATACGCAAATCAAGCATATTTTATAGCCTATAGCACTCAGGAACAATGTACCTACCTATAAGTGAAAGAATTTTTTAAATCCGACCAGAGGTTCCAAAAATTATCGACTACATACAATAACAAAATCAAGTGTGAGAGAGCCATGCTTCGGCACGAATGGGTCGGCCCGACCGGAGCGATACCACGGCCTCACAGAAAACCGGCGTGAAACAACCACAGTATTATGTTTTGCCGTGTGAGCGAGGTTACCGGAGGCCCAATACTTTCCCTTCCCCAATTCCTCCCCAGTCCCTAAATCTCCAAATCCCTAAAAGGTCGGCAACGCACTCGTAACTCCTTCGTTGCGGGTGTCCAAGAGCGCTGATTGCTTACCATCAGGTAATCCGTCTGCTCGTTTGGCGACCTGTTACATAAAAAAACCTCTTTCTAATTTTAGTATAGATAAAAGTCATAGTGGTACTTAAAAATCATATATTTTTCTCGAAATAAAAGTAATTTTTATGAAATTAAAAAAGAAGTTGTGATGTGTGATTCTTTTTTCGTTGAATATTTGAACACTCTGTAAAGGTTTGCAATTTATACATATTTATAGATATGCGTATAATCACCATCATCTATAAGATACTATCACGGTGACTTGCAGTTTTACTTAAACAACTACTTTGGTGTGTGTGCCTTGTAATTTTTTAAACAAAATATTGATAAATGCTTACTACGATATATTTTGGTCATGAATCATTAGAAACATAGTAAATGCATTGATTTAAGATGTAAATATGATAAAAAAAAATATATTCTATATAAACTTCCAAGTCCACAACCATGGAAACCACTGAACTGATTTTAATGAAACTTTGTGCTTGTTTGCTTCATGTTTGAAGGAATTACTTAATTATTTTGCGTATGCTATGTTAGGTTATAAACTTAAATATTATAATAGGTAAATGAAAATTAGGGTTTTAATGAAATTAAAATCAAATATTATGTAAATTCCTACATACATCTTATCCCTGGTGATCGAAGTGGGAAACCCATTTCGTACTGCGTTGTGTTAAAGTGTAAATAAGCGTTTCATTTCGCAAGCCTGAAATAACCACGAGCAAATAAAACTATTTGATATTATAAAGAGTAATACGTAATATTATAAGTTAGTAGGGAAAAATTCCTTGGGTAATATATTATAGGTAAGATATTATATTGATTGTTTGTTTTGATTGAATAGGCTCCGAAACTACGTGACCGATTTGAATAAAATGATCTCAGTTGGGAGACTAGACTATACTATCCCCGATGAACGATGTAAAATATGCGGGTGAAACCGCGGGGCACAGCTTGTACTTGTTTCTTGTTTGTACACTACTTGTTTCCTACGATCATTAATTAAAGTTGCATGCGGAGAGCATTCTGCCAATATCATTGACTTTGATGTAACGACGTTTGAATGGAAAATCAATTGAGCGTGAGTTTTGTACTCTAGTTTGAGTTGCGTCGAACAACGCTGCAACGGTCCAATGCCACGTCGTGGTAGCGCCTATGCGTGTTGCAAACGACTTGATACGACTGCAAATCGAACGTGTCGCGGAGTGCAATTGGTCACGTGACCGCGCTGCATCTCAACATATGACAAACGAATTCTCAATTTTGGCCATTTGACACTAGCCGTGTATTTCAACTGTAGCCACCCGGATCTATGCCAGGGAATTCGCAGGCCTTGGGCGGCGACGCTTTCTATACAAATACCGGTGCATCTAGTTGTGTCCCTTCGGCTGTAAGGGCACTACATCGGTATCACAGAATCCGATGTTTATTGGCGATGGCATTTTTGTGCATCCCGGCCAGTGACTGTGACGTGTGAGTTGGCGATGTGTCCACACACCGACATCAGTAGCGTGCGATGTCATCTTGGTTTCGGGTATGTCCAATTTCTCGTTTCGTACGGCGTCCAAATTCTTGGCTTTCAAAGAGCTTTACGTTGATATCGTTGAATAAGAAACTTGGTGTTGTAAATAATTGCGGGCTTTGTAGCGAGCGGCGCGACACGCGGGGCGGAGCGCGACTGTGCGCTTCCACTAATTATACATTGCCACGTGCTGTTTGTTGTGCCACATCAAGGGCTCGGCCGATTGATCCAATCAGCATCTAAAGCGTGTGTTGCAATGTTTAATATTTATATTTTGTTAAAACTGTTTTACAGGCTTGGGTATAAAATTCGCTGAATCTAAATTTATTTTAATGCAAATTCTATTTTCCCGCGCTAAAGTTGTTTACTTCGTCCTTCGTCAGCCACGGTAGATTATTTATTTTGTGTGTTCTGATAGATATAAATGGATGATAAAAGACCTTATGTAAATGTAACTTATATTGAATTATGATTATTTAGTCTAAAAATAGAGATATTTACTGTTACTTTGGTAACAGAAGCAGCAGTATTCTATATTTAAACTAGGACTCAATAAACAGGTTTTCGTACGTATTGTTACATGTTGTAATGTTGAGTTCATTTCCCATAATAAGTAGTTAGGCTGCAGTAATGGCCGCCGCTGTTTCATGTCCAATGTGGCTGCACATTGTTGGCAATCGATCAAGTCACCGTAATTAGCGTTGAGTGACATTACTGCTCAAGCGCCTAAACAACAATCGGTTAATCGATACTACAAATGTTTACAATCTGATTTAATTGTCGTCGTTTGGATCACAACGAGGATAGCCCTGTCCTGTATAAAAGCGCCACAACAATGTCTACTACGTACAAATTAATTCAGAGTCAGAATACCTACTAGTCTACTAAACATAGTTGCATGTTTATTTAACTTCATTGCAATACGACGAAATTTCCTCTCCAGAAACATGATTTCACATGTATCCAGATTCGGAATGACATTGCACTTGTTTACGTTTATAGAAATTCTAGGAAACATAAATAATAGGTTCTATATTAATAACAAACCGTTTTTGTCGCTAAGGGAAAATGGTTTGGCCACTCAAATCATTAAGAAAGTAAGGGGTAGTTTCAGACTCTTACTGACTAAAGAAACACCCCATTCCTTGTCCTGCACCGACAACCCCGTCCTGGATTACAACTCTGGAATACATACTACATTAGATTATAAGTATGATTGAATTCTGAATTCAGAGTAAAGATAAACATATGAATGGCAGTAACAATGAAACGCCATGCATGCGTCGATCGCAATCAACTGATGCGCGATAGAGGGGCACATTACACATTTGCTTCTGTTTATATTTATACAACGCAAACATCACTGCTCCTTATTTCCTAATACATACGCACATATTATAGATATAAATACAAGTGAATAAAAGTACAGAATATCTTAAATTGAAGGCAGGTTACATTTTGAATGACTGTGATAGCCAATGAGCCTGAAAAGTCCTTGAAACTAATCAAAAACTCAACGGCTACTTAAAGACAGTTTTAGTGAGTGACAGATTCATAGGTGATCCAATGAATATTAATGAAGAAGTGCACTAACAAATTAGAGTCGCAGATAGTCGTTGCATGTAATATAAGCAGGCAGAACAGACCTTAAACACTTTGTTTTACGCTGAGCGTCTCCCGGTTGATGATGCCAAAAAAATAGGTGGTAGTTTGAGTATATAAAATAGAATAAATAAAAATAAAATAAATAAATATAATATTAGCGAGCGTAGCGATATGACAAAGATTGGTCAAGAGGGACTTTTTTTTCAAAAATAAAAGGTTTTCTTCAGAACGCTTGGCTTTTACTTTGATCAAATCCCACATGTATATCTATATATACTGACTGCTGAGTAACATTACTTTTATTTTTAGGTTTGTTACAAAAATGTGTTGAGAAACAAATAAAGGTTTTTGTAAGTAGATGAACATGCAAAAAAGTTAATGTGAGATCAAAGTTTACGATCGTCCGGTATTTAGACAAATAACAAATTGTTCCGAACTTTGTACATCGAGGTCAACGTTCGATCTTTGTACGATGACTTAGACATTTATTTAATTATATGGCCAGTATTGTACTAATTAGTATTGTACTCTAGTAATTTAAAAAAAAAGTGCACCAATAACACGAAATGACCGAGATTTAAAAATGGCAAAATTGCGACTTTGGTTCCTTGATATAAAGAAACTAGTAAATGCTTTCTAGAAGTGAAATTGTTAGTGAAATTAATTATCTACACTTAGCTCAAAGCTGGTAGAATCCAAATAGGTTTTCAATTTTGAAATCACATTATTCATAGTGTACACAATTTTCACTTAATTTTTAACTAACTACGCGTGCTAATGTTTCAGTGGTTGCCGGGCGGGGTTTGCGGCGAGGGTGGCGAGGGTGCCATTCGTCGCTCCCGCGGCAAGCGCATCACTCAGAGACGTGGGGCCATAAAACATCATAAGTAAGTATCATTTTTAATTGTACTTGAGCCTTTCGTGTTTCGGATACAGCAGGCCGAAACGCTAGGGTTTCATCACAATCCGGAGGTCACGGTGGAGCATACGGTGGCAGTGTGCTCTTTGGGCTGACGCCTTTGGACTATGCCTTAGTAGGGTCCGGGTCTGGATTTGATGTGTATTTTTGTTAACGAACGATACTGTAGAGAATCGTAGTGTAGAGCGAAGTTCTATATTTCAAACAAAAAAATGTGCAGAGTGATTGGAACTGGGAAGCCATCTCTTCCGTCTGCGATGCATTCTTGCTCGCAAAGAAAGCTCGGTTATTGCGGAGCCCGTGAGAAAACAAATTTTTTTCATGCTCCGACCGCCACATTCGTATTCCGGACGCAATTCAATGAGTCATAAGGCCACCATAGATGGGATCCACTGGAGCTGTTGTCCAGCCGGGGTTACGAGTGCAAGTGGAATAATGTACCGTTGTGGTTTTAAGTCAGTGATGTGAACGGTGTGGTTTTTAGTCAGTGAAAGTCTGATACTCCCTCTCGACTGACTGACAGTGAAGGCAAAGATCGCGAGGAAAGGACTTACAAATTGAAATCGTTAGTCGGCGGCGAGCAAGCGTGGTTAGTGTAGGTTGGTTATTATTATAATACTCAAACATTCCCCGTACAAAAAGAGGCCTCTGCTCAAAAGTGGGCATGGAGGTTGACGACGATGAGTCAGCAACTTTTGATTAGCAAGAACTTTATTCAATACCGTATAAGAAACTAAGTACAATCGTTGAAACACACAAAGAATTTTTCTGGTGCACATCTACCAAGCCAATTATTACTTAATGTCGTTTTTCGACTTACACGGCCTTATTACAAAACAAGGTTTTACTTTAGTCTAGGACTAAACCATTGAGCCAGTTTTTGTATTTCGAATTGAAGGTAGATGACAATAAGATTCAAAATTCAAAACCCAACTCAATGGTTTAAACCTGGACTAAAGATAAATCTTGTTTTGTAATAAGGGGGACAATGTTTAATATTGACAACACTAATTACCTAATCTTGACGGATTTCACTCTGAGTCAAAGTCACTCGCAAACCTGGAAAAAACAAACACTTGGAGGCTCAATCTGATTTGCGAAATATTTATATATTCGACTTATTATCTACAACGCTTAGTTGGTAAAAATCCTTTAGGGTCTCCTGCATGAGAACATTACAAGGAGTGAGTCGATAATTACGACATCATTAAAACTAAGTATTTCGACAGCGCATTGTTGCGACATTGATTGGAATTAAATGAAAACTATTTTGTATATCCAAAATGTTGTTTAGGTATTTCCTAAAACAGTATCTACAGCTTATAGTCAGTAAAACATGCAGAGTAGTTCAGTACACATTGGTAAATGTAGAAACGTTGGCTGGTTGTAATTTATCGTTCAACAGCTGGAACACCTGGACATTTAAATTAGACATATGTATACAAGACATGCTAGTATACATGTATAAGATATCAAGCATACATCCGCGTCATTCTATCACGCCTCGATATGCATCTTCGTGTTTAAGATTTTTGGCGCTAGATTACAAGACCGTCACTTAGGCCCGCCTACGTGCCATCGCGATCATGTGTTCACACTTCCAGCACAATATACGACACCTGTTATATAATTTATACAAATGAACTGGAAAACCCGTTCCGGTAGTTAATTGCTCGTACACTATTATTAATGTGAGCAATACTGAGACTGAGGGAATTCACATAATGACTATGATCTACACAAGTGATTTATGTTTCGTTATTCATAAGCTATTTTCGTTTTATAGCATACAATTTTACAACTGGTTTTGGCTCAAAAAGTGACAAGATTAGTAGACAAACTGTATCTCTAGGTCTGAACCATTGAGCCAGTTTTTGTATTTCGAATTGAAGGTAGAATAGAATTCGAATAAGATTCAAAATTCAAAACCTGACTCATTGGTATGTTGGATATAATAACTAAGGGTTTATCCTCCCATCATAACAAATGATGATTAAAAATTTCTTCTTTCAAATTTCAGGATCCACGAAGTGAATGGCCACCGTTTTGTGGCGAAGTTTTTCCGACAGCCGACGTTCTGTGCGTTCTGCAAGGAGTTTCTATGGGGCTTTGGCAAGCAGGGCTACCGGTGCTCCGTGTGCCAGACGGCAGTGCACAAGAGATGCCATAATAAACTGCTCGGAAAATGTACTGGATCCTCAGCGCATTCAGAAGCCACTGTGGTAAGTCATTTTATCTTTTTTTTAAGTTTTACGACGTTATGATTCTTATAATTCAAGCTTTAAAGAACACATTTTATTTTATCTATTAATTTATGAAGGATATATATAAACAAAAAATTAACATCTGGATTACAAACTACTTATTACTTTTATTTTAAATTGTTAACTTGTTAACTTAGGTTTTCGTAGACTTTATGCCTAATCACCTCAATAATAAAGTAAACGGCCTGTGTAGTACCCCCACCCCCACTACCGTCACCTTGAGACCGCAAGATATAAAAGTTTCGTATCGACTTTTACTCAAGTTTGGTTATTTAAATAATTTATTATTATTAGCCTATATACCTACTGCTAAGCAAATGCTTCTTCTCGCATGGAGGTCGAGACACCACGCTTGCTTGAGTTGGATTGGCCATTTCGAACTTGTAATTTTAAATCCTAAGTATCCTTCCTCCAGGTTTCCTTATGACATTTTCCTTCGCGATTGCCTTCGGTGCTCTTAACAATCATAGAAAGTGAATGTAACTCGGAAAAGTCACATTGGTGCTTTGCTAGGTTTCGAGCTAACATTAAATTCATTATTATTTTAATTTATTATTATTATTTTAAAACAATTTATAAACCAATCACATTAAGACAGAAAAAGAAAAAATAACATTATAGAAAGTCAATAGACAAAAACATAAATTACTTAATCTAAGGGCCATTACGATATGATGATAGTCTTGCAATTTTGATTCCAGTACCTGCGCGAGAGGTTCAAGGTGGACGTGCCGCACAGATTCAGGCCGCACCAGTTCATGTCTCCCACATTCTGCGACCACTGCGGGGCCATGCTCTACGGCTTCTTCAAACAAGAGCTAAAGTGTGAAGGTACTTCGTAGTCATTGTCGACTTTAATATTATTGAAGTAAGGTCTTAATTTATTAGGAATTGCAAGTGCTATGACTTGACTAAGTTCGGATAAAAATATATATGAAAAGACTATAAAGTCTACAGAGCTATGGAATTCACATTGTACAAATATGCTACTCATTTAAAAATGTATGATGAACTAGTAATTATTTCACAAATATGAAAATGCTTAGTGTAAAGATAAATAAAAATTGGCATCTGTTTAACTTAAGAACTTGAAAAATGTTCATCATTTATATTAAAATGAAACCTAGGAGTGTTCTTCTCACCCATTTATATCAAAAAACAATTGATAAAAAGGCTCCTTGTAAAACTTATCGTTCATAAAAAAAGACTAATTTTTCTCTTATAAACTAAATATTTATTCGAAAATAAAGAATCTTGTGATCACATGTGTGCAATTTCTAATAAATGTTCCATCATCAGTTTTTGGCAGTTTCAAATTACAAAAATTATACAACATATTTTTTCAAGAAGGTAAAATCTGCTCAGAATAATTTTATTGACATTAGTCGTTTCAATAAGTAGAGTTTGTCATGGGAAAATACACCCTAATTTCAAAGGAAGCCAAACACTCATGATCAAGGCCAGTCCAATATTAGATATTATAATAATAATTTATTACAATCAATGTCGAGCATTTGATTGGAAGACGATAAAAGATGAGTTGCTTAATTTGCGTGGGCAAGAGCATGCGAAAAGCTAATAATACTCAGACTTGTCGAAGATTGACAGGTTTTATTAAGAATGTTGCCATACTTATGTGAATTATCTGTACACCTGTGTCTAGTGCTATTTTTATTGCTTTTAAATATGTGTGTAAGGTGGGCATGTATGTTTCATGATAAAATTATATGTCCTAACAGTAATATTTTTTATATAGAAAACCGCATGTTGTACTCAAAAATAAAAATCTGAGTAATATTACAAAAGCGAATGTGCGTGCATGCTTGTTTCTAGTTCTCTCATATTGTGGAACTATTTGTTTTGACTATGCAGGCGGAAAGATATTATTTAATAATACATAACTGAATCATTGAAAACATAACCCATTTATTTAACTATTGATAAATTTTGTTTTTAAACATATCTTGGCGAATAAACCTTACAACTAAAAACCTATACATTTAACAGTGAAATTATTGATTACTCCACCATTTATTATATTTTTGTATATGTAAAAAAATTCTTTAAGGTGTTATAATATTACATTCATTCATAAATACATCTTTCCATCGTTAAATAACCTATTTTGGGTGTCGACAGTAAAAAACTAATATAAAACTCATATAATAAGTAGATAAGATTTGAAATGTTTTACTAGAATATTTGTTCCAAGTTTATGCAATGAAAATATCGATGGCATAAAAATATAAAAAAACGAAATTAAAAATACGCTACGAAAGTCTACGAAGTTGCTACGGTCCCTATTTGAGAATGATATGTAATAATAAAACTGAGAAAATAACAGAGATACAATTAACTATTTGTATTAAAAAAGATGATTATTAACATCTACCAATTAACTACCACATCAAGAAGTGCTGTAAGACTACGAAGTTCTACGAAATTGCTACGAAATCGAAGACTTGAGATCAATGTATCGTTAACAACTTTTGGCGGAACAAAAAGGATATCCGGAAGTCATTATAAAATATATTATACAACATTATCTGTTGAAAGAGGGAAGCCTTTGTTCAGCAGTGGACGTGTTTTGACTGATTATAATTGATAATTTTAATACAAAATGTATCACACTGAGATGTCTTCAAAGTGCTACGCAGGTCTACGAAATTGCTACGACAGGACGGAGGTCAGCTTCATTAATTGATATAAAATTTTGTACTGTTGGAATTAGTTTAGGCGTTTAGGCGACCACCACTGACGATTGATTAGAACAGGCACTGAGTGACGTGAAAACCCTTAAAAAATCGGTGATTACCTCACTACTATCACTAAGTCGCCTACCGAACGTAATGATTGTAGAAAATTCGTTGGAAGGTGCATGACTCTTGATGATAATATTTTTGATGTAAAAATGTATGACATCGAAAAGTACTACGCGGTGCTACGGAGGTCTATGAGTTGCTACGAATTCGTAAATTGTGGTCAGTTTAATTCTCGGAACGGATACCTGAATTGAATAATTACTGTCTACGTAACCATCTAGGCAAACTTAGTGTAGGGCGCCCTCCAGCTAGGTGGACTGACGACATCCGCAGGGTGGCTGGCAGTGGTTGGATGAGAAGAGCTGAACATCGAGCTCAGTGGCGTGCAATTGGGGAGGCCTATGTCCAGCAGTGGACGACAACAGGCTGATGATGATGATGATGATGATGAACCATCCATGTTTATCGATACGAAAGCGTCGGGGTTTAGAAACATACATATATAAATATTTGTTTCGTTATAAATCATGAACTTAAGAGTTCTCGAAGTTCTTCAGCATAAGTTACGAGGTCAAGCAGTCCAGCTAGATTTACATTTATAGAATGACATCACGGTCATAATTAAGTATATGGTTTGTCAATAAATTGTTTTTTTTTAATAAATATGTTTCTACTTATTAATCTAATTGGCTATGTGCAAAGCGAGTAGTGGCGGACAGATAACGACCGCAGCGCACAACACGGCAGAAATTAGAAACAAATGTGGATGATCAGCTGTCAAATGTGTTGATTGCAGTACAAAATCAAAGCAAAGAATAACATAAACAAATAAACATTACTTACGTTTAAACTGGTTTTTTATGGTTTTAGTGTCACAGATGACTGACGAATTACCTGGGCTCGTATTAAGTAGCTCTAGCCTTTATGTCGCAGTTCTTCCAAATTTCTTACATGCTCGGCTAATACTAATTTATTGCCTTTTGTCTCAGTTCGTGGTTGGAAACTAATATTATATGTAATAGTTTCAAACCCGGTTTTTATTATTACATTCATTTTACAGTAAAACTATTGGCTAAATTGCACTTAAATAATGTCAACAACACAATTTTAATCTTTGGTTTTATTTATTTTATTTATTTATATATACTTTATTGCACACATACACCAAGTAGCAATACATTGGATACTATGATTTGGTTCAGGATTGTTTTATGTATATTTGCAAAGAAAGTTTACATTGTCATTATTTGACAGCTTCCGCAAATGTTGTAAACGCTACGCGTCGCCACCGTCGCGCACATAGCCAATAGTGCTACGAGAGGTCTACGACATTGCTACGAATGTAGAAAAACTTGATGTCAAACATTAAGATGTTAAGTAGATATTAAAGTATTTAATAATCCACAAAGCTGGGAGGTCAAAATTGGTTGGAAATAAAAACTACAGGATAGAATATGTTTCTTTCTGACTGCTACAAATGACTACGGAATAGCTGGTTGAACCTTCTCTGTATGTTCTGTCTATATCAAAAATAGTTTTACTTTTTTTCAATAAAAATCAAAAACCTATGAGTCCTAAAATAGTATTAAAAAATGTAATTATAATGTCTTTTACATGTATTGCTCAAATTATAATAAAGTAAAACTAATCGTTTTACTTGTGCTAGTGCAAGTCAGACCTTTCCATGATCATGCACATGACCGTTCCGTAGCATTAAGTCAGACATTACCTTAAAAAAAGCTCAGTAGATCTTGCTCAAACCCATTTATGGTTTACAGTTTTGGTTCATCATTTATTTCTATTAATAGATTTTTGGTTCTATAAATTCTGGTATTTTAGACATTGGGGCAACCACTACAAAAGTCTCTCTCGCGCAAATTATTCAGTTTAGAAATATATATGTATATATTAGAAGCCTTAATTTAAGCCCTATCTATAGATAGCCCATAAGTGTTAAAGAAAAGGGCCTGGTAAAAAAATTGTAAGTATAGGACCTCAAAATCATTATATCTGTTTTCTATTTTTCACTAAAAATCTTAACGTGGTTTGCAGAATATATCTAATACCCAAGTTTAACAGAATAGTCCTAATATATACAGTTTCGGAAAAAAGTGGCTGTGACATGACGAATCTATAAGGGTTCCATTTTCTGTCATTTGGCAACGAAATCCTAGAAATGGGTCGGAATAGTTTTTTCCTGCTCCGTGGATATAGTAAAGTTAATAAAATTACAGACAATTTATAAAAACGAATCATTTATTTTCGTTTATTATACCATCGTCATTCTCTATAACACATTGGCTGCATTTTTTGCATCGGCCGCTATGAAGCTATTATTTATCGCACACGAGAAGGAAATCATAAAACATATTTATATTATTCTGGTACATAAATTCTGTTATATTTGTTTTAAATAACTCATATCTTTTAGAATTACTTTAGATCTTTTTATGTACTGTTAAGCTATTACATGAGCTTCCCAACGTGTGATGCTTTGATAAAATATCATCATCATCATCATCATCAGCCTATAAGTACCCACTGCTGAGCAAAGGCCTCTTCTCACACGGAGAAGGTTTGAGCATTAATCACTACGCCTGCTCAATGCGGGTTGGCGATTACAAATTTAAATTAGAAATTATAAGTCCACGTTTCTTTACGATGTTTACCTTCACCGTATGTCAGTGGTGTCTAAATAATCATAGAAAGTCACATTACAGATAACTCGGAAAAAGTCACATTGGTACTTGTACCAGGTTGCGAACCCACACCCTCATGCATAAGAAGCGGGCGTCTTAACCTTGGGGCCACCACGACCTGAGAAAATATGCAATTCATAAAAAATGCGTTATGATTTCGGAAGTCCTACATGTATATCTAAATATTATGAATCCCACATCTGGTTTTGCAATGACGTTAGCACCATTTGCAGATGTTATTATATTGCCGATTTCTTTTATTAATAGAGTGTATCTTTCTTCTCGAAACGAATAGTGAGTCTCCTTAATATTTTTTTTTTAATTATAATTTTCCGAATCTGCAAATGCTTTTTTATTATGATGGTTGGTGTTTTGCTTAGGCAAAGCCTCTCCGTGAAGTCTTTGCAGTAAACGGTGGGTATAACCTCTCACAGTTGATGATACCGCCCACTATGGTGAATGCGTATGTAACAACCAGAAGGCGTCATCGCGCTTCAAACTTAAGCAACTAAAACCATTCTCAACTAGAATAGTATGAAATTTCTACGATTAGTCAATTTTGGCACGTGGCATGTCGTGACGTATTTACGAGTATCAATTTTAATTTCATTATGCCGTCTTGTGTTATTACTACGAGTAAAAATGCGACTGGAATCACGAAAAAAGTGGATAAGATTACATTTCATCTGCAAGCATCGACTGCAATAGTATATTTAATTAATTATTGATTTTTTTTATAGATTTATTTTTCTATGAAAATGATGCGGCCATTTTGTGAGTGTTGTCATTTTATTTTTGGTGAAAATTTTACCCACTTATTTATTTGTTGTGGGTTATATTTTTGTCCATTATGGAGCCTATGTCATATTAGTTTCACTGACAAAAAATACAAAATCACACAAAGGGCACGGTTAGATTAATTTTGGAAACCATCTAGCCAGAGCATAGTTTGCTCAATTTACTTTGAAGAGATATATTTATGACAAAGGTGGTTTGAAAACAGCATATCATACTAAGATATATCTATACTAATACGGTTGTTTCCAACTAGTCAAATTCAATACTTTTATCCAAATGTCAAAAACGATACTTTTCTATGAAAATTGTATGAAACATTGAATTATGACGTCATAGCATTTTTGCGTCAAATAGCTTACTTATTTTAAAAAAAATAGGTTAAAAATATCTAAAACTTAGTGTATCGATCGATCGATGAATAAAAGTATAGTTATTTTTCAATATTTTATCGTATTAAAACGTCGAAATAATTTATTTTTGACCTAGGAAACTATCCAATTATAATGCTGAAGAGTTTGTTTGTTTGTTTGCTAGAATGCGCTAATCTCAGGAACTAAGTAAAGTAAGTAGACTTCTAATCTTTAGTTCCGAGTCTCCGAGACTTCCGAGACAATACATATAAAAAACTAAACCAGCAAAAGGGAACGCAATAAAACCTTTGTACTTATTGAAGCTTTATTTTATTTGTTGTGTATATTAGGTGTAACTAAAATTAACACAGCCAGAAATCGTCAACTTCTATGATACCAGTCTGTTGCATTTATCGTAAGTTTACCTATTTTGTTGGGTTTACTCGTATCTTACCCTCCTGTTGTAAAATTACCCCAAACCAAGGGAATTGTTCCACTGTCGGCAACACTACGCGGGTGGGAAGTGCGGCTGGCGGGGGGATTGACGTATTGTTTTTGGACATATTTGACGACATGTAATTATGAGTGAACGCGGATTCTGGTTTGTTCTGTATTCTGAGGTGACAAACTCGCTTTTTTCTGCGAAATCGAGAAAGGGAGGCATACAACTTTCTCCCCTCTCGCCGTAGCCACACCGGTTTACAACGTCGCGACGCTGCAGTTAACAATGAAACAATGATGAAATAATGAATTTAATTCTGTAAATAGGCCATAAAACAGCACTTTTATACGTCAAAATTATATGTAAAAAACTAGATGAAGCCGGCATTTCCTCTCTTACTACTCTGAGAAATGCCGAAACAAACTCAGAGGTTCGTCCCTTTTCAAGCCCAGACAATGTGAAAAATAATATAATGTGCGAGAACCGTGCAAGTTTATTCTGTAGAGGTCTTTTGAGGAAAGAACCACACTAGTTTAAGTGGGCCCGTCCTAAAGAAAGGCACGCAAGTGTCGGTTTACAACCAGTTAAACTAACAGGTGTTGCTGAGTTGTCCGACGAACAATACCGAGCAAAAGAACATTTGGGTGGGTCGCGCAAATACTTAAACTGTCAGAACATATGTAGATAACAATCATCGAAAAGCGCGGCAAAGTCTCAAACAGTCCTTACACTAGCAATAATTGGTAAAATAATTTTATTGTAAGAAGATAACTAAGGATGGATGGACCTTTGATGGGATAATAAGATCTTTTTTGTGTAGCTTTCTTTTGAATGTATTCCGTTTATTTAGGTATCACGCGTAATCTTATTTATCACGGCAATGTTTGAGAGTAAAGATGATCTAGTTATGCGACAACATGGCTTACTTTATTTGAACTCATTTTAATTTTAGTTGACCCTATTTTTGTCGTTCCGTTCTAGTAGCTTCATTTACCAGGTTGTTTGCTTGGTCACAAATAAGTGGATCGATACAGATTAATAAAGCTTATCGGAGCTCGTTGGCAGCTGTGACGACGAATGAAGTTAAGCCCAAGCAGTTCGTCCACGCAGACATTTTAGATGCTAGATACTAAATTACCTTCTTAAACGTTTACCGACCGAAGGCAATGTAATGTCATCATTTGTACTTAATTAAAAATAATTTAAGTAGCTGGGTGGGTATCAAAAGTTAACTTTAAATTATTATTAACTAAAATTCGAGTCTGTATAAAGCTATATCACTATTCATAGCTAGTGCATCGACCTCGTACAACTAAAAGCATATTTAATAGTATCGTGATTTCCGTAACATGGAAAACAGCTGATACACTCTCTGTCGTATTTATATTTCTTTACAACAAAATATATCTTGCTTACAAAATATATTAGAAAAACATAGTCCAGCAGTGACAATATTTCTGGTAAGTAGGTAGACAATGCTTGCTTATCTATAAATACGTTTAGGCATGTCGCAAGATGTCTATTTCTGGAACGTCTAATAATAAACCGGTGATAAATAACATGCTAGCTTTCGAGCTTAATGTTTAACCACAGATGTATGATGTCGGATTTTTTTTTTGTTGTTACTTAAACGGGGTAATTGAGCCAGGACCTTTGCAATATGAATGAATCATCGTCGGAAAATCTTTTTCTAAGTCATATAAAAACTTCCTTCCGAGTTTGTGACAAAAGTCATATGTGTCTATTATTATCTACTTACCATCATCAATCAATCACCTGGGCGGGAGCGGCGGCGAGTGGGCGCGGGGCGGTCGGTGGGCGGCGCGTACCTGTGCGCGCGCTGCTCAACCCGCGCTGCCAGCGCCAGTCTGCGCGCGCGCCTCATTGCGCGATACCGGCTGTCGCACAGCCGTGATTTAACGCGCCATTATGCCTCTGTTTTCGGAACACATCGCGAACATGTATTACGGTTCATCATCCCCTTATACTGGATTACCCTACAGTTATAGCAGCAGTTCAGTTTCCCCTTTGGGGTCGTCTTACAGTGCTTCATATCTCAATCCTGGAAGTAATTACAGCAATCATTCTTCTCTTGGCGGCTATTCTCGTGCACCGTTGTCATCAAGATGGATTACCAGTTCAGGAAGAAACTATTCTCCAATGCTCACAACTATTACCGAAAGAGGATCCGCCAGTCCTGTGAGGATACATAGCCCAAGAAGAATACCAATTTCATCTAGAATGTATGGTACTCCCAACTATACTCCGCGTCCTATAAATATAAACACTGCCGATATTGATGTTTCAAGAGACAGATACCGACATAAAGTAGACGCTACAAAAGATCCTACACCTCCAAAACCTGAGCAAGTAAAAGAGGATTCCAAGGTTGAACATGAAAGTAGTCCGTTTATGCCTAGGGTTGATGGTAAACCAGAAACCGGAATTGATTCTTCACCAGGAATTGAAAGAAGTACAATAAAACGTGGGAGAACAGTTGTTAGACTTTATACTATAAAAAGAAATTCGCCTCGCAAGCCTAATGAAGAAACAGAAGTGACAGAGATGAAACCTGCTCAGGATGCTGAACAGGAATACAAAGAAGAAACTGTCACAGACGAAAAAGATTTTATGAAATGGAGGGAAAAGCTTTCTGATGATTTGGCATACAAAGATAAGAAACAGAAAAAAACCTTGGGTGCCAAGCTTGTAGAAAAATTTATAGTAAAAGACGAAAAAGACTCGGAAGTACCACGGAAGATACCAAAGAAAGATGATTCGAACAGTTTACCAGCCACTCCTTTACCAAAAACGATTTCAGTTGAAAATGCTTCCCTAGATCGAAGATGTTCAATGGAACTTTTAGCAGAACAAGCAAATTTATTAGATTCGTTAATTAGAAGTGAAAACCTCAGTACTGCATCTTTAGATTTGAGTAAAGTTGGTGTGGCTGAAACAAAAACTAATGTAGAGATCCTCAATTCTAACAAACGACGTAAAGCTGATAACTTACAAAACTCACTGAAAACCACGAAATCTGACCATTCACTACATAATACTTTAAATTCATTTCAAGATGTGAGAGATTCTAGAAATTTTCCAAAAAGACGTAGTATTAAAAAGTCATCATCCAGCAGTAGCATACGCAGGTTAGATTCTATAACCGAATTTCCTAAAGAACAGGTAAACGTGGACTTGCCTGCTATAGATGAAAGTAAATTATTATTGAAAAAGGATAGTGCGAAACAGAAAAATAAACCTAAGCTAAAAACAAAAATTACTTCATCTGTCGAAGTAATTGAGTCTCCAGTGAGTCCACTAAAATTTAGAGTTGAGAATGTTACCGTAGAAGAAAAACCACGATCACCAAAGAAGGAAATCATTTACAGCAGTGAAGTAGAAATAATTCCTCAGGTGTCAGAGTCCAATAACTTGTCAGAGTTAATTAAAGACAAGAACACTACAAAAAGTGTACCTGAATCGCCTGAGCCAGACGATGGCAATTTTTGGAATAAAATAGGAAAAAGAGAAACTGTTTACTTAGCAAAAAGAAAACAAAACCTAACTGAAGCTAAAGAAAAACACTTAAGATCATTATTTTGGTTTCCAGAAGAGGAAGAAGGTGAAGGTAGTGAAGAAAGCAAAGTGAATAACTTAAGTGAGTCAGGTACAACTTCCAATTGCAACTCGTCTTTAACCGACGTAAACTCGACGGAAAAAGCAATCGAACAAATTTTAAAGCCAATACCAATCAAACAAGAAGAAAGTATAAAAAATAAATTAGAAGTAGAAGTTACTAAAGATCATTCCGACCAATTTAAGGAAGAAGAGAAAAATTCTAATCTAATAATAAATGTTGATTTGGAAATCCAAGGTAAATCTGAGCCTATCAATTATGATAACGATAAGGAAGTAGTTCAATTACCAACCAGTTCGGAAATAAAAGAATTGAAAGAAGAAAATTCACAAGCTCTACAAGAATCAACTAATGAAAGATCGTCGAATAATGCCAAACTGCTTCATGAATCTACAAAAGGAAACAACGCACAACCAACCGAAAAAGAAGCATCTGTAAAAAATATTGGAAAGAGTGCATCGCTGGATGCTATTGATGAAAACAAAGTAAAGAAACCTAGTGAAAAGAAAACAAAGTCAGAAAAATCTAAAAAGTTACCTAAGAAGGATGCTAAAAATGAGCTAAAATCCCTTCAAACTATTTTACCAAAACCACAAAGCACAAAAACCAATGTAAAAACGCTCAAAAAGTCTGAAAACGCTAATTTGAAAGATACAACTACAGAGAGCCAATCTACTCAAACAGAAGCAGCAAACAAATCAATAGATGATGAAATTAAAGTTGAATTCAAATCTGCAGAGTCAACTATGATTAAAACTGCAGATCAAAAACAAATAGAAGAAAAAACGCCAACAGAAAAGGTAGAAACCAAACCACTAGAATCAAATAACAAAGCAGAACCACAAAATAAAGTTAATACAGCAGGATCCATCAAATCCTCAGGATCTGCAAGAAAGATCGAAGAATCTGATAACAATTCTCAATCAGTCGACCCTGAAAGTAGCAACACTAAAATGCCAGATTTTAAGATTAACGTTAAAGTCACCCAAGAGAGTTCGTCTAAGATAAGTGAAAAAGAATCAAAAGATCAGATTTCTAATTCTTCAGAAAAATTGCCTGACACTAATAAACTTGAAAATAAAGAATCATCAACAAGTACAATTCCTTGTAATTGTATTTGCACGTGTTCCAAACAAACAGAAAAGGAAACCAAAGTTGCGAGTTTAAAGAAAAACTTGAAAGCACCTGTTAAAAGATCTCCAGAATCTAAATCACAATCAAATAAGCCGGTGAAAAGTGAAGTAACTAAGACTGATGATAAATTTGCGGAAGTAAATACGCCTCCGATCAATAAAGAATCATTGATATTATCAAGTTGTGATACGTCGCTTACAACGGCTAATGTTCCTGATACATCAATAGTGTTAGAATCACAAGACATTCCAAAAGAAGAGGTTGAAGCGAAGGAACAAGGTGAACAAAAGACAGGAGAGATAAATAAGGCTGAAAATACAAAAAAAGACGAACAACCAGAAACCTCCACTCAAGGGCTAGCTACTTTGCCAGTTACGCCGAAAAGGCCGGTGAAAGAAGAAAAAGCGCTGAGACCTTTAATAGCGACTCCACGCCCTTTGCAAAAGAAAGCCCCTCAAATAATCCATTCAGACTCGTCGGATTCTTCATCAGAAGAAGAGTCCTCAGATGAGGAAGATGAAGATGAATCAGAAGACAGTGAAGAATCTGGAGAATTCTACGAATGTGAAAATAATCCAGATGGAAGGACATCTACCGGTTCAAATGATTCAGGCTTCGATTCTTCAGCACCTGCGTCACCAGCAACATTTTCGCAAATTAAAAAAGGTAACTATTTTAAATCATTCTAGATACGCACTAATTAACGGGAGTCATGTATGTAAATTTTTCCACTATCCACATATCCAACTAATTTTCCACTAAAACGATAGAAAACTATGCACGTTCGCTTTTGCACGGCTTTCAGCGTATTAGATATTGTAGCATGTCTGTACAGATGTACAAAAACCTTTAAAATCTTTACAAGCCTAGAGCCACGCGACAATTGGTAATCTGTTTTAGACTGTGATGTAAACTGCCATCGAAAGTGTGAAAAATTGACTTCGAATTTGTGCGGCGTGAACCAGCGACTATTGGTGGAAGCTTTGGCATCAAGAACTGCATCGAGAAGAGGTGGGTAGACACTTGAAATAGAAACGAAAGTATGTCTGAGGTGATATCGACGATTTTTGTGTTATCAGCTAAATGAAAAATACCTACCAATACGAACGTCATTGTGACGTTAGCCGTTCAGCCCAAAATAAAGCAATTTTATTGGCTAGCTATCTTACGTCTGTTACTGTTATTATTACATTTATTTTGTAGGTATTTATTGACATGACTAAGAAAAAACTTTCCCGGCAAAAGACACGCGGAAGCCTAAAAATGAATTTTATTGAATACAATATGTTATTCGTTGTTGATTCAAATACGAATTACAATTTCCGTTTTCAAGAGAATATAATAAATCTATCCTTCGATAAAGTCAATTTCTAGTAGATGTATTTATTTATAAATTGTAAGAGTATTGTGCGTATTTGTTTATGTTCAGAAGTACATTGTGGCGTGGGCGTGATATGTGGCTGTCTGGATATAAGCCAATCATTTGCTCACCTGTACAAAATTAATAGAATTAATTGTAGCTACGATTTACATAAAGAGATTTTGTCAAAACGTAAATAAATAATATCAACCTAAGTATCTGAGTATGGGGTAAATACCCCCAGTACATACTCTTTCCTCGAAAAAAAATCGGTACAATAATCGAGTTAGTCAGGTTTTTTTTGACCCAAAATTTATATTTTGTTTCTTGTTGTGATTCTGTCAATCGTTTGATTCTCATGAGTCTAGATTTGGTACGATTCGTAGGATAATTATTTCATTGCAAATAGAAATCTCTATCGGATATAACGGAAGTATTGATGAAGGACATTATAATTTGATCATTCATCAACGTAGTGGCATGATGATGGATGCCAGCGCGTGTCTCCACTCTCGTGACTAACGGATCGACAGTACCTGCGATCTTTGATTAATTGGCTAGCGTCTCTTCAAACGTCAATGCATGTATTTTTATTTATAAGACAACATATTTATTTGGTCATTACTTTATGATGCACAAAATATTGCAAATTTTGATATAAAAATTCATATTGACTGATCAATTTTTAATTATATATAAACGCGACTTGTTTTATCTTTTGCATGACTTTAAATATTATTAATTTTTATTCGATCACTTTTGTGGCGTATTTAGATTTGTTTTCTTCTTTTCACTACACACGCTGACGAATAATAACTACATAATATTCAAATATTAGACCAATATTTCTTTCTTAATATGAGACATGTTGAAATGTTTATTCTTGCATTCTTTTATTATGTTTTATATCAAATATTATAATATGTATATACGCACTTATATACATCTCGACCCGAATATATAGTAATTTGAATATATATAAATTGCCACATGTATAGGGGAGCGTGATCAACAGTTCGACAGATTTGGCTGAGTTGTTTTCATTGCGAAATCAGATGTTAGAAAAAGATTCATGTGAACGACTCTTCCTTTGAAGGCTGAGAGGCTTGATAGGTTATTACTCTACTATAGGTACTTATACCAATAGTAAAGCTTTTTGAATGTATTATTTTGGTCTTGTGAGTATTATGTAGAACAATTTGATTATAATTCCTGTACGCAGGTGGTGAGGCACCCGGAACGTCCTCGAGCGCCACTTCTGCAGGCGCCAACAACACGGACATCTTGGAACAGCAGCTTGGTGAGACATGATATAACATGATTACAATATATTTATTGTACGCTCGTGTATATCTTTTCTATACCTTCTACAGAGTAGATGGATATTATTGTTTTTCTTATTGTATTTACCCAAATTTTGCTTGCAGCTACTAACACGGTTTTCATAGACATAGATGTCATTTACTTCATTTCAGCGGTTTTTAAAATATACTCATACCCACGCCCACGTCACGCTCTGACCGCGTGAACTTTTGGCTCATCTTTCTAATCTTGATTTATATGTAACTGAACATTTTATGTTTACGTTTTATTTAATCACGAACCAGCAATTGCAGGTCAAAGCTCAGAACCATTCGTCTAATCTAAGTGGTAAATAGTTCTGGTATGTAGGTACAAAGATTCGATCAAGTGAAAGATTTATTAGTGTCTGATCATAAACACTGGCACGATTGGCAAAAAATCTGATTGTATTCTGATCACATCTATAAATATCTTGCAGCAGGCAGGACATCTGCTGAAAACAGAGTGCAGGCCCACGCCCCAAATGGGTTCCGCATTCCAGTCCCACGACTCTCCACTTATCACTGTGAATATTATATAATACCAACATAAGCAGTGTTAGAACGACTTCCAAATTAATGAGACGCTATTTATTCTAACAAATAAAGAGTTTATTGAAAATTAAAGATATAAATTTCCAAAAACAAGCTCGCTTATTTTTGGAATTTCCTCGCTATCGAGAACTTTTTATTTCTGTGTTTGCATAACACCTATGTAAACAACACTTGCAACTCTAACCGCTACCTCCTGGAAGAACAATGTAAAATAAACGTATTTTTCCATGAACATTAACAGACCAAACAGGAAAATTAGAAACTCCAAGAACTTAGAGGTGAACGAATGATTTATTTCCAATCAAGCGAAACTTGCCAAGTTCTGACGCCTCAAAAGGAATATTTATTTTACAAATGAATGACTCTTATTCCTAAAATAAACACACTTCAAGTACCTACGATATTCCATTACAATTTTAAGTATATTAATGTACATGAAAATGTTTGCCAATTCAATTCTTTTCTCTTTTTTAATTCTACATACATCGGTCGCGTGGTTATGTTCTGAATCTCATACCCTAGTTCGACCTTATTGCAGACGCATTCACCAGTCCGGTGAAGTATTATTTCTGTTACCCATTTTGAACAACCTACATACTTACTAAGATCCACCAATGGGAACATTACTCAGTTGAATAAAGAAAAATATATTTAAGTACCTACTTAGAAACTAAACTTGGAGCATTCAAAACAGCTTGAAATCCTGACAAGACTGTGAAACAACACTGTTAAATACGTGTTAATCATTAATTTATATAGTTACCACGACTACCATCTTATTTTATCGAGTAATGTTTTGTAGCATTTGCAATAAACACAAAGGCTACCATATGCCAAAATAATTGTACCTATACACATACAATAATACTACTACAATACTGATTAGAGATTGATATAGAGCTTTAGCTTTTGTTACCATCGTGAGACATACCAATTTTATTAAAAGTAACGACTTACTCAATTGAAATTAACAGAGAAAATCTCTACTTACTAACTTCAAGACATATTGGTATTCTTGTTTATGAGCAACGAGCGCATCGCGGGGACGTCGCGCACCCGACTTAATATTGTTTATTTAGATATCTTTTAGTGTTAAAACATTTTGAAATTTGGAAACCAGTTTAAAAAATCGAGTAGGCTAGAAGAACATAGAATTCATAATTCTCAGATTTTTTGTGTTAAAATAGTTTTTATTGTTATTTGTTTTTCGACTAACACACGACTTGTGTAGTCGTAAAGTCTTGTAAGTTTTTCGTTCGATATCTTTAAATAATTAATGTGACATAGACGAACCGGGAGGAATATTAAATACTATTTATTTATAAAATAGCTCATACTTATTATTAGCAATTTATAATATAATCAGGTTAAAATAGAAACAGAACATAAACCTAGATTGAATACCACTTGAATTGTAGGTAATTGGGTCTGGCTCAAACATGTTATTTATGATTTATGTACGAACAGCATCGTAGTAATATATTGGACACAATGTTAGGTGAGTTTCACTTTATTGGCTGTGGGCATCAACAGATAATTTGCACGTAAAATACGAGTATACTTATCTATAATGAAAATTAATTGTGACACAATTTTACATAACATTTAATAAGTATTATTACATAGTATAAAACAAAGTCGCTTTCTCTGTCCCTATGTGTGTACCCTTAAATCGTTAGTTAGTTATGTAATCTCTAAGTTATTATATTGAACCGTGCGGTTCAAAATATAAATATACATTTTTTTTACCACACGGCGCAATGGCTGTGCAACGTGTCGCGGGTTCGATTCCCGCGAAGAACACTTTGTGTGATCCACAAATTGTTGTTGGGTGGCTTTTGTATGTTTGTAAACGCATCCACGACACAGAAGAAAATCCTTATGCAGGAAAGTTTTTTTAAAGTTAACCTGTAGTAGTTTCTTGAAACAGTGTTAGAAAAAAGTTAAAAGTGGTTGTTGTATATAAGCCATGCTTTTAAACATTTGTAAGTGCACATATGCAATTTTTTCATAGAAAATAGTGCGATCATCGAATTAGATTCGATGAAATAAAAATAAATAATTTACTCTTGAATTTCCCAAGGTTCTAAAAACAAAGATTGTTTAATTTCATGTCACTTTTGATGTTAAATTTATATTTTGGCTTGCCTACATTCTATAGCAACTATCGTTTTTAATTGAAAGTAAAACTTACGGATTGAATTCTTGGCTCTTGAGTACCTATTTACACACACAATACAATTATGAATTATTAATTTCAAACTTTATGTGCATAAAAAATACATACAAAGGCGGACTTAGTGCCCGAAGGCCGCCTAAGTCCGCCTGCCCCCGCAAAAACATAATATATTAATACAATAAATATAACTTACAAATACACATATAAGATATAAATAATACACAAATAATACTATTAAATTAATATCAGTTTTCTTGTCCCTCATTTAATTGGAGAAATAAACAAATTAAAAACAACTCTGCAGATTTCTGTTCTCTGTCTGGTCACTTAAAGTGTTTATCATTGTTCTTTCAACTTATTATTCTGTCTACTCGTTTTTAGAATATAAAATATAATACGAAAAGAAATTGGCCAGTAGGTAATGCAAGTAGGTCTCTTAATAAATTGTATAAATAGAAAAACGTATTAAAATACATCGTTCGAGAACATAGTCTGTTTTCAGTGATATTTTTATTTAAGTACTGGCAGCCCGCCCTCGCTTCGCACGGGTCCAACAATCTCGATATCAAAGGGTCACTTTTTCCTAAACTTCCCATCTACTTTTCTAATATTTTCTTTAATAAGAACCTTATCCTGACAATAACAAACACAACAAAAAAGAATTAGCAAAATTGGTCCAGGCGTTGTTGAGTTATGCGCTTACCAACACATTTTAGGATCCATTTTTATATATAAGATTAAAAAAGATTAGAATAATTTTCTTAAAACAGTGAGACTGGATTTGAACATACATTATGATATAGTCATGTTAAATATTACAGTATTCAGGGAATGAAAACAAAACAGCCAATTACAAAGTACGTACTGTGCTCGCCTCGTTTGCCTAGGAAGATCAAAAAAGTTATACTTCGTCACAAGTGTGATAATCCAGTAGAAAATAAGTAACTTAATATGGAAAGTTCGATTTTTCTTTCAACAAGATCCCGTGATAACCCCAGAATTAACCGCGACGACCTTGATATTGCCGCGTCTGAGCAAATATTTTTAGCGACGCTCACGATCTCATACGAGGTGAAAGAGAATTAATATATCGCACATGTTGTACCAATTATGTCATACTACTATACACACACACAACGTAAACATCCATGAACTTGAATTATGTTTTAAACCGACGACTAGAACATTAAGAAAAACGTATAAACACGAGTCGTGAATCAGGACACAGTTTTAGTGCCCACTTCAACAAGATATAAAAATATTGCACTATGATTAACTAATGAGAATTAAAGACCATAGTTTGTTTTAGTAAGAACAATGCCTTTTTAGTGCCTTTTTCGTTCCTCATTCTTTTTAATGGTTTTAAAAAGAATGAGGCTTTTTGGTTGTATCTGGGCACTTTGCAGCAAATAAGGATATTAATAAAACAAACTTCTTAATAAAATAAATAACAACGACCAAAATCTTTGGCTTAGTTAAGAAGTCAAAATGAAGCATTAAACATTTGTGAAAGCATTAAAAATGTATAACGTAACGTTTTTGCCAAAACAACTTTCCGTAACCTACAGAGATAGAGTCCGTCACTAATCCCAAAACAACATAAATTAAACTTTAACGACTAACAGTGTCGGTTCCATTTTGAATTTTCAGCCAAACGGAATGATAATTTAACAAAAATAAATAAGCCTTATTTCATATTTTTATTATGATGGGAAGCTAAATAAAATAACAAAGTCACCGTGTTGGTGGTCGCATTTGAAGTAGTGCACGATAAGGACTGTTTCTTCCAAAATAGTTTTATCAAAAGATATTTTTTGATGTGCATCAGACAGATGAAAAAAATTTAATAAAACCAACTGACATTTAATGTTACCAACAGTTCGTCTTATAAAATGTAGCTCATAATTATTTTAATGAACAATTAAGTTTTTTAAAAATACTTGATGATACTTTCATTTATCGTTTTCATACGAGTAGAATAATTTCATAATGTTTTATAGCATAAATTTATTGGAAATAAATATGCTATTATATGTTATACAAAGATACTTGGATACTTGATCGGATGTTACTCATACATAAATCTTATAGTGTGTCTATTTTAGACAATTAATATACTTATTATTTTCAATACTTTTCTTTCTTGTCAACAACTACATATATTTTATGTAATCATCTTATATCTCATGTCACGATGGATTTTGAATGGTCCAATGTAAGACTGCTTGCCACTCCAATATAATTTCTACGCTTTAAAAATATTAAACATCTTCAGTTGTACTACTCTTGCGTCACAATTTATTGGATTCTTAAACATTAGTAAGCAAAATTAAACTTTCTAAATAATTCTGTTCGCAGATAATGTCGTAACGATACCAAAATAGCTGCCTAGTGCTTGAGGCTCTCTTTTAATAATAATAAATTAAAGCTTTTTATTTAAAACAAAAACTAGAGATAAATCGAAGCGCATCATACGAGACAACATACGATAAACATGTTTTGGATAAATTTCTCTCTTTTGCAGAGCAATCGACTGCTTATGACATCTTCAAGAAAACTGGCCGGTTCACTCCCCCAGCACGGACCATACCTCGCTTCAGGAAGTACACGGTGGAAGACTTCCAATTCATCAAGGTCCTGGGTAAAGGCAGCTTTGGAAAAGTAAGTTCATTAGCCCGAGTTCATAAGTCTTTATCTTCCAAGTCTCTTAAGAGTTACCGCGTCACAGGACATTAATTAGTCAGTGCGGATTGTTCGCAATTATCATTGTTTTCTCCCGCCGACCTGGATCTGGCTCAGAGCAGTCGGTTGCCAGATGAAGATTTGTTTCGACATTTAAAAATTGATCAATATATCACAACAATCAAAGATAAGATCTTTTTGTTGATAAATATCAAAGCTGTACAATTCAAGCTCCGAAGAAGTTCAGAGATGTTCTCATGGACTATTTTTCAACTCCAGCCAACAACTATCAATCTGACGCCACTGTCTGCACCTCGCAGCTATAAAACATTATTCTTCCTAATTGCTACCAAGAAAAAGTGATTTTATTTTGTGAAAAAACCAAGGTGTGTGCAAATTCGCCGTCCGAAAATAAACGAAAACTGAAACAAGGGATTTTGCCAAGAGAAAAAACAGGTCTCGCTAACATAGATAAGCTGTTGTGTAGGCACCTATACGTAATGATTTGCAATAGACAACACAGTGTTTAGTTTCTGAAAGACGCGTCTAATAATAACACGTGATATGACAAGCCGGAGACATTCCGTGGCTACGACACATGCTATGCCCATCTTGTCCCTGAGCCGCAATGTCAATTATTAATTCTATCTCAATTATTCCTTCCTGATTGCAAAAAATAATGTTGTTTTGATATAGTTTCGCTGAATGCGGAAATTATTATATTTTTACGATTACATTTAGGTTTCTTTTATATATCTGGCACGTTACACTTATTTTACCTACGCACCGGTGTGATACCACAGCCTTACAGATCATCAGCGTGAAACGACCACAGCAATGTGCTTTGCCGTGTATGTGAAGTTTTTCTCCAGGTGTGGGTGAAAAGCCCTCCTTTCTCATTCCCAGAATCTCCGAAACCCTATAATCCCTAAAGGCCGGCAACGCACTTGCAACTACTTTGGTGTTCATGGTCGGCGCCGATCGTTTACCTTCAGGTAGTCATCCGCTTTAATATCTTGGAAAACATATCAGGGAGCGCCTGTATTTTGACGAGGAAAGACAGTGTTTCTATCACTAATCTAATTATTTCTATTCTCTCCTATTAACAAGTACACCTACCAATTTATTATTACGTTCAGTGCATTTGTCTTCGACACAGAACTGGCAGGTTATCAATTTTTATCTGAGAAGACCACAGCGACTCGGCGGTTATTCTAGTAGGCATTATAACATTAACACCTTAGTTATTGCACTCTTAAACTGTGTCAAAGTGTTAGGAAATCATATGAAAATAGAATTAACTACCTGAGAACTCGAGAATAGCAGATTTGATGGAAGTAGGTCAACAGTGGGTAGGTACATGATATTCATATGTACTCATAATAATAACAACAGAGAATTGGAGACACTCATTACACTTCAAAAAGCGACGGCAGGCAAAGCGGAAAATCAAATTGTACTTAATAACGAAGTGCGTTTCATCGTTTTGGAGGAATGAAATGACTGAATCACTATCGCAACCTTCGTAGTTCAGCTATCGGAAAGTTTTAATTTATTCATAAACAATAATTTTATTGAGACTCATTGAAGTGAATGAGCTATTACGTCCACGATCACGGTTGCCTACGTCAGTAGACGTCTCCGATTCCCACCAGGTACACTAAATACGTCACAGCCCAGCGAACCGTCTAAAATATTATCTAGGTGTCTAGTTGATTTTGACAAGTGACGATATAATGCTATTAATTTCTCGAATCCGAGACACAGACGCAGTGGCGAGCTACGCCAGCTACTAGTGACGCACAGAACATCAAAGTGTTGGGAAATGTCAAATAATATTTTTATATGCACACAGCGGACGATGAACTCGTAAAGTTCTGGACTACTTGTATCCGATTAGAAGGATTTCTAAGCGTTAGATAAAATTTCTATGTATCGAATTCATACTTACTATCAACACTAAAATTCTATCGAAAACGCCTTGCTTAATCTTACAACTTTCTTTAATCAGGACGTTTTCACATTATTAGATATACCTACAAAGAAAATTCGAAGCGACAAAGACGATCACAAGGGAGCATTGACCCCATCACCAAATGACCTTTCGGTTACAATTAATGCAAACGCATTTATCGTCGTTGAACAAAGGCATTACACAGACCTTCAATAGTGATAGAGGTTGAGAAAATTATAGTGACGGAGTAACGGTAAACTTTCATCGTAAATTCACGTAATAAACAAAGAGAAGATAGAATCAAAGCCCCCATAAAACTGTCACTCGTGTGCTATTAACTCTGCGTTCGTCGCCAACCGCCCTTTCCTTTCGTCAGGGATAAAATTATCTGCCGATATTGTGCAACATGCGGTTTGTGGTCCGGGCCCGAAATACTTGTGAACTTTGATATTTTAAACGAAGAATACCCGTGGAAAGATTTGTTTATTGTATGCAAACAGATTAACGTTGCACTAGGTCAGTTTATTTGTAATTAAATGCAGACATATTATTTTATTACAATCGTAATTTTGTATATTCATATTTTAACATCTAAACTTGTGTGACAAATCACATTAGTTTAGAGTGTTCCACTAGAGTGAAAATAGAAATCAGGACAGGCAGACAGCGGGTCTAACTCAGTCATTCTAGCAATAAATTATTCTAAATCACCGTTTCTGAGAATCTCTTTGTAGGAAAGAAAATATCGAAATATTATGACAGGAAAATTAGTAAAGACAATCAATAAATTTATAGATTTCATGTTCCTATTTAAAGCAACGACTGATCTCGTGATGTTTAGTGGGTTACAACGAAAAAACCACATACCTACCTAGTAACATTTCGAAAAACAATTTTATAAAATCACTCTTTAAGACAACTAAATTATTTAATGTGTACTATTTTGAGATATGTTTTGTGTATTGGATTTTATGTCAATATGTAATGATGATTTTGGTGTAAATGTAGTGGTGACCGTAACCTCAGTGACGACGCGTGATGGCAGTCTGCCACCTGCAGCTAAGCGGTTCGCTGCGCTTTACCTGCCGTACTATCGTGCTGAAACATTAGATTTATTTGCTCTATTTCGGGTGCCTACATCACTGGCCACCTAACCAACGTCAGAGAACACGTGTCATCGTCCTCCGCTCGACGTACTGTCGCCTATTAACTATTGTCTATCGTGGCTTAATAGTCTGCCATCTACAATTATTATCTACCCTATAGTACCTATCTATACAACAATAAATGTTACAGCCAAAACAACGCCATCTTTCAACGCATGTAGAGGCACGCTATTTTTCCACAGCGTATTTTTATTCTTTAAACGGATGCGTCACGTTAATGTTTCCATCGATTCTATTAGTTCAGGTTGACATTTTCTGTAAAGGTTTATCTACGAATAGACGTACTTAATAAATGCGAACATTCGTTAAAAATAAATGAGCGAACGTGTTACGTTCAATTTGATTTACGGCTATACCAAATACACGTTTATTAGCAAGAGTAATCCGCGCGTTACGTGAGCCAGAACGCAACGTCTTCCTGGTTTCACAGTGCTTGGCCCAATTGCCTTTGAGATTCGGCCAAGAATACGGAGAAAGCATCATGTATATGAATATAAAACGAAAACTTGTGTCGTGCGGGTGTCACGTATGCTTCCTGCGACATATATCAGCTTAATTTTACTTTGTTTATTTATTAAGGTACCTACGAAGTCGTATAAAACGAAAATGGTTTTGTAATATATTTGATGCAAGCTGCGACGTATTGTTACGTAATACCTTACGAATATGATGGAAGATGAGACACAATCATGTGTATGTGTCTACGAATCCATCTGCATGACTTCTCAAAGACAAATCTTTCTCACAGTTCATTTTTGTGGCATCCGCTAACGATTTGCGTATCTTTAAATAGACCCGGTATCAATATCTGTTTGTCTCAGTACTAACGTCTATTTGTGAACGCACTGAACTGGAGAACTATAGGGCGATGGACGCTTTCAGTAGTGTTATTTAAATAACGCTTACCAATGATATAAATATATAGTTTGTTTATTTAAACATGCTCATACGAATGTACCTACATAGTTAGAAGTTCAAATTTGTGCCCGTAGAACGTTGCATTTTTATTTTTTAGCGTTAATGGTCGACAAAGATCATGGTATATACTTTGTAATGTCTGTCGTAACTAATAAATAAAACTTAAAATTAAATATAAAATAATTGTAAACAAAAGCCAGCCAGATTAATCTTTATTATAGATATTTTTAGTAAATAAAAATGTAATTATAAGAAAAAAATATGCTTAACGGATTTTTTATCTGTTTTTCCAGGTACTGTTGGCGGAACTGCGTGACACAGAATACTACTACGCTGTGAAATGTTTGAAAAAAGACGTTGTTTTAGAGGACGATGACGTCGAGTGCACATTGATCGAGAGGAAAGTTCTCGCACTTGGCACAAATCACCCCTACCTCTGCCATTTATTTGCCACTTTTCAGACGGATGTAAGTAAACCGAACATTTATAATAATATTTCATGCTCCACGATGACATTCCAAATAGCTTCATCTCACTAAATTTTATGCGGAGATCATTAATGGCTAAGCATTTGTATCGAATAAATTATTATTTTTTCATAAGTAATCTTAATACATGTTTATATTATATAAGTATTTTGAGTAAAAAGATTGCGTATTATGTAAACCTTTTTATATTTATATTTAAAATAAAATTGGCACGCACTGGCAGATAAATCAGTTATGATTTCCGTCCTAATCACATAAAGTTATTATGAAAAGTAGAAACGGTAGGACCATGTCATCTGTACAAACAGATCAACTTTAAAATACGATTCGCTGATTAAATTGATATCATCGTAGCAATCTTAGAACTAAGTCCATTAAGGATAAAGATCATTCAGGATTGTCAAACATTCTTCTTTCTTAGAATTTCCCTCAATTAACAATACCCTTACCTTATTTACCATTTATTCGATATACAACGAAGTGCTAGCCAAAAAATCTTATCTTGATAAAATAAAATCTGATGATGGTTAATTTGTATGTTTTAGTCTCACCTGTTCTTCGTAATGGAGTACCTGAATGGCGGTGACCTGATGTTCCACATTCAGCAGAGTGGGCGGTTCCCTGAACCACGAGCTCGTTTCTACGCTGCGGAAATTGTATCGGGACTTAAATTTTTGCACAAGAGAGGCATTGTTTACAGGTAAATAATAAACAGGAGCAGTAGTAGTAGTATATAGAAGAAATATCCTTTTTTTATATAGGTCGGCAAACGAGCAGACGGATTACCTGATGGTAAGCAATCAGCGCCGCCCATGGACACCCGCAACGGAGGAGTTACGAGTGCGTTGCCGACCTTTTAGGGATTAGGGATTGAGGAGGGATTGGGGGCTGGTAAGGATTGGGCCTCCGGTAACCGCACTCACACGGCGAAACACAACGCTGTGGTTGTTTCACGCCGGTCTTCTGTGAGGCCGTGGTATCACTCCGGTCGAGCCGACCCATTCGTGCCGAAGCATGGCTCTCCCACACTTAAACCTACCTTTACTTTGACGGGTACTGCTACGACTATAACTAGAAAGCTCATCTTTGTGCAATGACTCAAATGAATTGGCATAATTTCCACTAGGGTAAACCTGGCAAATGTGCCCCACAATTCGAAAAATTGAAATAAAAAACGGTGTTATTTAAAACATGTTTATTAAAGTAACTAATCTTAATCTCTGACTCAATAGGTATAACAAAAACAAAGAAAAAACGTGTCAATAGTGTTTAAAATTGCTGAGATCAACGATTTCTTAAAGTCTATGGTGGGGCACATTACACGGATATATCAGTCATATGTGCCCCAATAATTTTTATAGGAAAATCCGAAGGATGTCCTAATTCCGAAGGTCTATCTATATTTTGCTTGCTATCCCAGCCTTTCAGGATGGGTCTATGATCTCATTAAATTCTTGATGTTATTTCATATATGCGGCTAGCTTCATTAACTCCCATTTTCTTGGTTATGACATCTTTTATAACTTTTTTCATATTTTCTCTTGTCTATCTTTTTGGATCCGTAGCTTTTTCCTACCCCGTTCATAAAAATAAAAATAACTGTTAAAAAAGCTTTAAAATAAAAATATAAAACTAATACAGATGTGGGGCACATTATCCAAAAGGAATCGGGGCGCATTAGCCAAAGTTCAGTATATTGTGCCACACTTGATTTCAAAAAAATGTTTAAGAAACTAGAAAAGCAATTGTAGTTACACAATAGTTTCATGAGGTTACCTTTATAATAAAACTTTAAAAACTGAAAAAAACATGAAGCAAGAATTTTAAATCAAAGTTACAACAGACACAAAACATTTTCAGACTACGATACATACCTTGTGACCACTTTTTCTTCGTAAAAACAAATAAGTAACAGCACTGAATTTTTTACATCAACGACATGCTTCTGTCACTAACCCACACGGACAAAATTACCGCCAAATTCAAAATGCATCTGTCAATTCTGCGAGTGGGGCACATTATCGACTGGGGCACGTATGCCTGATTTACCCTATACAACCACAACTTTAAATAATTCAAATGAAATACTTAAGTACAAATACAATAATAAGTACGTACTACAATATATCTAATTACAAATATTTCACTGATTTCCAGAGACTTGAAACTGGACAACATCCTTCTAGACTTTGAAGGTCACGTCCGTATTGCAGACTTCGGTATGTGCAAACTTCAGATCTACTTAGACAAGACCGCAGACACTTTCTGCGGCACCCCAGACTATATGGCGCCAGAGGTTGGTTGCATCTTTTTTACATATTTTGTTTATTAATAAATAATAAATAGTGACCCACCCCGGCTTCGCACGGATGCAATGCTAATACTAAATTTCTCCACTAGATATTTAATGGATGTTTATTATACATATATATTAACCTTCCTCTTCAATCACTCTATTTACAAAAATAAACCTTATCAAAAACCGCGTAATTTTAAAGAAAGCATATAAGGGCATATAAGGACAGAGAAAGCTACTTTGTTTTAAATTATGAAGTAATGTGGATTGTCAGGTGAACAAGCACACGCACGTCATTGTCGTGCGATCAGTGCCGCCCATGGACAACTTCAACATTTAATTTAAGGAATTACTTGATAATTTACCTCCTTTATAGGTCAGGGTGTAACTCCACTTCAGGTTAGGGGGACTCGACGAATCATAATCTTTTCAGCTTTTTGTATTGCGTCTGTTATCTGTATACAAAAGGAATAAATAAAGGCAACTTCACTTTTCGGCTTACACTATCTCAAAATTGTCTATGTTTTTACTTTTAAGCTTTACATTGAAAATCTGCTGCAAAAATCGGCAGTGTGTTTATAGAAAACTTATTAGAAAAGATGGAAGCTGGTGGAGTATGTAAGGATCAGCCTATCTTCAAGGGACAAAGGTGTAGGTTTTTGGTGTATGCACCGTGCTTACGTAGTAATTAGGACTGATTAGGCGGGAATATCTAATACTTATATAACAGGCACAAATAACACTCTCAATTTGTTTGGAGTATTACGTAACCACAGACAATGTATACGATTACATACATATCAATCAGTTGCAGCTGAAATGAGTTTTAATTAAGACTTAAATGTGTCTCCATAGATCTTGCCATAATTAATGATTATATTGAATCATCTATTCGTTCATCTGCCAATCTCGTGGTTGGCAGTCACGCAGTGATGATCACAAAATTATACCTATTGACAATCGATCAAAGGTTGATTCATTTTGGCGCTTTCACATTGCCTAGAATATAAATTTTCACATTACTATTTTATAAAGAACTAAATTTTAAAATATGACGAATAAAATTAGTCTTTGCCCAGTAGTGCTAATGTGGGCAACACTTAAAAAAGGAACGAAGTGAAGAACCTTTTTTTAAACAATTTCAAGAATTACGTAGGTCACTTTCTTTGTTTCTAAAATCAATTAGTTGGTCTTCGAACAACAAAACTAAGTACATTAAAAATAATAATTGAAACAAGAATATAGGGCAACTTAAAACAATATATGCATTTGGCCTACGCTACACAGACAGGTATATTTTCGGCAAAAAATTGCGGACGACAAAAAGCTGTCAGTTTTGTCTTGCTGTGATATCCTTGAGCACATTTATGAAGCATGAATATGACACATTGGTACTTCACAAAGTATGTAATTAGTCGCCAAATGTCTGTCATCACTATGCAGAACAACAACACGTTTACACGATAACGTTTAGTAGCACGTTGATCAACAATGCAGCTCACTGCGGAGGTCAATAACATTCCGAGAAAGAGTCCTTCATGGAGTCATTCGTCATCTAATTTAAGCAAAGGTATACCTTATTTGGTACCGTTTTGGTTGATATTGTATTACAACTATTTCAGTATGTAAGCCCTTCTAATTTGTCCACATTAATTTACAAGTGAAATGCTGCAGTAGCTCATGAACGAGTATATATAAAGTATTTTTTTTCTGATTCCAGATAATTAAAGGCCTAAAATACAACCAGACAGTGGACTGGTGGTCATTTGGCGTACTTCTGTACGAGATGCTTATTGGGCAGAGTCCGTTCAGCGGCTGCGATGAGGACGAGCTGTTTTGGTCCATCTGCAATGAGATGCCGTCCTACCCGCGCTTCCTCTCACATGAAGCGCTCACCATATTGACCAGGGTATGTTAATGCTGTATCTGTGTAAATGAATAACACGCAAAAATACACATTCTTTTTTGTATTGAAGGAAGTTTAACAAGGGCCGCTTTATAGTTAGACTGTTACAGGTTCCGCTGTATAAGAAGGCTAACTTACAATACCGGCAGGAAAATACTCACATTTTCACCTTTTTATACATTATGAATTTGGCTAAATTACACCAATATTGCAGCTGTTGGACAAGGACGCGCGGACTAGACTGGGCGGCACCGAGTGTATGCACGGAGACATCAGGGATCAGGACTTCTTCCACGCCATCCACTGGGACAGGCTCGAGAGGCGCGAATTGGAGACACCATTCAGACCACGAGTGGTAAGCGCGATATTAAGAAAAGGCGTAGTAGCATACTTAAAATGTACTGATCATTTGGCTCAATCTGAACTTTCTGTCAACAGCGACATCCAATGGACACCCAATATTTCGACAAAGCGTTCACGGGTGAGCGACCTCGCCTCACCGCCGTAGAACCTCACGTACTGCGTTCCATGGACCAAGAACCTTTCAGAGGTTTCTCCTACACCAACCCCAACACGACGGACCGCTAAATTCAACTCTAGTACATAGAGTGATGGTTGAAATTCCCTTATATTTAGCAGGCGTAAGCGCAAGGCGTTTTCGAGAACGTTCGATGCGTGATCATCGATGTTGTTATTGGTGATTGTAAGTCCCGCTGGACGTTAGTCATTGGCAGTCGAGTTTTTGTAGTCATTAACGAGTAACTTAGACCCCATGGATAGCGTAGAGCGTAGACATTCACGACATTGTATGCGTAGATTCTACTTTTTACAAATGGGCCAAGTTATGTGAGCTGCCTTTTTACCTAAGTGTTTTATTCTAAAACGAGTCAATAGACATACTTAGAAGATATCGTAAATTAAATCAGTTGAAATGCATATCAATAAAATATGTTATTGTGTCTGGTACACAAGTTGTATTGTTATATGGATAGGTGTAAGATACAGGCTGTAACACACACGCTGCGCTATGAGATAAAAATTATTCAAGTTGTTTAAACAATTTACGGATTCAATAATACGTGGAACAAATATTTTTATGTTTTTAGCTTGTGTGTTACAAGATGTTTAATAGTAAAACAATATTTTAAATGTTCACTTATTCATGTTTATTATAATAGTACAAACAATTAAAAATGCATCAACATGCATATGACATAGTACTTAGATTATTATTTTAACGTTAATATGAGATGCAAAATTTATTCATTTATTATATTATTATTTTATAAAAATTAAGTTGCAGGCTTATGTTTCAATTCGTCAAAATATTTTGATTAAGAAAAAACAAAATGCCGTAATATGTCAATCAAATATCAACAATTCTGTGAACTAGTTTTACGATTTTTTAAATCATTTAAGTACTTAATTAAATTATATTTAATATCGTCCTTACATAAATTATACCAAAGATAGTTTGTTCGGAATGTAAATTGTTTGTTGGATAATAAAATTATTACAAATTACAATTATTGTTTTCGACTATTTCCTAATGAAATCACTACACTGTATGTATTACATGGTTACAATATTATTTTGATATACGAACATCTACAAGTTAGGTGTACTGTTAAAAATGTTTTTAGTTACATCTGAGAGATATTTTATTCAGATTCTTTGGTTTGTCTACTGTCGTACTAAAATAATTATTCTTATTTTCTATAACTAATATTGAGAGACAAAAATTCTAAATTTAACTGTACTGCTAATAGTAAAATTGAAAATGACTAAGATTTCCATTTCAAACTACTCAAAATACTCCTTAATAATATGATCGGGATAACTTATTACCAGTTGAAGGACTTTCTCTGTGGTAGCTATGAACAGATGGTGGCACATTTCTGCTTCGAACACTTCCAGCGCGACTATGGTCGGGTCCTCGATGCTCTTGTCTAGATCTTGTACTTGAATTATTATGTCAGGTTGGGGATCAGTTTGTGGTTTTGCACGGGGTCTACATACTACTACCTGAAAGTTAAAATTCGAAATTTATCTTTTGTCGAAAATACGACTATTAGTTCTTCAGCCAGGGTTGTGGGGCAAGCGCAATAAGGTATCGCAGCCCCGGTTTGGAGCAGGAGAAGGAACGATCTGATTTTTAGTTAGTCAAACTCTGACACTCCCTCCAGTGACGTGATGATATTCCACCATCAAAAAAAAAAAACGTTAATGATTTTTTTTATATTTAGATTATGGAATGGGTCCATTTCGTTTTGATTTAGATATGATAATGGATATTCATTGAAAAATTGAAAAAATGCGAGAAAAAAACTGTTCACTGAAACTGTAAGTAAGATATCTTAATATCGTTTCTTACCAATAGGGCTTTTTGGGACCTTGTCTTTTGGCAAACAGTTTTCTAAGATAAAGATAAAGAGGATAAACAGTTTATTTTACAGTCTAAAGACTACGTTCCTACCTATCTACGTTTTATAAAAAGTTACCTAGATATATTTGCTCGATTTTATAGTAAAAAGAAGCAAAGCTACAATTCAGTCAGGTAATTCTATGTATCAAACAATTTCGCCAGTTATGCTTTATGTTTGATATATTTGAATGTACATAATAATATACAGCATGTTTCTAAATCAACTTGCGGCACTCGTGTTTACATAGACGCGCACTGCGTGGCGCGATGCCAAATATTTTATTTTTTTTTCGTTTATTTATAGATAGGTAGGTAGGTAGGTATAATAATTCTATTATTGTCTGTATGGTTGCTTTTGTACTACATAACGACAGTTCGTAGTCGCGTGTTAATTTTTTTTGTATATGTATATTTTTATCGCAGACAATATACCTACATTTTTTTATCCCTTTTACTACGGTACCTAGTCTTTGATATGTATGTAGGTATGTATGGATTTTATTTAGCTGATTCTTTGTCACTCCAAATTATGTCACATTTTTAGTGACGCAACGAAATTTTTAAAGGAGTGGGGACGAATGCGTTCTTTTGTTTTTTTATATGAGCTCATGAAAGTATGTATTTCGGTAGTGACTCAAACACGTCATGTAGATTAACATATAGGGTATCCTGATAAATGTGTCCAACATATACTTAATGTAGATAGAGGGGAGGTGGAGGGAACATTAAAATCAGTTCATTATCAGAGATATATGGAGCATTTCCACTATTCATATCTATCTGTAACGCTCGCTAAATCAAGAGTTACGCTCAAGAATTTTGAACACCTGTCGATCTTTATTCTCCGAAAGAAGGAATTGTCATTCAAGAAACTTTTTTTTATTATAATCAAATTTTCTAAATGTAGCACAACCCTGCAACGACTTGACATCCCTACGTCGTGATTGAAAACTGCAAATTAAGCATCCTGGCCTCACCTACTAGGTAGATAATATAAGATAAGATAAAATCTTTATTCCTCTGACCATTTGAACAAAATTTAAACGAAAGAATAATAAGAAAATTAAAAATAGATGTACACTTTGCAGCAACTGGCTGTTCAGGCTGTCCTTAGACATAGGCCTTCCCTAATTAATTCTAGGTGTTACTCACGTACTAGGTATTCGTTCATAATAGGTAACTCAGATATCGCCAGTTCAGGATATATGGCGTTCCGCGCGCGCCTAAACGAGCCATCAGACCACTACAGGTGAAGACTAATAGGGCCGATGTCCAGCCAGGGTTGCGAGTTGCAAGCGTAATCCGCGGCCTCGGTGCGGAGCAGAACGAGTGGGGTGGATTTAATCAGCAAGAGTCTGACACTCACTCTCGCCCCATAATAGTAAGAAGTCAATGATATTATACGTAAAAAGGTGTAGATAGGTTACAAGCGCTCAGCAAGTGAAACATTAAATTGTGGCTAACTAGCCACACTTTTTCATATTTGTCTCTATTTCACTCGCGATTATTGAATCGTTCCATCCCCCTTTAACGTGTATCATACGATTTATTCATGTGTGCATTAAGTGTGCCGTTTTTGAAAATCGAATTATGTTTATGTAACCTTTCTATAACATTTTAATTCGTTAATAAGTTTTTTTGTAACGACGTAAAAACTTAGCTTTATATTTGTACCAGCAATAGGACTGATGAGTAAAATTCAATTTCATGCCTGTTTTGTAAAATAACTTAAAACATTACAAACGATCTCGGCCTTAAAATAATAAAAATATTTACGTGTCTCAGCTATGCATATAAATAAAATTGGAATCCTGTTTCTAATAACCAAGTTTTACTACCTACATGCATATGAATGCATACGGTAGGTACACAAAGTAAAACATTTTATAATTTTTGTCTGACTTTCTACAAACAGATGTTTGTTTCGACTAAACTTTGGAATAGCTGGAAAGATTTCGGCCTGAATTTTATTGCAAGGTAGCTTGATTTTGAAAAATTATTTAACTTTTATGGCGATAGGATATGTCGCGTTAAACTTTAATCAAATTTTAGCAGAAATCGCGGGTATGAGCTAGTATTTAATAATCATCTGCCAGGCTATCGTTATTGGCCTTTCAGATGGCGCTAATGTAAGTATCGTGTGTTTTTGTAAACTCTCTTATTTTAGGATTTTTGCACGTGTCTGGGATTGTTTACAAACTTACAGTGTCAGATAAACGTCACACCCAAACCCGAAACAACAATTTGTAGATCACATAAAATGTTGTTCCGTGCGGGAATCGAACCCTCAACAGCTGTCGATTGCCAATTCACCGCAAAAACCGTGTGCTCAATCGCTGTCGCTGTCAATAAATGAACGAGTAATGGCTTGATACTTTTTTTTATGTAATAGACCGGCACACGAGCAGACGGATTACCTGATGGTAAGCAATCAGCGCCGCCCACGGAGACCCGTAACAGAGGAGTTACGAGTGCGTTACCTTTTGGGGATTAGAGAATTTGAAGATTTAGAGATTGCGGAGGGATTGGGGTGGGATTAGGGGAGGGATTGGGGGAGCGATTGGGGCAGGGATTGGGACAGGGATTGGGGTAGGGATTAGGGGAAAGATTGGGGGAAGGATTGGGGGAGGGGAAGAATTGGGCATCCGGTAACCTTACTCACACGGCGAAAAACAACGCTGTTGTTGTTTCACGCCGGTTTTCTGTGAGGCCGTGGTATCACTCCGGTCGAGCCGACCCATTCGTGCCGAATGATGGCTCTCCCACACTTACTTGCTAGTTAATTTTGAATTATAAACCTCACAAACACAGCACAAGTAGACCTCAACTATATATTTATTAGCTTCATGTGGGGAGCAAAAAAAAAACTGAAGCCTTCATTAAAGACTTCGCGCTAAGGCCAAGAGTTAAATAGTAAAAACTTATTAATTTGTACTTTTGATGATCTGCGATCCGATTTCAGGACTCTTATAAGTCCGTGCTATTGATTTATTTCTGTTTAAGAAGTATGTGTTCCAGTGACCTGGGTGGCTTCAAGTTCCGAGTGATAAGGTTGCTTATGGGTAATCATGCTCCATCGTAGGTCGCATTATCGCTTACCACGAGGCGTGGTAGAGGCGTTACGTCTGCCCATTCCAAAATAATAAAAAAACCGAACGAAAAAACGAACTACGACCTCATTTGGTCCTGTGTACTGGTTCCATTTACAAATACATATTCACATACGCGTTTATAGATTCTTATGAAAAGGCCTCCCGCTAGGTGGAAAGACGACATCGTCAGAGTCGCTGGGAGCCAATGGATGCAGGCAGCGAGTTGTCGTTTGACGTGGAGGACTAAGATGAAGGCCCTTGTTCAGCAAGTCTTCCGGCAGATGATAATGATGATATACCGATCGATATGCATCAATTAATCCGTGCAGGAATCGAACCCTTATTACGTTGAATGGATTTTTTTGACTGCACGGTTGGTGCGGTTGCTGGGCAACTGGCTGCCGGAGAAAACCTTAATGTGGGCCAAGTTAAAAAAAATGAAAATATAATAAGCAGCCAGTCACTTAGCCATTGCACTAAGCGTACAAGAACTTAAATAGTTTGAAAGTAAAAATATGATTGTTACGAACCGTCCCATCTTCGAAACCGATGAACAGGACCTCGCCATGTGGCGTGGCGCACGTCATCTCGGAGCATTCCAAACGTAACTGATCAAGTTTAGCATTGTAACAATGTCTTATTCTCGGAGTCGTTTTGCTCACTGAAAATAAAAAACACATTGTATGTATGTATGTGCTCAAATGCGATGACACTGCGCGTTTCTGATTTCAATTTCGTTCGAGTTCGTGGCTTGACTTGAAACAGTTGAAACTACAATACTCCAGCATACATTAGAAATATTATATAGCCAATCAACATTTAGAATATCAGAAAGTTCAAAACTTGGTAGATAGAGAGCATGTTTTGCATAGACTATCATCATAGGACATACTACATTTGTTAAAAATACCGACTTACTTACGTGTGTTAACTGAAAAAAGCTGTAATGTTTTCAAGTAACAACGAGAGAAGATATAAGTATACCAAAAAGTTCAGACCAATCAGAAAATTCAAATATGTATTTGTATGTAGCTTATAGCAAACAGCTTCACTAAGAGAACTGACCAACCGGCTGACACTTTTTATCTTTAACCTTTGACGTTCAAAAGTGCCTGTAAGGGTCTAATTGAAATAAATGATTTGGACTTTTCACTTACCGGGCATAGCAACATCAGCCTCATTGAACAACGCCCAACCGGAGTGCAATGAAGGCAGGTGCACCATACTATTGATATCGCATAGTTTGCTAAACTTCGTGAAATCGGCATCTTCGCGCCACATAGATCCGAGCTCCGTTGCCATGGTAACCCTATTATTGTGGATATTTAAAGCACATATTTTCTTGCCGACATCACCGTAGTAGCGACCTCTCATTTTTAGACTCCACTTCTCTCTATCCCATATCAGGGCCCACACTACGTTACGGTCGGTTACCATGTAGCAGATATCGTCTTCTAAACTGTAACAACAATGAAAGTAAGAGACTTTTCTCTTAATTCCCGATTCTGCAGAGCTACAAAGATATCGGGATAAAGTTATGTATGTTATCCTACATTCGACGAATGGGCCGGCTCGACCGGATTGATACACCATAGAACAAATAAATAGGATCTGTGGATACTACGGCGTCACAGAAAACCGACGCGAATTAACCACACCATTGTATTTCGCCGTGTGAGTGATATTACCGGAGGCCCAATCCTTCCCCTCGACCATCCCTTCCGAATTCTTGAAACCCGAAACCCCTTATCCCCATAAAGCCGGCAACTTGGTTGGTATCCATGGTAGGGGCCGATTGCGATTGATTGCTTATTTTGCTTTGCCATTGTTTCACATAAAAAATAGGTCTTAGTCAGTGTAAAGACACAACAGTCAAATATTTCCTTTTTATACTTAGGTATATGAATAAAAATGCACCATCGATATGATGTATATATGTGTACATAACTGTCGAATGACTGCACTGAATTGGTGAATTTTATAGTTTTCATTTCCGCTAGGATTTTTTTTGTGTAATTGATCGGCAAACGAGCAAACGGATTACGCCCATGGACACCCGCAACGACGGAGGAGTTACGAGTGCGTTGTTGACCTTTTGTAATCGAGAAATAGTACCTAGGCGAAGCTAGGTCGGACCTCTAGTAATACATGTGTGCATATTAGTATAATATTATTAACATAAACTTACCTATACACTTGAATATTCCTCATAACATACAAGTCATTTTCCTTGGTGGTATCATATATCGTGCTATCTGGCTCAGGTTTTCCATACAAATATATATCGCCTAGAAAATTGTCATTTTCTAAAGTTATGACAACCATATGATCGTTCTCGACGTAATCGGCCTCACCTGAAATTTAAATAGAAAGTTTACATATCTATTAAGCTTAGCCAAAGGACGGTCATAGTCACCGCGACGCGCACACTGCTCATGAATAAGAGTCCCGTTGTGAATTGAAACTAGTAGATTTTTTCTTAGTTAATTTTATTCACGTAAGTGAGTCGTTATTTTCAATAAATTTTGGAATGTCTCACGATACTCAGTTCCTATTCAAAAATTTCTTAGGAAGTCGTATGAGGTAGTTAATATTTTTATCCAAACTAATATTATAAATGCGAAAGTAACTGTGTCCGTCTGTTTTTTCTTCACGCCTAAACTATTGAAACGATTTCTGTGAAATTAGTTACAATCATAGTTTGGAACTCGAGAAAGGACATAGGATAGTTTTTATGCCAAAAATCAGCAGGAAGTCACTATTCCACGCGAACAAGGTCCTGGGCAAAAGCTAGTTACTTTATATGGCCACCCATTGACCACCACTACGCGAGTTTTAGGAAGACAAAGCCAAATGAACGCCACCTAAGTGTTAAGAATTTATTTTTCTTCCTACGAAACTTCGTAATTTTAATAAAAAAAAGGTAGAAATTCAACGCCACCCGCGAAATTTAAAGTGTTTTTGGAATTAGTCCAGTGTTTGTGAGAGAAGCACTTTGGACACCGGAATTTTTGATGTCAAAGATGTGTTCATGTACGTCGCTCGTGTCGCCCTAATACGGATAAAATGGATGCCATTTTGGGAAAACCGAAGGAAGATATCAGTAGTTATAACGTTACCGAGTGTGTTTTTTTCATCATCATAAGGGCGAGACCTCATACAGCTTTAGTCAGCAAAATTTAAGAGTTTGGTTGGGAGGTGTGTGTCTTGACCTGGCACCTTCAGATTTTCACCTGTTTCGGTCTATTCAAAATTATTTAGGCAGTTTCAGGTTAACATTGCGAGAGGACTGCCACAACCACTTGTGGCGGTATTTTTATCAGAAGTCCCCAAATTGCTATAGCAACAAGATCATGTCCTTATTTGCAAGATGACAAAAAGTTATCAAACGAAATGGTACCTACCTACATACATACTTAAGTTGAATTTTCTTAAAAAAATGCAATTTTTTTCCGTAACTTCCGTAACGTTCTATACACGGCCGAATCGTATTAATATAGTACCCAAAGCTAATATAATGAAATATGAATAACTCACCTGTGCTCAAGTGTGATTTGATCTTTTTTGTACTTTTAACATCGAAGTATGTTACTTCCGCATCAGTCTTTAGGATCAGCTTGTCTGAAAATTGGAAAACACGTGTTCTTTATATTTTTATTTTTTATAAATAAATGTATAGCTGGAGAGTGCTTTAGGGTTTTTTTACTTAACTTAAATGTACGCGCTTACCTCTGAGAATAACATAGCACACTTATTTGAAATCTATTTATATAAAATTTAGTCCCATTCTTAAATAATGCAATATGCATGAAAAGAACAGAGTAGGTACCCACATGGGTGAAGCTACAAAGCATAGTCATGATAATTTTTAAAATTGTTGGTTTTTTATTAATTAATTTTATCTGATCCCATATATATGTTCTTATTTTAGTTATATATGAATAATTTGGTTCGTATTTATTGAATCGATGAATGAATGGTGTATTGATTTGGATTTTATGTATTGATTATTATGATTTGTGAATAAACTAAGCTTCAATGCCGGTACCTAATGGAAATATAACTTTAGAGAATTTAAGATTGCGGTTGACTTAGTTTCTTTTTTATTTTATTTTCTTTATCGGCATTGTTTTTATTTTATTTTTATGACTTTTTCATTATTTTGTCATTTATTGTTTGTGTAATGAGATGTTTAAGAATTTGCCGTGTTTTGCGTCTCCCAGTCATGACGTTCTGACAGTTTGAGTATTTGCGCGTAACACCCACATGTTCTTTTGATCGGTATTTTTCCGTTTCTTGAACTAGTTGTAAACTGACTCTTGCATGCCTGACTCCAGAGACTCCACTTATTCCGGGTCTACTTAAACTACTGTGGTTCTTTGCTCAAAAGATCACTACAGAATGACTTCTTAGTTTGTTTTGGCATTTCTCCTTCGAATAGTCATCATCTAGGTTGTTTTATAGTTTATTCGCAAAAATTAAAACATTATTTTATTGTTTCATTGTTTCTTAATTTGACTCAATTCAACCCCACTAAAACACAGATGGAAGAAACGACTGCGTATGCACTAAAAACTGCCTTCTGTAGTATCTCCTCGGTTTACGGCCACCCGCCTGTTTCAGCCGCTATTGGGTTACTTTTGAACAACATGTCGAAAAAAGTTCAGTTCCGTGAAGTTAGTCTTGAAGAAGGTTGGTGCTGAATAGATCGAGGCAGTATTGCTCTGGCCCATTGTGGCAGTATTTCGCTCTGGCCCACTGTTTTCTACTACATATACATATATGAAGGGTGCTAGCTTGCATATTGAATATTGTCTAATCATCATCTTTAGGCTGGGGTACTCCTGTACCAGTTTCGCCCTCCAGCCTGCATCCAGCGGCGTGCGACTCAAATCGACGACTCTTAGGATGTTTCAAACCAGCTGGATACTTAGCTTGGCACTACGTAGAGATGCCTGCCTTATTGCATTTTCTATCGCGTATATATAGAGCAAAACTATGGAATATACTATCGTCATTACCGGTATATCCGAACCGATACGACCTTTAAACCTTCAGGAATAGAATGTTCTCTTTCCTAAAACGCAGGCAACGCAATTATGCACTTTTGATGTTGTGGGCGCTGCGTTGTTTGCCGCCTCCAATATTACACATGTTTATCTTTTTGGTCGTAACAAGAAAACAATACTTAGATTAAATGAATCTTAGTAGTGGAAGATCTTTGCATCATTCCCAAGTAAGTTGTGTTCGAATCTCGATAAGATTTTTACTTTTTGATTAGACAGGTAAGTATCTATTGTTATGCTCTTAAAAATACGCATACGACGAGCAATTAAACCTTCGTTAGTAAGATTGCACGGAAGTATAAGTACTGTATAAGTTAAATAAGCTAAGTACATTTAAGTTGGTAAAGCAGTGTTGCGCATTGTTATTTGATATCGGTGGTCAGGTTTGTTTTTTTCCTAAGTACCTATTTACTGCAGATGCACCTTGTTTACTTGATTTTATTTTAAGGTCACCTACTGTGACTTGTATTGGAGGTTAGCAGTCGCAATGATGACGAAATTGAGTTAAAAAATCTTTTGTTACTTGTGGGATCGACGAATATTTTAATACGATTTATCACAATTCTGGTAATTTCAAATACGAAAATTCACAGTAATTTTCTCAATTTTTATATACAACAACCAGAAAACTAGTAGACGGATCCTAATAGGAAGCCATTGGCGCCGAATGGTTTTTTGTGGATGGGAAAATCGAAATTGTGAAGTGGCGCCAATGAAATCGAGATTCTTTTTTAGAAATTTTTGGTACCTTGTTGCTGATTTTTTATGATACACCAGTAGGTATTCCTTCTGTTCTAAAATCTAAAATTCTTAGCACAATGGTGTCTAATTACCTTTATAAATATACATATGGGTAACATCTTCTACTTTATAAATGTGCCGAAGTGCTACTTTCGCGACCCTCCCAAAATTCCAAAGCATTGAATTAAACACTATTTTTTTCGGGTCAAGAATCGTTTTTCTCTGGAATGAACATCCTCTGTTAGCGATTGCCCCAGTTATGATCCTTGGCCATAAATGATGACACTGTAAAAAATTATAAAACTGAATTTTATTCCTCGTGTTTATAAAAAGGCCAAAGGCCATAATAAGTAGGTACTTACAAATCAAAAGATAATAAAAAGCGATGGCGATTACACAATTTTCGTCGTTTTCAGCAAAAAAAAATGCATATTCTTTTGACGTAAGCACGTACCTACGCACATAATATTATTACCTATCATCAACGAGAAAACTAAATAAGACTTTAAATATAAAGCTCGTAAGCACGCGCTTCATTATAGCGAATTCCCGTAACCTTTGCAATTTCGGGGATTCGTTATCCTGTCATCACAGACAGCTTCTATAATATGAAAAAAATCGTAGGTAGGTACTGTATATTGAATACCAATATGATTTGATCGCCCTAAACCCTACCACCCTCTTAAATACAGTAACATTTATGTATGTGTAACAAATGCTCATTAGTTCGTCCATATTTAAAATTATATAATCAGAGCTGATTTATTATAATGATACACGAATAAACAATGTTGTTAATCACAACACTAAGCACATAATAATTTTGTCAGTAGGTAGGTACATATAGAATGACACGAAAAGATGAACCAGAGGGTTACCTGCGGCGCCCATCTTTAGTTAGAAACAAATCGAAAGAATTGGAACATTATTCTAGGATAGTATATGAATAATAAAAATTACCTCGATAAAATCGATAACAAGATTTTTCCATCTTTGGTTTACAGTCATACAAGTTAACAAAGATTTAAGATCACTCCGTACATATTTGAGGAACAACCATAGTAATTCTGAGGGACAATATTCCCAGCAGCTCGGTGGTACATTTTCTGCAGTATCAGATGACATCAAGGATATTATAACTTATGTTTTTGAGAAAAATAGTCAAGTGGTTTTGTTTACCAAGAACAATAACTAACCAAGTCACCGCAAAATGAACTGACAGTGACAGTGACAGACAAAAACAAGAATGACCCAAACGACCCGAACCAAAACAAGGTCAGTGGCCCCAGTACGAAACAACTTCTGTTGAATGAATTGAATGAAAGTTATATCCGCCATCTCCAAACGTCAAACATTGACATTTGCCAAATGCGAAATGACAGAGCTTTGTAATATTTGACTTTTTGGTGGGCTTGAGGTTATAAAAAGTTGTGTTTACCGCTTGTGTATGTGAATTAATTGATATCTATACAACACAGTTCCCAGTTTAGCCTAAAACAAGTGTAGTCTCTAAAAAGTAAACAATTATTTTCATCAATTAATAATGGTAAGTGATTTTAAGAGTAAATTTAATAGATAAACATTTTCCTAATTTAACTTGCTGTTGGCAAACAACTCAAAGTTGCAATAATATCTTACATAGAATTATTCATTTACTAAATCTTTTTTTTTTATCCAGGCACGGAATGCAGAAAAAGCTATGTGAGTATGATTTTTACCCCTTCTACTATACAATTGTCTAATACAATGCATTCTTTTAATATAAATATGAATCTTATTCAAAAAACAGTGAACAAAGTACTAAAATCTTTAAGCTTTTTAAGTGAAGGCACCTATAAAATGGGTTTATTAAAACCTCTAAGGATACTTACAGACCAAAATCAATAATAGCCTTTCTCTGAGTGGAATAAGTGTTATGTATTAGAGTGCTTTCAGGACTCTAAAACCAGGGATCTTAGGATTCTGATCCAAATTCCAAACCATCAAAACATTGAAAATTTTATATGGTGCATTAATTTGCAGTTATTTCTCTGAAGTATGGCTCACTCATATGATATCTGAACTTTGCCATCTATTTCGAAGTGATTTAATAGATACATCCAGTTTCTTTTTTTTATACTTACATTCACTACTATTTACCTCACTGCAAGTGGTTTCACATCCTTCCATTATACCAACCAGGGGAAATTGCAGACTTCATTTTTATTATTATTGCCAATGGCCCCATACATAATACTCGAATAGGGTTGTGGTTGTGCTATTTATGCACATCCATACTTCTCAACTAATAAGTGACATTGTATATCAATTGTATACATAGCTTGGCACCGTTAATAAAATAGTTAACTTCGTTAATCGTTAATCCGCTACAAAAAAAGTTAGCTTCGTTAAACATTAAAGCGTTACATTTCAGAAGAATTAACGCAAGTTAAAGTTAATCGTTAATCCGTTAACTATGTTTAAAGTTGCATTTTTATATTGTTGTTAGTGAACTTATAAAACCTGTGGTTGGTTTAGGTTCTGAAAGTTAATAGGTTAAGAACAAAACAAAATACTTGTATGATTCAAATAAATGTGTAATTTAATCGTCGGACATAAGGTGCAGATTCCCCTTCATAAACATTAACATGTTGAAGTTCTCGTCTGAAAGCGATTCTCGCTTTGGTGTTAAAATGTCTTCACTCATGGAAAACAAACGTTCTACTGCAGCGCTTGAGGGTATAGCAGTATTGTATTTAATAAATAGATTTATAAATATCTGTTCCCCGAGGAATGCAGCATCGTTGAACGAGTCTTTTGATTTCATGTCCAGCCACATTTTAACGAGACTTTACTCTTTAAAGAGTTGGAGCTCTTTGATTTTTCTATACACTGAGTGGCAGAATTAAAAAAGTCTTCCACGTCATCATCGTTGTTACTTGTATTGCTCCCTTGACTCCCTTCGCCATTTAAACTATCTCTGTCTTTCGAATTTTCCACTGCTTCTTGTCGTAAAGCATCTTCTACCTTTTTTTCCATGCATTTTTTTACTGCATCCACTTTACTGCTGTCATACGTTTCAAGCCATATCCATCGCAACTTTGGGTGTAATGCCGCGGCAAGACCCGTGCGGTAAAAACTAGGCATTGGATTAACGATTAACGGACTTCTGCATAATTAACGGAAGTTAACATGTCCGTTAACATTTTTATAAGTTAACTTAAAAGTTAATCCGTTAATCAAAATGTTAACTTCGTTAATTAACGATTAACGGATTAACGAGTTAATGCCCAGCTATGATTGTATATTAATAATTCATACAGTAAGAGTGCTTTGGACATACAATACAGTGCCAAAAGATTGATCTTTAAAGATGGGTGTAATACCATGATGATGGAGAAATAATTTTGTTATCTTAATTTTGTATTTTTTTAAATATTATAAATTTAATTATTATATGAATCTTATCTAGCAGTAAGTTTTCATAAAATTGTTAAATGGAATAAAAAACAAATAATAAACTTGTAAGGCTAACATTATGTCCTTTAGTCCAACAATTTTCTGTCTGGCACAAGCTGCTAATAATAATGAAGACTAGAGATTGATAGATTGTATTTTTATTTTACTCAGTGCTATGAATGGCGAAAAAATTTATATAAAATCAAATTCAAATTTTTGCGTTGCAGGACTACCTTGGCCAGATGGCGGGCTGCACAGGTACAAGAAGCAGGAGGACAGAGGGAGCGGAGACCATATCTTGCATCAGAGTGCACAGATTTACCACAAGCAGAAAAATGGAGACTGCAGATTGTTAGAGAAATTGCCAAAAAAGTTGCACAGATACAGAATGGTAAGTGCACTTTATACTGAATTAATTGAACAAACTTACTGTTTGACTGTTTGTGTACGAATATGATGTCTAATCAATGAAACCCCCTTACTATGTAAAGGTTTAGGTGTGTGTAAGAGTCACCTTAGGCGACTACCATAAGTATGGGTAGCTTGCCGCCCTACCAGAACATACATCCATATGTTCTCACAAACTTTCACATTTGTAATGTTAGTAGGTTAAAAACACACATTCACATTATAAATTGTGATTTTATATTTTCAGGTTCTTAGTAATAGGTCATATAATTTCGATGCAATTTTGGTTGTGGGGAATAAAAAACCATACTTCATTTTCACAAAAAACCCGAGCCATGCTCGATCATTCTGGCACTTAATGTATGTAAACTTATTTTTCGATTTACTGCTACTGGCATAGGAGCAATAAATATAATAACTCATTATTACGCTCATTAAGTATTTGTTTTTTAAATATTGGCACAAATCTGTAGGGCTATGAGTGCCCACTATGTCGCCAATAATTTAAAATGTGTTTTTTTTAATACAATATAGTTTTGACTCCTAATATTTCAACCAAATGGAAATGGATGATGCCGAGGCATCATCAGTGCAATATCCAACATATGAACCTAATATAAATTTAGAAGATCAGACCGTAGAAGTACCTTTACCAGTAATACCCTTACCGCTTGTTGCACCTTCGCCACTGGTGTCTGACGCAAAGTCTCCGCAATCTTCACCTACGAAAACAAGTTCCCTTCGCAGTGCGACACCCCTGACACAGTCCGCCCCTATATCTCCATTACCTACTACTGCAACGCAGAGCGCCACACCTACAAACGCTTCAATAATAAACGAACTGGAACCGAGAGAATCAAAACAAAAGGCTCCGGAAATATACACGAATAAATTGGAACTGGACCAAAACGACTCAAAAGAAAGTGATCTTAATGAAAACATCGGTTTTTTCGCATCAGGTTCAAATGACCAAACGAAAACTCCAACAAAGAAGGAACCTAGCTTAATAGAACAACCTGCGAAAAGAAGTTTATTATCACCAAAAACAATGTCTAAAGGCAAAAGTCCTAGAACACAGAGTTTAGCTCAGAGCAGCTCAGAGAGTAAATGCATTACCGAAAAGTTTAAAGACTTGAAAGACACTGTTCAAAATCTAGCAAATGATAAGGTGGATTGCAAACCAAATAAGTTGACGACTAATATTGATAAGATAGCATGTATGAGCAAGGCGCTTACAAACGAAGCTAATGCTTTGAGACAATCCATAAAGTGTTTGTCCAAAGATATCGAGCGCACCAAACAAGAACTGTGCTACTGTCCTAAGGACGAAGACGTTAATTTTCCATATCACCTATTTCTCATTGAAATAATCGTAAATAAAATTCATATGAAATGTGAATGTTTCGAGATAGACCACAATAATTTAGTTATATCAGCCACATTTTTGGGAAAACCACCCATTACATTATATGATTCATCTTTTGGTAAGATTGAGAACTTTAGTAAGTTAAATGTTGGGAAATCGATTATGTTTGCTATGACGTATGATAAAATATGCAATATTAAAGAATTCGAAATAGTTTTACTTCTGACAAAACAACCTCCTTGTTCTACATGTGTGACGAGGATAGCTGAAACTCATATGGACTACACATGCGAATTTAACCAATTAAGAGAAGAACTTTGTAAGAAATGGTCGATGGAACAGCCGCAAGACAATATATTGTGCACAACCTCTACGCCACTTTCTAAGAACATGTATTACTTGTCATGCTGTGATGGTGAAAATAGAGACTCAATAGGAGTTATTGAAGTAACAGTTAGGATGTCGTTTTTGGGAAAAGAGATAACAACGGCATTTTGTGCATCACCAAAACCACAAGGGACGTCTTTCCTTCTTAAAGAAGACCATGGCATGACCATGTATTCTTGTCATAAGGTTGAAATGGATGATCAGGGTAAAATACTACTCGACGAAGGAGTGATGGCGAAAAAAGCAACTACATGTTCTTCTGATCTATACAAACGATCGGAAAGTCCGCAGTCGCAGATTACTACTATATCTAGAGGGTATTATGACCCTGTTCCTCTGTCTTACTACGAGAATGGTAAGTTGTGATCTATAATACCTATGTATTAAGTAAATATAAATGCCAATTACGCCTAAAAATATTAATAATAATATTTTTTTAGATCATGCACAAAAATATGATGAAATATATACGAAAATGAATGTCAATGAATTGAGGATCAGAGTTCCCAAGAGCAGTAAGGTAGAAAGAATGGGAAAATATGATAAGATTCAGGAATTATGCTCATGCGACAGTACCGCATACAACACCGGAGAACAAATACAATTTGAACTACCAAAAGATGCTGCTTATCCTGAAACCACGTATACATCAAACTTGAAATACAAAGTAAAAGGACCTGAGAAGCCGCCTGATAGGAAAGACAGGAAGATTATCAATGTAACACCTACTAGCTGCCCTGTTCCTGTCAACATGGAGAAAGTCTTACATCCACAAAAAGATGTGTTCATTTTAAAAATTGGCAAGAAATTAGAAACGAAAGATAAAAAAACTGACCTTGAAATAGAACTGATAACACCAAAAGGTCCTTGTGACGACAAGCCTTTAGAGAGTAACAATATTGCGCAACAGTGCAGTGGTAGCCAAATTGCGCAAAAAAATGTAAAGCAACCGAAAGGCAAAAAAAAGAAAGCAAAAGGGGTCAAAGGAAAAAAAGCCAAAAAAGTAAAAAAGAAATGACGTAATATATAACACTTGTCTGCGGAGTATAGCTTACATTTTATCTATCAACAACTGCAATGTTTTAATATTAAACCTATGTCGATGCTAAACTCTCGAGTCATTATTTTTAGTTGTCTTTTTCCTCATTGACTTTACTTTAAAAAGAAAGAGAAACCGTCTATATGAGACGGAATATATTTTGACCTAACTTATAAAACATTTTAACCCTATAATCCAATATGCACATTATGATTACTAGTTGGTACTGCACTACCCTTAGGTTATACTTTAAACTTTAAAGTACTTATAAGGATAGTTCATAATTTTAAGTTTAAATGGACAGACATAATTTTGCAAAAATGTTTATTTTTATGTCATAGGACGGCAAACGAGCTTACGGATTACCTGATAGTAAGCAATCAGCGCCGCTCATGGACTCCCACGACAACATACGAGTTATGAGTGTGTTGCCGACCTTCTGGGCATTATGGATTTGGGGGAGGGGAAATATTGGGTCGGTAACCTCATTCACACGGTGAAACACAATGCTGTGTTGGTTCCACGCCGGTTTTCTGTGAGGTCGTGGTATCATTCCGGTCGAGCCGATCGATTCGGGCCACAGCATGGCTCTCTCACACTTAAAATATTTATTGTACCTACTTATTATTGAAATAATTAATGCCAGTACCTACTTTTTAAGTTTGCTTCTCGCTAGCACTATTCAGAGCGTCGTGAGTCCAATGATATACAATTATACATAATCCGAAAAGCTTGTTGTTTACGGGAATTCTTTTGTGTGAAAATGAAATACGCGCTTCGTTCCACATTAATGCAATTTGTGATATAGGAACTAAACACGTTTACTAAAACAACAAAATTTTCCATTCTAGCCGGTCTTGGCGAGTTTCGGATACGAGACTTGAATGATGAGATCAACAAGCTCATGCGGGAGAAACGTCATTGGGAAGTTCAAATAAAGTCATTGGGCGGCCCAGACCATGCTCGCGTTGGACCAAAAATGCTTGACCAAGATGGTAAAGAAGTACCCGGTAACAGAGGCTACAAGTACTTCGGAGCTGCTAAAGATTTACCAGGTTTGTGTAATTCATTTATTCTTAGTAATCTCTTTTTCCTTTTACCACCCACACCCATAACTAGGTATATATTTTTTTACCATATTGCATAATAGTAATGAATCAACCGGAGATTGTCCTTGGGTGCACTTTTATAGTGCATGCAGGCAAAATTGCCGGCTGACGTCCCATTAGATTAAAACTGTTCATCGGGCCTCTGCGAGTTGGCTTCGGTTATCATATGCCAAAGGTGAAAGCAAAAGAAATACGTACTAAAAAGAAAACAAAATAAATATTTAAGGCGAGGTCCCATACAAAAACCATGACTTTCATCCGTCTCGCACTTGATTATTTTGTGTTGAGTCAACGCAAGTGCTTACCCCATCTGAGATTAAAGACATGGCGTTATGTTTACGTATACTAGGAGTACGTGAGCTGTTCGAACAAGAACCTCCTCCGCCACCGAGAAGAACGCGCGCGGACCTCATGAGGGACGTGGACGCGGACTACTACGGGTACAGAGACGATGACGACGGTCTCTTGATGCCGCTCGAGCAGGAAGCTGAGAAAGAAGGTTGGTTGACAAAATATGTTTTTTTTTTAAGTCCGACGGTACTTCACACCGAGTCAGCTTCTAATGTTGTATAAAGCTCAGGTCCGATCGTGTGTGGAGTACTGCAGCCACATATGGGCTGGTGCTGCGAAATGCCACCTAGCGGCTTTGGATTCGGTGGAAAGGCGTGCAAAGAGGCTGATTGGAGATCCAGATTTGGTTGGGTCCAATATTCAAAGTCTCGAGCACAGGCGCAGAGTAGCCAGCCTTGCGGTTTTCTACAGGATGCATTTTGGAGAGTGTGCCCAGGAATTGCACGATTTGATTCCGCCATCCCAATTTCACCTTCGGACATCCCGGCGTACGGCGAATATCCACCCCTACGTTGTTGAGACACCTGCGGCCCGGACTAAGCGTTTTGCCTCGTCATTTATACCGCGTACATCGAGGGATTGGAACAGTTTGCCGGCTGCCGTCCGTCTGTCCGTCCGAATACAATTTAGGTGTCTTCAAGACTAGAGTGAATAGGCTCTTAATAAACTAGTGCGCCTTACCATCAACGATTGCATCACTGCTTAACATCAGGTAGGATCGCAGTCAAGCACTGGCTTATTGCAAGTAAAAAAAAAAAGTACTTTATATCACATAGGTTTTTTTTATGGAATAGGTCGGCAAACGAGCAGACTGATTACCTGATGGTAAGTAATCAGCGCCCCCCATGGACACCCACAATGGAGGAGTAACGAATGCGTTGCTGACTTTTTAGGGATTAGGGTTTTTGGAGATTTAGGGATTGGGAGGAATCGGGGGAGGGGAAGGATTGGGCCTCCGGTAACCTCACTCACACGGCGAAACACAACGCTGTGGTTGTTTCACGTCGGTATTCTGTGAGGCCGTGGTATCACTCCGGGCCGAGCCGACCCATTCGTGCCGAAGCTTGGCTCTCGCACACTTAAATTTAAAAAATAAAATTTTAAAGGTAATCAAATTGAAAACGTCCGTCAATAAGAGCTACCATTTTTATGGTCACTAGATGACGCTAATATAGCGTGAAGTCCGCTGGGCTTTGAGCAATATAACGGTACCGATTAACCGCTTATTAGTGATTACTCTTGATTAGGTACAGCGCACACGCTCAATATCCTTAATAGATTCAAAGGCATTCCAACTTACACTTTCAGCTAAAAGGGTGATATAGTAGCATCCTTAATACGCTAGGGAACAATGATACATGTTTTCTTATTTTTTTACAGCCATAGCAAGAGCAGTAGCTGAATGGAAGAGGAATAAAGAGGAAAACAAAGATCAAGATTTGCCAGAAGAAGAAAACATTTATCCAGAAGATGTAAGTTATTTATAGGTTTTCGCTAACCAAGATATCTTATAAATTTATTATTTTTTACATAATATCTTATAAACTTGTTTACTTACAAATTACTCTTTGTTATAGCCGGACGATAAGAGAATTGAAGAGGAGGATGAGAATGGCGAGCCAGTCCGGCAAGTAGTGACGTCACACGTAGCTGTACCATCGCAAAAGGACATAGAAGAAGCGCTGCTACGGCGGAAGAAACAAGAGTTGTTGGAGAAGTACGGCTGTATGGATATCAAGCTGGAACAAAGCTGACCAGCACTTACATAGTATAATAAATAAGTTTTTTTTTCAAACTCATCTTTTAATAACGTCATCAGAGGTCAAACATACTGATTGTAAAGAAAAAAACAAAATATAATTTTCAATTGCTTTATTTTTTCCGAACAGATTTGTTATTTAGACATAGGTACGTTCATCTAAGCAAAATATACACGATATTGGTGAAATGTACGTCTATTTTTACTGGCTCTACACCATATTGCAGTAACAACAAATACTGTTGAATAATAGGCCTAACTACATAATTACAAAATGGATAGTCCCAATCGAACATGGTATTTAAAAATGTCGGATGAACAGCCTCATACTAAGTTCAAAATACTGATTTAAATCATTCAAAGAGTAGTCCTGAGATAGTACAAGATTCATTTAAATCAACCACAGCTACGTTACCGATAATGGACACCCGACTACACTTATTTCAATAGGAATGTATAAACTTAACATTACCATAAGCTCTCAGAGAACTAATTAATTAACATCTAACACCAAGTCCTGAAACCCAAGGAAAAATAATGTCTCACTTCATCATCATTATTTAACGTAACAGCGAGTTGCATTGATAAAATTGCGCGAATTTCCTTTCCTTTATCTTAGTAGTTGCGTTTCATAAGTTGTATACAATGCGACTAAAGATAATAAAAACTTCGGCGTAGATAAGAAATATAATCTTTCATAAATAAAGATGTATTTAATTACCTGTTATGTGTATCGTTTAAAACGGACATATTCACATCCTAATTCATAGATAAATTCAATATTAATATAATAATAGTTTAAAACATAATAAAGCGAAGTCGTAAAGAAGCTGTATATCTACACTTCACACAAATAGACAGCGCATTATTAATATAGTCTATAACTTCGAGTTAAAGAATAACTTTCTTAACGACATTAACCGTAACTTTGATTTTCTTTTCATACATGAAATTCTCATGATATTAAATATCTAAAATACATTTTGTTCTATAATATGAACGTGAGTGTACTAAAATACAACATTTAACACTATTAAGTATCGCCCTTAAATTATTTTTTAATGATGAATGAGTCTATAATGGTAAAGTAATATAATAATCTTATAGTCATCCACATATGATTCAAATTTCAATGGAACTGAATCAACTTATATATTTTATTTATTGAACTATAGAATAATGTACAATTCGCTATAGCAAGATCTGACAGTATTATTCCTGGAGTTAGTATTTGAGTCGGTTGTTTAGTGATGGCACTTCTATACAATTAATCTCTTAATCGACCATATTTATTGCACGGGTTAAATTTAAATACAACAACTAAACAAAATGCAATAGGAAGACAGGACATTATAAATAAAAATATATAATTATATAATATGGTACCGCCAGGATTTATGTATATATTAATAATAAGTTTACTTCCATTGGATATTTAGTCTTACATATTTGTGTACTTTGACAGTAAAGTGACGGTAACAGTTGCCAGTCAAAGTAGTGAAATGCTTATCAACGACTTGCGTCATGACCAGTAGAATTCGCGACCAAATAATCTGCAGTGCAAGTGTAAGAGTGCACTGTACTTTACATTTCGCGTGGTTGTAATGAAAGTTAAATCTAGCAAAAAAACATATCCAACCAGTGTTTACAACACTGTACCTGTAAATGTTTCTTCAAGAAATCGGTCACGAAATATAACTCATAATCTGATGTAATGCGAAATTCTAGGAAACTACTAAAAAGCTTGCATTAAATTGGGGCTACATCCAAACATCAATGAAAGATTATTCACAAAGTCAACACTTGATTTAAATTTAAACTATGAAAGAATTTATCACAATTCTAATTATACACTTAGCGATATAAATAATATCGGTAAGACATTCGCGTAAAGCGTTCTTATACTTGAAACTTGCTTTCTGAATACACGACATTAGCAAGGTCTAACTAAATAAACATATATATATTTTATTAATATACTGAATTAGTGTCCTATGTACACGAGTAGTGAACAGATGGAGTACTAGTTCAGGACTCTTGAATACGAACACACCTCACACGTGCTTGATAACATAGACAAACACGTGTTTGAGATCTCCATGAACACTAATTCTCCGTGTTTAACAATGGTGTAGCTGCTATGTTACATTTAAGATTGGAACAAGTTCTGTTGTTTGGCGTCGTTTTCAAAATCACTCCAAGCGTTATTCAGTTCCATGAAGATCATTTTCGCTATGTTCTCGTTTGGTGTTCCCATTTGCTGCAAACAAAATTAATTATAAACACATCTAATTTCTTATTTTCTTATAAGAGAGAGATTGTAAGAAGTAGCTTGATGGTTTTCCTTTTGTATCAACAGTATTAAATGAAGATTACCTTATCAGGATGTACAGCAAGACACGCTTTCCGATAGTTTCGCTTTACATCTGCAGGAGTGACAAGCTGTGACATGTCGCAACGTGTCCAACGACACTCCTTCCACACCACGGTGTGCAGGGAACACAACAGAGCTCGGATGTTCGCCTTTTTACCCTCCGTCTGTTGAACAAACATTCAAATAAACAACAGCGGCTAGTGGAATAATTCCATCGCATTGGCAAGCAGCTTTTGCAGTTGAGAATTGATGTTGGCAGACAACGAGAAACCTAAGTTTGGATTCTGAATTTGTTAATCATAATTTATCAGTCAATGAGGAATACTTACCCATTCGTGTATTTTTAATTTCTCCGGGTCCATGTCCTTAACCATTTCCTCTTTTCTCATGGCGTTCATTGTCTTAGGACCAGTATCTCTCTTGGACGCGAAGTCGTAGCCCTGACTACCGAGCAGATCGCCAAATACGTCCATTGGTTTCCGTTGTTTGTCATCAGCCGGAGTTTTGGCTGGCTCGAAATGTGCTCTACTGCAAAATACAAATTCTGGATTTAAAAGTAATTACTAGTAATCTTATCAAACGAAACCGCATTTTTACACGTTATTTACTATTCAATAACTTAAGAAACTGACTTAAAATTAAAATGAGAACGATGATTACAGGAAGAATGCCAAATAATTTTGAACTTTTTTGAATAATGAAACAGTGTAGCTACTTATACTGATAAGAAACGGCATGAGGAATTCATTTCCATTAGTAGTGTAGTTGCATGACTTACTTATAGTCAGGTTGGTGAGCCGGCGTGTGAGGTTGGTGCGCCGGAGTATGTGCGGGGGAGGCGCGCGGCGTGGGCCCGCGGCTGGCGGCGGCGCTCAGGGAGGCGGGGGCCGGCGCCGGGGCCGCGCCCGGTGCAGGGAGGGTACTGCCCAGTACTCCCAATTCCGCGAAAGGATCCTTACGTTGCCCTGCCGTTGTAGGTTGAGCTCGCTCCAACGGTACGCTCTGTGGACGACCTGGGAAGAAAAACAAAAAATTGACGTCCACTGCAGAAAAAAATTAAAGCTACTATTGCACATCTGTCGGATGCGGAGAATAGGTTAAGGACATAAAAAATTTGTAAAAAAAGGAATTGAAATCCTGTCCACCAGATCTATACACAATTCGTTGGTTTCCAACAAGACAAACAAAAAACCATATTTATCTATGTTTTTTTCATGAGATCGCAACATATGACGTAAGACTGAAGTATCATAGTATCATATCGTCAAATCAATGAATGTAGGTATGATTATACTTTAATAATTCTCTGTATTGAAAAGTCAAAACAGAGAGTAATAATATAAACTGCACATTTGCAACAATTAGAGAAGAAAAAACACTCACCTTCATCCTTAATTAGCGGAGTGAGGAGTGTTTCTATCTTCGGCAAGGGGTCGTTGAGGCCGAAAGGATCAAAGTTGAGAGGATCACTTGAGTTCACGTTGCCCTTAACTTCGGATTGTTCCGTCACAGGTGGAGCGGGCAAGTCCCCGAATATAGACTCCGTTGGGAATTGCTACAACAGAAAAGTTTTAAATGAGCTGATTTATGCATGTTTCGGATATTAATATAACGAGACGCGATATTCGTATTAATAGTTTTATCTCATAGTAAATGTTCTGTATTTGAACAAAAAGATAAAATTATTTTAATAATCATTTTACAATAATTTTGTCTCAAAACTATTAACAGAAAATTACAAAACAACCCACGTAATATAATATGTATGATAATTATGATATGACATATAGGAACGAAGGAACAGACGACGACTATTAAACAAGCTGTGTTTAGCAAACTGTGTTGCATTTTTCTATTTTTTATATTATTCAATAAGGTACATCAACAATATACATAAAATACATTTTCTTATTTTTACAGTTAAGTTTCATTAGCTGTGTGAGTCAGTTTTCTATTAGGCGGGGGGCATCAGATCATTTCGAGCCGGTTCATCCAGCATTAAGTAACTCTCACGTGAAACAATAACTAAAATAAAAATAAAATAACCAACCTGAGCTGCCTCTCCCTTGTTTCCACTCAAGAAATCTCCAAATCCATCATCAGTCTGCTTCTCCATCATTCCAAAGAAATCGAAAGAATCATCGGATTTAAGTTTCTTTTCTGGTTTCGTTTCTTGAGGTGGTGGGGCGCCGGAGTTGAGGTTCAGAAAGTCTATTGTGTTATCTGAGGGGATAGGGTCAGGTTGGGGTTGGGATGAAGGTAGCGGGGGTCTTTGGGGTGGGACGGGAGACGGGGGAGCGGGTCGTGATGGACGACTCGGCCGAGTAGGCGGCTCTGGGTCTCGAGGCGGGTAATCTGCAGTTACTGTGGGTGATACATATTCATGATATATTTGTTTATTTTTTGCATTGGAGGAATAACTTACAAAGATTATATGATAATACGAATACTATGTTAAATTATTTAAAGCAACATTTCTTTAGGGAATCTTATTATTGAAAAAAATCTTATTTTGAGAATACCTACAAAAATTGTATAGCCAAGAAAACGAGATTATGCATGATAAAAATAAAAACACAAATTCAATGGTGCCTTATTAGTCGTGCACGCTATAGTGAGGAAATGGAATAAATATTAAGAATAAACACATAAATAAGGGATTATAATACGATTAGTAGTCAAACACAAGAAATGTGATTAAAATAAAATGTTAGTAATTCATTATACAAACACCTATCAAGAACAAAAACTTCTTTAGCACATTTCTCTTATAAGTGCAGAAATGGACCCCTAACTTTCAAATTATTTACATAACATGACGGGAATTGTGTTATAATAAAAATGTGGTGTCACTAAGGCAGCGGATGAGACAACTTTGTTCCAATATATACAAAATCAGAATAAGATTTATTTGACAGCCTTAGCGTGCAATAAAGTATGGTCCTGTGGGATGCTCTCTAAATAAAATGTTCAACTAAATGAATGATCTAAACACAACACTACAACATACTTGTCTTTGGTACAGCGGCGGGATTCTTGCGAAGATTCGCTGCGTAAAAAGATTAATGTACGTAGATAAATACATAGCTGAACATACAATACATAAACTAAAATATCCCATTTAAGTTAGTATATTATGTTCAACCACTTTTCATTATAAGTATTTAAATTTTAATAATATTTGCGGCTTACATTCGAAAAGTATTTGCGGTTGCATGACATTCTGCGAGGGTCATGTATTTTATTATTATGAGCCCCAACGTAGATCGAAACGAGTCGGACATCCTCGAAAAATGTATCTAAGTAAACTTTTAAATTGAATATAAATAATTGCACTTAGGAAAACTACCACCACCAGAAATAACTTGAATACAACTTACCGAAGTTATCAATAGTCTCATCTCTTTCGAGGGTGGTAGAGAAGAGTACGTCGGGCGTCCGTATGGGGAAGGAATGGTCTTCCTCCCAGAGATCTGAACGAGGTTTACGTCTCTCACCATTTTGTACTACCAGGCTTATAACCGCAGTAGTGTTGTTGGAGAAGTGATCATTTACTGGTAGGGAGTCGTCTATACCGTCAATTTCAGACCTGAAGGGAAACCACATATCTAAATAAATATTTGAACTAGAGGAGTTAATGAAATGTGTGTATGTTGGGAAAAAAACATTTAAAGGGGAAGAGGTAGACAAAGATACACGCAAGATTTGAACTGGTATTTTATTTGATTATGATAGGACCTCATGCTATCACGACTGACACTTTTAAACCCTAAATTAGAATAACATTTTAGCTCAAAGTTTAAACGAGGCCGATATACATAAGTCTCCTTCCAAGCTGCCAGTGACAAATGAATACGAAAGTGTCAGATTCCAAACGCATAGACTGAAATATCAAATTATTATTACCTATTAAACTTAATATGATGCTGGTCTACGGAGAGGAATCCAGTGTGGAAATGCAGAGAGAGTACAGGCACGGAATGCACGCGGCCCAGCTGTTGGCGCGCGTGGTATACACATACTGCCACGTCGCCTACTACAGTCGTATCTAGGGGGAGAGTTACCTGAAGACAAAGAATTATCATATCAACCCTTCAAGAAAGTTGAAAGTTGAGTTGGCGTTACGGCTTCCTTTCCTATATCCTGGGTGCTTTTACAAATGTCAATGTCACATACCCATCACACCCAGATTCGAAACAATAATTTGCGGATCACAGAGTTGTTCCGTACGGGAATCGAAATCGTGTCACGTTGCACGGCAGGCAATTGCCTAGCTACAGAGTCAATACTTTATATATAAAGTTACTAGCTTATGCCCGCGATCCGTTCGCGTGGCGTATGTGACTCCCTGTAGATTTTTGGTATAAAAACTATCCCATGTTTAACTTTTTCAAGTTCCAAACTATGTCTGTACTAACTTTCACAAAAATCGGTTCAGTAGTTTAAGCGTGAAGATAAGACAGACAGACAGAGTTACTTTCGCATTTATAATATTAGTATAGATTAACATAATACATTATTGGATCATAAGCTACACTAGCGCCACTAGTGACGTATTATCAATTTAAAATATCAACAAAAAATACTTACTTTCCCCTCAGCCATGCTATAAAGATGCAGTCTATCGTAGTCTTGTAGGGTAGACAGGAGCATTCTATCTTCATTGTATATTTCTATGTAAGGTCGACAACCGTCCCTCGCTTTAGTGAACAGTGGTACTGGTTGAATAGTCAGTGATACCAGCGAGACTGGTCGGAAGTGAGGGAGAATTGGTTCAGGCCTGTGATAAAGATAAAAGGGCGGTAAAGGATTGGTCGAATGAACAAAAATAATTAAGTAACAGTATTAAATGGGAAGTTATAATGGATGTTCATCTTAATTATCATTAGCTAGTTTCCAGTCACAGCTGGAATCACTATCTTTCCAGGAGAAAATCGTATCACGCTACAAGATTTATGAAACGTAGTGTTGAAATAATTTTCCAAAAGGTTCCTCGAAAATTTTATTTTTAAACCTCCAGTAAAATCAAAATCATTTATTTCAACTAAACTATAAATAGGTACTTTTAAAACTTCAAAATCGAATAGTAGTCTGTCAGTCTGTTCGTCAGTGAAGCTACGTGCATAATAATAATAAAAAAGGCATTAAGTATATGTATTTCATACATATCAGTAACAAATCAAATGTATCCGTTACTTTTCAAAGAGGTAAATAAAATATATTGCTTACCTAATAATATTAGAGAGATAGTACAAATATCGCAGCTGACTAGGCGGCATGTTGATGGGCGTGCGTTTCACCGCGAACATCTGCAACGCGTCTTCTGGCACTGTCACTAACTTGGCGTACAGTAACAGACCGCATACTAGCATACATGACATTTGTTTACCGTCCTGAAACATCATAGTAACTTAGTGAAACAGCCCTTTTGTTACAAGGGAAGGAAAGGGATTTTATCTGCAACAACCGCTTGCAGCAACTTCCATTAAGAAATATACAGTAATCATACCAATAACTTTAATTTTTAAGCAAAAACACACCCTATTACCATGACAATAAAGTTTAGACTTGTTTTTTTTTAGAACATTGCCCCACACTAGGATTTTCTCCTATGTCATGGGTACGTTTACAGACGTACAATTTCACATTCACATCACGCGCAGACCCGGAATGTTGGTCCGTTTTGTTGAATTTATGGATCACACAAAGACTTGTTCATTCTGAATGGAACACGGGGCAGCCAGTTGCCCAGCCACGGCGCCAACCGTGCAGTCAAAATTACTGACTCTATCAACGTACCTGGCAGGTAATAACAGCGGCCTGTCGTTCATCTTTCCCTAAGTACTGGTACATATGCTGCAGTAGCGCGTAGCATGGCGCGAGTAGCGGGGCGCGGTGAGCCGGCGTGGGCCATAGAGCTCGCACCGCGTCCGTCACGGGCACGTGGCGCGGGAACGACAGTCTACAGCCACGGCACGCGTTGTAGATACTGTATTTACCGCCCGGGTGACGACTCTCTAGGTATGCCTGGGGACAAAACGTTAGTAAAACATTATAACGTATATATACCTACTACCTAAAATATTAGTTCCTATTGGATATTGTTAAAAAGTTAATCTACGATCAATGATCGTAAAATTGGTCAATTGTTGATTAAGTTCTTTTCAGGAAAGCCCATAAACATTCCACTATAAAAAAATCTAAGTACGTAAAACAATTAAAAAAAAAATAAACGTTGCCCCACTCTCGGATTTTCCCGTGTCGTGCATACATTTACAAACATACAAATTTACACACACAAGCCATCCAGGCTCCAAAAAATAATTTTTGGATCACACTGTGTTGCGTGCGGGAATCGAACCCGCGACAAGTTGAACAGGAGCTCAGCCACTACGCCAACCGTGCTATCAAATGAACGAGAAGCGGCTGAATTTCCAAACGTTTATTTATTAATTTCCTGAGTTATTGGCGGATTAGAAAACATGTGAATGTAGACAGACTTAGGTACGTGTTTATATAAACAACAAAGAGTCAACAATAGCAGGATCTTACCCTGACATCATCGATGTGGTTGGTTTTATAAGCACTCTCCAAACCTTCAGACGGGTAAGGCATTACTATAATACGACTAGTTATGTAACTTATATCCAAATCTGTTCTAGCTATTGACCTGAAACAAATATAATCTTGTCAATTATTTTAAATTATGGAAATACGGAAAGATGGATAGAGGATGTTGTATAACACAAAAAGGGTGAAATAAGACATTGCACACAAAATTATACTAGGTATTACTATAAGTAAAATGAGCTGAAATTTACAGTGCACCCCATTAAATGCGAAATAATATAAAATAATATTATTTCGCATTTAATGTATATAATATAAAATAATATAATGCGTAGTATTATATAATTGTATAGAAATTGATAACTCATTTAAGAAACAAACTTCTCATTACATTGCTATCCCACTACACTACATACATAAAACTCCAAAAACAATGATAGAATATATTATTTAAATACTCACTGTTGCACAGTTTGCATAACCTTCGAAGAAGTATCTTTTAAATTCTTCAAAAAGCTGCCAGCGCCTCCTTTTATTGAAGAGAATAGGCCTCCTGAGTTAGCTGGAGTTGCCGGCAAAGGAGGCTGATAATGGGGGGCCGCTGGAGGCCGAGCGGGTGGTGGGGGCCGGCTCGGCTCTGGGGGCCGGGAGTTAGGCACCTCTTGGCTGTTTGCCACAGGATCTTTGCCAGCTAAAAGTAAAAAAGGAGGATTAATTCACATTCTACTAACATTCCAAATTCGAGTTGTGAGCGCGTTTAAGGATTTGTTTTGTTTGTACAGGAATTTCTCATGAAAAATATTCTATAAGGATAATTTAGCTTCCTTCCTTAGACAATTTTCCCTATAAATTCTTTGAATTTGGCACACAAATATGTTTCCTAATAGTAAATGCGACCAAAAACTAGCAACATTGATTGTAATTACTGCGGGTGTGTAGGTAATTATTCAGCGAGGACACTCATGACGATTTCAATTAGTATAACTCGTTGTCTCGCTCTCATATACAGTTTTTATGTAGCATGGTATGTGTCGGTTGTGTATGCGGTCGGAGTGTCGTCACAAAATAATTGTGTAATATTAATAATATTAGCAAATATTCTAATAGTAAGTCTTCATTTCCCTTACAAGGTTCTTGGACATTACGAAAACAACACAATTGAGTACTAGATATTTATTTCTAACATTAATTTATCTTACATGTTTACACTTACAACTAAGTAGTAACAAAAATATTGCTCGTCTAAACACTAACTCTTTTAAATTAACTATTCGAATATAGTAGGTATAGGTAAAACAAAATCACTGTTATTTTTCTCAAATCACATAGTAGTGAATCATACAAAAAAGTTACGAAAAATATTCAGAATATAATGAAAACTTTTTAAAAATCACAAACAATATTTTTAACAACATAATATTATGGAACAAATCTAGAATAAAATATATAAAAATAAACAATTTTACTTACCTATTGGTAATAAATATTATTGGAATCATAACAACGCACCAATTTGGCGCATTTTCGATGAAATTGTATAAGAAATAAATATTTAAAAATACTGATAAGTTACATATTATTAGAATAGGAAGCTATAAAGACATAAAAAAAGAGATGAATGGGCAGAAGCAACATTAGTAATCGGCCACAACGTCCGTACTAAAAATTTGGACACTTCGACTGTAAAAAGAGGAAAATGCGTCAACGTGGTCGGTTGCTTACAAAAACCACAATAAAACAAAATAATACTTTTTAAAATATTCCACAGAATATTTGGAGACTTGATATATTAAAGTAGAATAAACTCTATCCACTGAGATATATTTTACCAGTAAATTTATAAATGAGCAAAATACTGTTTCTATTAGGTACAGTTGTGTGAACTTGAGTAAATTCAAGTTGAGAAGAATGTATTCGTATGAATAAAACTGGGGCTAATGCTTACTTCTTAAATGGAATATAAATTAAAAGCACCTATAAAATAATGTATTTTATATTATAAAGCTGTTGGCAAATATAAATGCCTTTTCCTAACTATGGCTATACATTAAATCATTATTTCTGAAGCTCATATCTTTTGTCTTTCACAGTATAAACAGTTTCTCACAGCGCATTTTGATTTGGTTTTTCTTATCTTTTTTTATTTTGACACTCACGAGGGCATTATTTTTTATTATTATTTTACGTTGCAAAACAAACAAACAGATCTATATTTTAGATAAATCATCCATTTATTTAGTTAGCCGCTAGAATAAAATAAACGAACTATACCTACCTAAAGTGTGTTCAGAAAAATGCACTGTAATTCAATTAGATTCTATGAGTACCAAGCAGAATGTTGTAAATACGTAGGTACTAGTCGTAGGTATATAACATAACAGAAACCTTAAACTCGTAACTACATAACAATTATGGTAACATTTAATACTATCGACCGACGATTTCACTTTTTGTACCTTTTCATGGAATGTTGAGATTTATTTGGAATATTTAGTTACAGTAGTGAAGCAAGGATTGCTTTTAAACGTCGACTATACGGTCCAAATAAGACAATCAAAATGGGTGTTGAAAAGTAGTAAGAACTATTCTAATATCTAAATAGAGGACGGACCTACGATGTCTAGAGCCTTGGAATTATTTGCCAAGGGAATTGTAATATTATTGTCATCGTTAAAACTGTATAGAGTACACCACTTTATACAAAAATGTTTGGCAGACAGAGAATACTGATCACAAAATAACTGCCATCCAAAATACAAGGTACATATCAATATTAAGAAATAATAATTAAAAAACAAAATTGGTACATCTCAGCCAAACACAAACAACCAGCGAGTGGTTTATAAACTATTCTAAAGGCAATAACAACATTATTAATAATAAGTAGTTTAACATTAATAAATAAAACAATGAATACTCATCATTGCGAGCATATCCAATGGTTCTAGCAAGCGTCAATGTGTGATGGGTGTCCGATGCAAGGGTTCATGCTAGCGCAGCGGGTCATTTAAACGAGAAAACTATTGGGCATCCGAAAAAGTTGAAAACACCTAAAATGAAAAAGAAAACATGATATGTATTGCATACACATTATTCTACAAGACAGAAGTCCCGAGCCTCGGCACACCTACGACTACAGCTATAGATTCGCTTCAAATTGTACCACTGGCGACCATTATATCAGATAAAATCAATTAATCAACAGATTGAACGTAAACACTTACGCAGTTGCGTTGATTACTACGTTTATCTAGCACTTATACTTAATATAAATACGAACAGCTAGCGCGACGCAACGCGTTCACTCAATAGGAAAATAGTTTTATTATTTTAGCAAACTGAGGTGCGGGACTTCTGATACTACAAACAGGTACATGCAGTGTGTTATGACCATTCAAAAGAAATAAAATATAAGCACTGATTCCTTCTTCAAGGCTAACATGCATGGCATATTCCATTCATAAATATTTCTTTAAAACAAGAAGTTAAGTGTCTCCTATTCATGCCTCGATATATTAGTTGAATGTAGAACCTATCGCATTCTGTTAAGCCTAAATAGTTTTTATATCTAAATATTCTTTCACGATAAGATAAAAAAAAATTGTAACAGTCATAATTGAGACATAAGTAGTTTTATAGTGGTTCAATGAAGGAGAGCGAAGTTTTAAAGATAATGAATGTGTATATGAAATAGTTCATCAAATATATAAATGCAATAATCGATTTGTCCACATTAATAAGTGTAATTGAGAAATTAACAATACTATAAGAGGAACGAAGTTAAATTAAAATTATAGCAATGCAGAGTAGAAATATGATACAAAAATGAAATGTCTTATTAAAAGGACCATCCAATAGACCGATAATTAAAAATAACATAAATATAAATAGCGAAAACGCCCAGGTGAATGTAGGTATAAGACGAAGCCGTATAGCGACATATTATTATATTTCACAGCACATTACGACTGTCGTCCTGCACCTTATGACCCAAGTAGGCGGGTAAATCCAACGCTGTGCGATCAATTGCGACACTCCTACGCATTACCGAGTTTCACCATAAAATTAAGACATATTTTATTACTAAGCTGTCTTCTATTTGAATAGAAAGTATTAATGGGTAAAGAATCAGTAGCAGTAACGTTTTAAGGGACGATAATAATAATTTTAAACACATTATTTTAATGTTAAAATGTTTGTATGTAAGTGCGAAAATTGTACCTTTGTTCTAATTATAGAAATCAATTGTGTGTAATTGAGCTGAAATATGGCGCTTCATTAACTGGCGTTTTAATGGTCAGTTATCACGCAAATTATGTTTTGGTGCTTTTATTAGTGTACTAGACTTAGGTCTCAGGTTAGTTTCTAAAGTTGAATAAATAACATGTATTGTAGCTAAGAACGATGCGTATACGCATCCATCTTACAAACAAAACCATTTTTTGAAGCAAATCAGACCTCTAGCTTACAACTAAGTACTTTAAAATTCTTCAAGCAATTCCCTAGCAAAACTAGATAAAGACGACATAGTGATAAAAAAGTGTTATTAATTAGACTAAAATCGAATGAATGCATGTTAGTTGGTATTAGATTTGTACAATGGTGGCTACTAAAGTGCAACCAGACTACAGTGCGAACCATCATGTTAGAAGAAAGCGAACGTGAATCTGATCAGTAACACAGAGCATGTTACAAACACATTATACCCACGTTTGTCCACACGGAGCGCCCAGACAGATCTCACTTTCGACATCTGTGCCACTCAAAATGCGTTAGAAATAAAATCAAACGACGGCTGTGAAGAATATACTCATTTATTTATCTATATTAAGCTCCCACATGACTAAATAATAATATGCACAACAGAAATAATGATTCAATGACATAAATGTTAAGACAGTGTTCAGAGAAACACCAGCTCTCGTGATATCAACTAATGACATAAGTATGAACGTTAAACATCATGTAATCTATAATATCATATAAATCTACTCTAATTCAATACTTGTACCTCAGTTTAACATATCATTTCCTCATATTGTCTGGAAAGTTTGGACTGATCCATGATTTTAATCATAGTGTTTGATTGCATCAACACAATATTCATAATAATATGTGATAACAAGCAGTGTAATAGAATACACCGATCTAAATAATAGACTAGTTATATACACACAAATAACTTAAAATATAAGAGCCAAAATATATTCTACGTGACAAGTGCGCGAAGGTGCCGAGATCACCAAGCCACCGATACCGTTAAATGCCAGAGCACGATGAGACGCGGCGCCCGCAACCATGTTAGTTCACATATACTACGTACTCAACGTGTTATTATAAGCCAATATATAATATTAATATATGTCAACACACTAGTCGTATCCAGGTTTAGTACCACTGTACATTTGTCTAGTCTACTGGATATATTTCGTATTTACTATTAGAATTATTATACTATATAGAAAAATAATATACCTATATAGTAAGGGGTTTAGACATTGGTGTGAAATTGTATATATAGCCCAATAAAGTTACAGGAATGTATAGATAGTAATAATTATACCTAAATATAGTTAAGACTCTAACTAGCGACAAGTATCCTATCTAGTTATAAATGGTATGCATTTCATAAATGCACACTGACTTTTTGGTAATAAAATTATTCAAGAAAAATGTTAGAAGAGTTTGTGACAGATTTACTCAATATTTGTAGTTGTATATTCTAGTGACCTTTCTATTACTATCACTGGGACATCTCTCAAGTCTTCTTTTATAGTCAGACTTAAACATCAAATTAAAGCTTATTAACTTTCACTGTTTATGAAACATCATGGCTAATATTGCACATGTAAATGCAGCCTGAGCCTCTTCCATACAAACAAATGCTTGGAAACAGTAAATCTAACTTTACCAACGTTATATTAACGCATTTCAGCATTGAAGCAACATAAATAATCAATTTTGAATCAAGTCAAATAAATGCTATACTACCTTATTTCATTCAGAGAACAATTTATTCAACATTGCCTTACCTTTGGTGATGTTCAATTTTTGGTGATAATCAACATTGGAATGTAAATAAATCTCACATTTCATTTAATAACCTTTCTAAGGAACTCAAAATAAATATATGGAAAAAAATAAAAATTTGAGTGTAAAAAGTCAAAAAATACTTGACCATTTTTAGCTCGAGTATTTAATGCAACAGAACAGAACGATGGTCCGTAGGGTATGGATAAGTGATACGCGCGCTCGCAACTCAATATAAACGTTTAGGCGATTGTTTCAATTTATCACAAAATGTTGAACGTGCCGCGCCGCGACATTTCTCTTAGGATATGGTAGTGTAATATTTACTTGACTTCTTATTACCTGGCGAGCTAGTGGCCACAGATTGTTCAACTTTTTTACGCTCAAATTTGAGTGGTTGCTTGAGATTGACATTATTGGACTCCGCTATCGCCGCCAACCGCTCCAGCACACTACTTATTGTCAAGCGCTCTTCAGGGTTCACTGTTAGGCAACCACCTGGGAACAAACACACCACAATCACATATTTACATTCCCAACACAACACATTACTAAAACAAGGTAGTCTACTTACTTATGACTTCATGAAAACATTTGTAGCGTTGATCATTGGGATTAAGATTATAGTTTCCATTTAGGATAGCCAGTTTAGCTGAGTCTTCAAATGGATGTTGCATGTAGCATAGTGTATAGAGTATGCATCCTAGAGCCCACACATCGACACTGTGGTCTATTTTACGATTGTCCCAAGTATCTAACATTTCTGGTGCTCTATACATGGGGGTAGTAAATTGGGCCAGCTGAAAAGAAAGACAATGTGAGTGGGAAATATCAAAAAACAAAAATATGTAAGTTTATTTGGCAAATTAAAAACAACTTACGGTTTCTTCTAACATATTTCTTTGATTTGCACTCCAAGAGGGATTAGGAGTATATATATCTGTTGTAGCTGATCCAAAGTCACACAGTTTTATTGTACCTAAAAAAAATATTGATTAAACTTGGAACTGTCAAAGATATTCTTTATTATAATATTATTTAAATAGGCATTATAATGTTACCTTCATTTGAAATTAAGAAATTTTCTAGTTTGAGATCACGATGAGCGATTGGGGGCACCTGAGCATGCATGTGTTGCACAGCCCGACAGGTTTGGTAGAAAACCCTGAGTATGGTGGGCAGAGGGAATGCCTGGCCTCTGTTCTGGAGGGCTTCCATCAAGCTTCCTCCACTACACAAGTCCGTCAACAACAAATACTCTCCCATCCCATGTGATGTCTTTGACTTATCAATAAATGATGCTGCTATGTATTTTATTACATTAGGGTGACCTGATAATTTTTTTAATATACTAATTTCTTGAATAATGTTCTTATTCGCTTGCTCATCAGCTGCCATTAGCCTTTTCAAGGCGTATTCAGTACCGCTGGATACATCTTGAGCAACAAACACAAAAGCAAAACCACCTGCAATAGAAATAACTTAGTAGAAAATTTTTATGAGAACAACTTTTAGGTTTTATGCAATTTCCAGTAGCTGCATTGAATTTCCCCCTGTAGGTACAGGTAAATATTATTCAAAAAACAATTTCCTGGGTCAAGCTGTTCATTGAAGTGAATTCATTTAAAGTCACTATACCTTCTATAAAAAAATTGAACAATATTTACATTTAATCAAAGTTTACATAAAACACAACCAATTTTCCACCAGATTTATTATTAGTACACAAATCATTTACTTATTACGGACACAATTATAGATAGGTATTGAACTTATGACGTCTAGTACATTGTGCCATAACCACAATTACAATAAAATTAGAAAAAAGCAATCTGATCAAATATGTTTCATAAATGTAAGGAAACCATAGCATAACTGGGAAAACCATTGAGACTGATATGCACCATAAGGTAAAACAAGATAGTTAAAACCTCTGTGTCTCTCTGTCTCTGTTGAAGTCTCTGTCTGTTATGGACACAAATACCCTAAAGAATATTCATTAAGTGTGCACAGCCAAAAATATGGAAAATTTTCCTCCACCAAGTAGTTCTGACTATAGTACAATATGTTAGAGATTCATATCTGGTTGATTCATGCTGATAAACCAATCAATTCATCAATTTACTCATAATAGTATAATTCAGAGCCCAATTTAAGTGTGTGAACTTACACAGACATGCTGAGAACAATAATCTTTCGAGGTACTGTAATTTTAATCTACTCTTAAATAAAGCTCAGTATATTTATATTAATGAATTTTCGATTTCTCATAACACATTAAAATAAAAAGGTCGTTGACCTCATTATGACGGAATTAACGCAAATTTCTTATCGGACATGTTCCATCTCATCGACCCCAAACATTTGTCGAACCCTTTAAACGCCCCCAATTTCTATGACGTTAGTACGTGTACTGCACCAATACATCAACCTACGCATAATAGAACTTTGCTGATCTTATAATACGGGTTATTCGAGAAGAATGTGAATATAAAAATAAGAATACAATATTGACTTACCTTCTGCAATCACCTTCTTGACTCTCAATTTCATATTTCCTATTTCAACAAACTGACCAACAAAATCATTATCACTGCCACCGTTAGCGCCTCCTGAGCTGAAATAGCCCATGGCTGATTTAAAGACGCTCATTTTGGAATCTAATTTTGTGGTTTTACTATATAAATTAAGAAAAAAACTGTGTTTTATCAGCACCCTTTGCCCAGATCCATTTTACAATGGCAGAAAAAAAAGAATAGGCAGATTTGTTGGCAAATGGCAGGACATTTGCAAAGTTGCCAACTTAAACCATTTTTTTTATTTTTTTCCTCAAATTATTTAATTGTTGTTTTGAAATACAGCATATTTAACAAAACTAAATGCATCAGAATTTAGTAAATAACCCCCAAAAATAATAAAGAATATCTCAATTTTTTATAAATAATTTAAAAAATATTTTTAAATCTAATTGGAAACCTTAATTGGAGAACAATGGAATTTAGATTTAGGTTCTGACAACACTGAATGCTATAGATCTTTTTAACAGAGGTGCCATTTTTAGTCGATTATATCGATAATTTTATTGAACATCTTTGTTCTCAATCGACTACTTTTTGACAGAATTGTGACATAAATCAAAATATTTTTGTCAATGTTACTCTAGCGAGGTGTTACTATCTGTGGGGGCATTGTTAAAAAGTCATTTTGGAAGGAAAGCAAAGCAAACTGTGCTTATTTTATTATTTGTTATTGGCATTTCCTTCAACTGCAGTTTTATAAATAGTCAAAATTCCACGCAAGAATACACCGGACTGATGTTTGTCAATCCCGTGTGAAAATAACAAACATGGGATTTGAAATCAAAAGATTTCAAGGTGACGTTGATGAAGAACTCATTTGTCCTATTTGTTCAGGAGTTCTAGAGGATCCACTTCAGGTTTGTTTAGGTTTTTAAAATTTGGTTTTGTTACGGAAGTGATAACTAGTGTGTAAAAATATATTTTTTGTGGGTGTAGGCTCCTGCTTGTGAACACGCGTTTTGTCGTGCCTGCATAACTGAGTGGATCAGTCGCCAGCCCACCTGCCCCGTAGACCGACAGGCAGTCACCGCGAGCCAGCTCAGACCAGTTCCCAGAATACTACGTAATTTATTATCAAGGTGATTATTTCACAAGAATGTCATGGATTCTTATTGGTTTGTAGGTCAAACATTTATGTTTGTTTTGCAAGGGCTTATATAATAAAACATATAGTGAGCTTAATAGCAATTGTGTTGTAATACCTACTGACATTATAGATACTGTTAAATTGATTGGATCACAAGAGTATCATATGTTGCTGGCATGATACAGTGATGTTTCTATGTAACAACAATAACATAAAATATTTTTTACACCTCAATAATTCTACTAACATTACATACGCGAATTTCGTTGAAGTTAGAATGGATGTTTATTTTCCTTTCATGTAATACTTCTGGATGGATTTTGTAGGAAAAAGCTACTTTTTATTTGAGTAATGTTAGTATAGCCTCTTACAGAAGCTAGTAAGTGTATACAGTGAAACTTAAATAACATGTATGTTTTTATTATAGATTGTGTACGAGTTGTGACAATGCACCCCATGGGTGCAATGCTGTATTGAAACTGGATTCTCTTGCATCCCATTTAGTTGAATGTAGGTATACAATCTACCTGAATAGGATTTAAATTAAAATTTGTAATAATCATACCAAACTTTCCTCTTGTTGGATTGCTATTTAATTAACTGTCTCAATATAAAAGTGAGTCCCACTGCTGAAAGTATAAAAAAAAAATCAACATCAACACAATGTCTTTTAGTTTTTTTTAAGATCCCTTTCAAAGTTTATTTATTTTTGATCTAATCATAAGTCTAAACTTCCATTATGATTGTGGATAAGATAACACCTTACATTTGTTTATTATGATATGTATTTCTGATGATAATATTTTTAACAGGTGAATACAATCCTAAAAGGCCAATGCCATGTGAAGCAGGATGTGGACTAGTGATACCGAAAGACGAACTGGCAGAACACAATTGCGTCCGTGAGCTAAGGGCCCTTATTGCAACGCACCAAGGAAAACTAAATGACTATGAACAAGAGTTAGCGGAACAGAGACTTGTCATAAATGAACATAAACGGGAACTGGCATTATTAAAAGTGAGTGAATTTGTGTCATAATCAACATCCTAATTAGTCACAATTACAACAAACATCAGTCTGGTGTATTTGTAAGGTTTTTACACCTAAATTGCTGAATAAATTTTTGATGTTTTTGTACATGATGCCCCATGGGATAAACTGAGGACATGGCATTTGATTACACTAGTCAAGTGATTGATACCTTATATTATTTAAAAAGACGAAATTCTAACAAGAAAATAGATATGTATTCACATTGGAAGTTGGAAGGCATAGACATATTCATATTTTACTTTTCTATTTGAAAGTTTTTGTAAAAGACAAAGGAATAACAAGGTTTTTGAAGTCACCATTGTTTACATACTATAATAGAGGTAAATCTCAAAACATGATGGCTTATTGAATTGAGCTAAATGTTATATGAATACCCTAACTATAGACAGCACAGGACCTATTATTCTAGAAAAGCATAGTGATTGTGTTGTTGTTTACCTATAATTTTAAAACATAAACAAATCACACTCATATTGGTCAATGCTGAGCCCTTAATTGCATATGCTGGTTTAAAACAATGCATCATTTAGGTTTCTTCTGAAAAATGCAAAGTAATTAGCAGTAGAGAATAATAATGTCCCTATTCTCTCATAGCTGGCTGAAATTTGTATTTTATTTATTATTCATCTAATTAATGGTTTCAGAAAATGCCACATAAAATCTAATCTCTCAAGTACATGATATTGAAATGTTGTCACTACAAACCATATGGACACTTCATCAAACTAACCTCTAATAGATTTTCGACCTTAAAGAATACTCTATAGAGTTGAAAATATATAAAAGTATTGATAGAACTTGCTGTGCTACCATACTGATTAATAAAGGTTTATAATATAAGTATAATTTTATTTAAATATTGTGCCAGGAATTTATGCGTGCGATGCGTCTATCAAATCCGTCTATGCGAGCGCTTGCCGACCAAATGGAGCGAGAGGAAGTGGTGCGCTGGGCGAATTCACTGTCACGCGCGAGAGTCACGCGTTGGGGCGGAATGATCTCCACTCCAGATGACGTGTTACAGGTCAGCTAACTTTATTTGATACTTAAAATACTAAATACTTTCAAATACTAAATGATTACGAGTTTATGTGAATATAGTTGTTATATTTGCGCATGTGTCCTCTATCATACAACGGGATTTATAATACCGACGAAATTCTATCTAAATCTTCAGGTTATGAGATATTATGTAATGTATATAATATCTATACTAAAAAACAAATTGTGAAATCACATTTCAGATGATGATCAAGCGAAGTTTATCAGAATCTGGCTGCCCGCCTCATATAATAGACGATCTAATGGAAAACTGCCATGAACGACGGTGGCCTCCGGGCCTCTCATCACTTGAAACCAGACAAAATAATAGGAGGTAGCTTTATACCACTATTTTTCTTTAACAACAAGATTAAAATAACCACTGAGTTTTAACTCAGTGTGTCTGTAGACTTGTTAACATAGATAAGAATGCAGTGCTTAAATTAAGTGATTATCAATTCTTCAATTTTGGAAATACACATTCCAGTTCATTAAACATAACCAATAACGGTTTCATATCTCAATTTATGAACTATTAGGTGACAAGAAACAATTTGGTGTTCTATAAATATTTGTAATCATTGGAGTCATAATTATTTTTACCCAAGTGGTAATTGTTGTCAGCATATTGATGACTCGCTTTCAATGTTCTCGCGTCAAGAACATTGAACAAGGCTTATATCACATGGTCTGGATAGCCAGATAAATTTAAATACGGAATGTTATTTGTATGAACTAATACCACATATTATGTTAATAGGCCATTTATATGGAGGTGGTGAAACAGGTGCTAAATATTTTAATCGTATGCTAAATATAATTCATGAAGAATCACTTTCTTTTTCCAGATTATATGAAAAATATGTTTGTAAAAGAGTACCCGGGAAACAAGCAGTGCTCGTGTTACACTGTGACAACACTCACGTGGACGAGCATATGATGGTGGAGCCCGGCCTCGTCATGATCTTCGCGCACGGCATCGAGTAGCAGACGGTCCCATGCTGTTGGTGTTCATATGACGTTGTATGCTCTCAAATGTGTGGACGTTGTGACTTGAATGCGGAGGCATTAGGAAGAGTTATATGATTAGAATTTAGGGAATAACTTTAAGTCGGTAGAAATACTAACGAGCCTACTTTGAGCGCTAAACATACAAAGTGTGTTCCTACTACAATGCCCTAAAAGGGATCGACGTACACAACCTGTACATTTAAATTCATCCGTCCTCTCAGTGCCTCCGCAGACTAGTACACGCATTGTCAGGGTCGCCACACTCGAAATATTACACTCGCGGCAAAGACGAGCCGACCTGGATCTCTGAGCGACCACGACAAACAACTCTGCCAATATGAATCCTAGTTCTAGAGTAAAACACAACTAGTAGCAAAATTATAAATGGCCTCTGGCCAGCCATAAAGTATGTTGGCATTTTAAAAACTTATTTTCTGGCAACTGTAAGACCAATGATTACTGTACAATATTATACAAATCATATTTGATAATGTATGTAGAGAAATATTTTTAGGTATGAACTATGAGAGTTTCTAGACTTTCTAGTATAACATTGGATTGAAGACATTCCTAATAGAAAAGAAATGATTAAAATTATTTAATAAATGTTTATAAGTTGATTCAATGTTATGGAATTCAAAATTTAAAGTATTAATTAATTTTAGTTTTTATAAGTTTTTTTTTTATATTAAATTAGTGATTGAATGCTGTGTTATGTTACAAATAGTGTCATTGTTTATAAAATAATATCTTAATTTTATACCGAGTACACAATGAACCATCAAAAGGGACCATAAATATAATTTGTTAGCATTACCTTGTAATTTTCTTTGAACAGGTTCAAATTAAAAATTTACCTACTCTTCAAAGATCCTTTTCCGTGTACATTTTCAACATACAACTTCGATATTATTACTTTATTCCTAATATTTTCCGTTATGTTGTTATAATTGGTGTCCTTTATCATGTATTTAGCTCAATTTTTATTAAATATACTTACTGATCACTAATTGAAAACGGAAATGTTTCATTTATTGCCCCCCTCTATACTTTTTGAGAATTTTCAGAAGTTGGTGTTTTTTTTAGTTATTTGAGTGCCTCTGTCCTCTACCGCTATCAAGCCATCAAGGCTGATGGCAAGCAATGATGGAGTCTAAGGTGGAACACGCAAACTCAAAAAATGCCTATTGACTCTTGCCTTGAACTTCCCTAAATCGTAGGTCTGTGGGAACAGCGACGCAGGGAGATAATTCGAGATTTTAGCAGTCGAGCATAATAATGTTATGTGAAAAAGGAGGAAAAAATTGCATGTATTTTAAAAGTATGTGAAAGTGTTATCATCATATTATTAATTGTTACCATCATTTACACGCGTAAACTACTAAGCGACGACGGAGGCCCAACCGGGCCGATGTTTAGTCGGGCTTGCAGGTTAACTGCGGCTTCAGCATGGAGCAGGAGAAGTACCGGTGTCTTTTAGTATGTAAACACAGCTTAAAGAACAAAGAGTAAAGTCTTGACACTTTCTCTGCCATACCCTCTAGACAAGAAAAGTCACTTGATGATTTCCTCAAAAAAAGACAGCATAGTATACATTTTTTTGTTCTACATATGCTTATTATAATTTCTAGCAATTCGCAAAAATATGGATACTTATACGCGTGTTTATTATGGTATTCAGATCAAATATATTGTTTTTTAATAATCTTAAATACACTTTTAACACCCAAAATAAAGCATGAAATGAAACGTGGCAATCCGTGAAATGTCAAACAACCAGCAGCTGTCAAATATTTTTGTTTGTCATCTTCAACACAAACTTTCCGAAGTTATTGTGAATTAAAACATCGAAAATGTCTGAAATGGAAGTAACGGAGAGTGGGAACGATTGTTCCAATGATTTGTGTAAGGAATTTCTTATCATTAGTGTGGATAAAACCCGTTAAATGCTCGATAACCTTAGTGTGTCCACCGGCTGTTCATCAGCTCAGCTAATGGCCTGTTCTATTGTTTCTAGTGCTTCTGGATCGTGTATTTCTGCGTCTGGGTAACGCGGACAGTGATGACCAGCTTGAAAGCTGCTTGAATCGGTTCTTGCCGCCAGTGATACTGAAGCTATCGTCACCACATGAACAGGTGTGATGTGGTCTATTTACATTTTGGGATGACGACTCTTCGATTTCTTGCACCTAATATTTGCTTTACCTATTTAACAAATTTCTTCAGCAAAATCTAGTCTAAATAGGGTAGATTTTAATCCTGTAAGAAAAAATCTGAAATGTTGGTATTAGATCAACTAATTGTTTATTCAAAGATGCTTCGTCATGCTAATGCGAATCCATTAGATTCATTGTAAAATAATGGTAATTCAATATTATTTAACTACAGCATGTTACCATGCCAACTGATTGTAATAAATATTCTTTACTTTGACACTTTATTAATAGATGTTAAATGTTAGGTACGCACAAAAGTGATGGAGTTGCTGGTGCATGTAAACAAGAGAGTAAAGTGTCGTGCGGATGTGCAGCTGCCTGTGCAGACTTTGCTGCAGCTGTACAAGGAACCCACTTCCAACAGCTTTATTATTGTAAGTATTTTTTTTTAACTATTCCCTACCATTACTTTTGTTAGTGCTGTGTTATGTTGTGAGTGGTGAGCTGAAAGAGTTAGGCTTTTTTTGCCTAAAAGCCACCCACATTTTTCTCCTTTTCTGAGACTGGCCTTATAATTTTTTGCTACCTTTGTTAAAAATTACTATAATAAACAATTAATGGCATTATTTCATTGACTTTTTGAGGGATAAACATTCTGATTTTTTACCCTTGCTATTATTATATAGAAATCTTCTAAGTTTTAACTCTTACTTGCTATAGTAATTGTCCAAACCATGAATTGTATTTTTAAAACTTTGTTGCCTTGCAGAACTTCTCAATCATATACATAACAATGGGGTTCCCAAGGCTTCCTCGGGATCAGCAGCTGAGCCTGGCGCCATCACTGCTGCAAGCTATTGAGAACAAACCTCAAGGACACCAAGATGGGTGAGTATTTTGAACTTAATACACAAATCATTGACACAAATATTTTCTAATTCTTAAGAAAATATTTTTTTTTTTTACTTTCTATAAACTAGTGCTTGACTGCGATCCTACCTGATGGTAAGCAGTGATCCAATCGTTGATGGTAAGGCGCACTAGTTTATTAAGAGCCTATTCACTCTAGCCTTGAAGACACCTAAATTATATTTGGACGGAAAGACTGCAGCCGGCAAACTGTTCCAATCCCTCGATGTACGCGGTATAAATGACGAGGCAAAGCTCTTAGTCCGGGCCGCAGGTGTCTCAACAACGTAAGGGTGGATATTTGCCGTACGCCGGGATGTCCGAAGGTGAAATGGGGATGGCGGAATCAAATCGTGCAATTCCTGCGCACACTCTCCAAATGCATCCTGTAGAACACCGCAAGGCTGGCTACTCTGCGCTTGTGCTCGAGACTCTGAAGATTGGACCCAATTTGTGCTAGACTTACACTTTCAGGACAAAAATGTCTCTAAGAATTAGAAAATATTTGTGCTTTTTAATTTCATAGAAAATCCTTTTTCTTTCAGTATCCTGATGCTAGTCATGCCACTGCTGGGAGATATCAAAGAAACTGATCTGAATTTAAAAGAGAAACCTAAAGTTGCCAACTTGATACTCAAGTTTGCTACTGATGTCCTACTTCTACCATATAGGTCAGTAGCTAAAAGTTTTAAATAATTAACTTTTTAATGAAATTGTAATACATAGTTTATTATTTCAGTTTTCATACAGACATAGCAGGCTTCAAATAAAGTAAATATTAATTAATAATTAGATAAGTAGTACACTGGAAAAGAAATTGATATTGTTTATTAATTTATTATTCATTGAATTCAATCTAAAGTTCATAATTTTATAAACCTGTAGAGTTTGTTTGTTTGAATGTGCTAATCTAACTACTGGTTGGAATTGAACAATTTTTGTGTTTGTTGGTCCATTTATCGAGGGGCTATTAATAGGCAATAAAACATCACTCTACAATATGTAATAAATATCTTTTGGATACATATCATACATGTACATGAGTTTCTAAAAATAATATGATATCCCAGTCAATATTACCAATAACTGATTCATTTGATTTCATACCTTAACTAAATATAAAATTTGACTTAAAAAAGTTATAAAATCACAGCATGCAGTCTGATTCAAAACAATTCTGTTGAAAAAAAGGATTGAATTTGACATTGAAATTTGTCATCATCCTTTTTGTATTTGTATACGCCAATGGAACTCGCGAAATGTTACACTTTATTCTTGTGAATACTGAGATTTTATTTAATTTTTGATAGGTATGGTAAAATCGTCTATTGACCTTTCTCACCCTGGTTGGGGGAGAGGAAGTGTCACACTCTTACTGACTAAAACCTTCCTCGTCCCTTCTCCTGCCAGGCCGGGGCCGCGGTTCATGATTGCGCTTGACCCGTAACCTCGAATGAATGATGCAGGTTGTGATGTACGTTTTCAGAGCGCTACCAAACCCCGGTGAGAGTGAGTTCCAAGTGCCGCCCGGTATGAGCATGAAGACATACAAACGTATAATTGACAAGAACCAGTTGAATCCTAACCAACTTGAAGAGGTATTGTTATTAATTCTGTAATTAATCAAGTGTAATCTAAGCTTACAATACCGCCCTAGTTGAACATTGCCGATTTTCACATTTTGAGCTAGGGTCATTGTCCATATTCAATCATGGATCATATGGTATATGATTATGATCATAGATCATATGGTATATGATTTAGCCATTAACATTAGCTTTAAATTCGTAATTAAGTAGGTCTTAATTATCAAGTACCTATACGCTTTAACTACACTTTTAGTTACTTAAAATTAAGGTATTGAAAAAGTGGAAGGCTGTATATGACGTATACAACCAAACTGTACTTTTGAAACGTTTCTGATCTCTGGGTTTATAATTTTATTTTGAACTTTATTGTTATATCTCAATACGTCTTTTGTACTTTCAGATGAAGCTGTCTATAGTAAACTTTATAGGCAAAGATATATTCAACATGAACGACACATTGCTTACGTTGATTGTAGCTGCGGCCGACTCGCGGTTCAGTGTTGCCAACCACGCGAACAGTCCACTTATAAGGGTTAACAGGTAAAATAATAAAAGTTTAAATAAATATTTAATATGTGTATATTCATATTAACCTTACGAATGTCGTATGTGTAAAACAGTATTTGTATATTCGGAATAGATTTTTTTATGGGGTAAGACCGCAAACGATTGCCTGACGGTAAGCAATCAACGACGGCCATGGGCAACGGAGGAGTACGAGTACTTCGCCGACCTTTTGGGGATTTAGGGATTGGGGTCCCGCTGTAAAAATCATTTATATTGTTTGTATTAGTTAGTAAACATGTTTTAAAGGATTTTTTACTTAATTTTCTTATTGTTTTTTTTTACAGTTCAGTTGATTGGTCTTCACCTTCAGTCGTGGCTCCATTATACTCATTATATTTGGGTACGTGGGGTGGTATGAAAGTACCCCCAGATGATCGCAAGGTAAGCCAAATCCGATTAAAATATGTGGAAAAGATTTTCAAATCTTACTTGAAGTGAATAAGGTCTAAAATCAGTTTTTTTTTGTCGTAGGTACCAGCTTGCACGAGGCTTCGTTTAAAACTGATACAGTATTTGAACAAAGCGACTGGACCAGCGATTATGTTCCCTCATTGTGTACAGGTGAGTGTTTTTATTTTTTGTTAGCATTTTCTAAAGATAGGAATAAACTCCGACTAAGTAAAGATAGGGCAACACTAGTCCAATGCCAATTGAACGCGTGCGCCCCATTATTTGGCCGGGACTGTCAAAAAAAGAAAACGGTTTCGCGCGCTTTATATGATTGTTCGTAATAGGTATATCATTGTATTTTCGTACTAAAACTAACAGTGTGGATATCAAATGCCATTCTTAAAAATACTGTCCAATCATTCCAAAACTATGCTTTGAACTTACTACCTTTTGTACATAAGCGTTACAAACCGTAAGTTCGGGTTACTTTGACCCTGGGAGGTAACTTTGATCCAAATTTTCGAACCAATGAAAAACGAATATATGTTTGGTTCTCAGTTATTATTGGTTAAAGGGTTTAGATCAAAGTTACCCCGCAGGGTCAAAGTAACCCGAACTTAGCCGGAACATATATTTTTTTTTTACATGTGACAGGTCGTATTCTCGTCTCTTTTTGATCCGAACACAAACTCAAGATTGCGCAATCAGGCGCTAGTGTTTCTCCTGAACGTTATCAACAGGTGAGTACTTATATTTTTTACTCATTTGACTTTACACCTTGTGGTATTAAGAATAAAAATCATAATACAATAATTCATTTCAGTGGTGATGAAGTCCAACTGAAGAAGGTAGCAACAGTGTTCCTCCAAGGACTACTAAAGCTCATCAGATCTGATGAGCATGCGGAACAACACCCTAAAGCCTACATGTGTTTAGGTTCGTTTTCCAATAACTTGATTATTTTTAATTTTGTTTTTGTTGAAACTGGAATGAGCTATTTTTTTACCGTAAATTTGTCCAGTTTTGTTCGAAAGAGACAGATTGTACATATATTATGGAATTGAAATTGAAAGACTTGAATCCTTTCAATATCAAAATTGCAACCTTTGGTACGCGTTTCTTGTGTTTTGTCCATATAAATACAATTGGAAACAGGCACATAGCCAAACAGACAAAGAAAAAAATTATTCCATTTTGTTGACATTTGAAAACACGCCTGCATTTTTGAAATAAATGCTTTGACTTAGTGCTAAGATTGTACAACCAATGCCGTAATACAGCACAGATCATTAAATATTTTATAAACACTCAGGACGCCTAGCGATGAAGTGTCCAGACACGATCAACAATCAGTTCGCTCTACTAGAGGAGTTGGTTAAGAAGATACCGGATGCTGTGCCCGAGATGAAGACCGCGCTCAGAGACGCACTGCTAGAGATGTCAGCTGGCTTCAAGATTAATACTGAAGGTAAACTTTAGTACCTTTACTTACTCGTGAGGAAACTAGGTCCTATAATAATAAATTCAACGCATTAATGATCATTCCTTAATCGTGTGAGAAGAGGCTTTTGTTCATCATTTGGACTGTAATGAACCATTCTACGTATCTGAATCTTACTAAGAATTTAGCTTAACAATACCGATTTTTGGTCTTTTATAAATCATATGAACTAGTGCTTCACTGATGGTAAGCAGTGATGAAATCGTTGATGGTAAGGTACGCTAGTTTATTAAGAGCCTATTCACTCTAGCTTTGAAGATACCTAAATCATAACTGGACGGGAAGACCTTTGCAGGCAAGCCCTTCCAATCCATGTATGAATAACGAAGCAAAACGTTTAGACCGGTGAATCCGAGATTCTAATTGTTGCTTATTCATAAATGTTATTTTGACTGGATTTATTGAAATACGTAGCTAAAGCCGACACTCCGAGTTCTTCCACGGCCGGCACGTCACAAGGCGACAAGATGGAAGTGGACGACAGCTCCAAGACGAGCCCCTTCGATGAACCACAGGCGTTGGCGCTGTTCGCTTTGCTGGACCAGTAAGTACCGTTTTATTGACGCAAAACTACTATTTTTCTTACTAATATAATAGACTGTAAAGTTTGTGACTAAAATCGGTAAGTTTGTTATTCATTTTCACGTAAAAACTGCTCAAGGGACTTGGCACAGAGATAGACTATATCCTGGAATAACACAGGCTACTTATGATTCGGGTAACGCGAGCGAAGCCGCTGGCTAACAATTATAATGCTTATGAAATTGTAAGTTTAAACTTCTTTATGGTAGTGGATTTAAAACTGTATGACGCTGATCATGCTACTAATTTGTTGTTCACTGCTGAAGAGGGCCTTCTGAATGAAGGATACAATTAAACCAGAAGGTCTAATAAGATAAAAGACTAGCGAATCGCAGTTACACCACTTATTGAATTATAGCCCTTTCCGTAACAGATCTTATATTTAGAACACTCTATGAATCAATTTACTTGATAATTTTATTAATTTGTTGACAGTTACATGCACAGTGAAGAGTCAATGATCCGGTACATAGCTATGCGTTACTCGGCCGCCGTCTTTCCGCAGGACTACGTGCCATCTCGATACTTGCTGCTATTGGCCAGTGGAGACAGGTAATAAATGTTACGGTAATGTAACGGTTTTTGGTTTTTTTTTCTTACTCAATTCAAAATCATTTATTCCAACTAAACCATAAAATAGGTACTTTTGGAACGTCAAAACAGAATAGTAGTCTGTCAGTCTGTTCGTCAGTGAAGCTATAGTTCGTTCCATAATTAGAGACACCGATTTGACATTTCGAGTGTTGCAAGTTTTTTCCATTTCATAAATAGTGAAGTCCCGCGACCGGTATTGACCGAAAGACCGAAATTAAATTCTGGACTTCGTGCATTTTAAAAGCTTTATTATTTTTAGCTACTTTCCCTGGTACCTTCCTGTGCCCATACTAACTCAGTCGGGTTAAAATCACAATGGTAAGGAGGCAACCGTAAAATAGTGACCCCCTTTTATCAGTCCACGACGTATCGTTCATAATTACTCTTCTCTTTCCAGGAAATCTCCAACAGCTCAGCTTTCAGCATAGGTTCCTCAAATATAATGTTTTTCTTTTAGCCAGTCTTGGATTTCGCATTTTTATTTTATATTATTATTTTCTTTATTTATCATATAAACATATAAATTATATTTTTAAACATTTCTTAAAAATAAAAATAAAAAACATTTAAAAATATAAAAAATAGTGTCCCACCGGTATCGGGAACAGGGTCCAAGCCACCGGCGGTCAGGGCTCCAGAGAAAGAAACCTCCTGACAATACGAGCCGTGTCCAGGAGTACCACTTTCTGGATCAAGCCCTTGATCCAGCCACCTAACGAGAGCCTCTTAAGGTGTTGGTCGAGGCTCTTAGCTATTAAGCCATTGGCTGACACGACTATCGGTACAATGACTGCCGAATCCACATCCCACATGTCGACAACCTCGCGTGCCAAGTCAATATACTTGATTAGTTTATCCCTCTCAGCTTTCACGAGGTTCTCGTCATGTGGGACGGCTATGTCAACAATCATTGCACGCCTCTCGTTTCGGTCCACCACCACTATATCAGGCTTATTGGCCACAATAGTCCTGTCAGTGATGCTAGACCGGTCCCAGTACAAGGTGATATGACCATTTTCAAGAACTGGGTCGGGCTCATACCTGTAGTACGGCACTTCCGATCCCACAAGAGAGTACTTCAGAGCAAGCTGCTGATGAATGATCCTAGCTACAAGGTTGTGCCTATGCAAGTACTCGCCGTTAGTTAGACGAGAACAACCAGAGATTATGTGACGAATTGATTCTCCCTGACGGTGACATGCCCGACAGATGTCAGCCGTGCCGTCCTTCACAATAAATCTCCGGTAGTTATTCGTCATGATAACTTCGTCCATAATTGCACAGACAAACCCTTCGGTTTCCCCAAAGAGGTCTCCGGAACGCAGCCAGGATACGGACGCCAACTGGTCTACATCCGGCCCATGTAGGGCTCGGAAAAAGCGTCCGTGAAGCTCCTTGCTCTGCCATACTTCCCTGCGAGCGTTGGTGTCAAGTATGACCGGTTTACGCCAGTTCTCGCTAGCCAGGGAGAGCGGGGTGAGCCCCTTGTCCACTGCCACTACATCTCGATGCATACCCACGTCGGCAGCAAGGAAATATTCCCTGAGACTACATACCTCGCGGTTGTGTAGGGTCTTGGCATTTAAAAAGCCTCGACCCCCACACTTCCGCGGGATATACAGTCTCATCACCGACGATCGCGGGTGATGCATTCGGTATGCAGTCAGCATTGTTCGGACCCGCCTATCCAGGGCGTCAAGTTCGGTTTGAGACCATTTGAGTACGCCGAAAGAGTACATCAATACCGGCATGACCCAATCGTTGAAAGCTCGCACCTTGTTTCCGCCTGAAAGAAAGCTATTAAATACCTTCTTCAGGCGACCAAAGAAACTCTCCTTCAGCGATTGCTTCATGTCAGTGACATTGATGCCTAAAGCTTCCAATATTATTATTATTATTAATTCGACTAAACTATAAAAAACATCACCGCAACGTTGTTTTATTTGCTCAGGGTATTTTATAAAAAACGGTATCGGTATTTTATTTAAAACATCGTACTCGGGCCCATCACTATGTTAAAAAATCTGGCCACATTATTTTGTAGTTTGACATTTGCTGTTGTCAAATTGTTGTCTCTAATTATGGAACGAACTATAGGTACTCATTCCAAATTGTAGATTAGTAAACAAATGAACATTTTGTTCACGCGGTGGCTGGTCAACTGGCTGACGTGCAACGTGTCACGGGTTCGACTCCCGTACGAAAGAACTCATTGTGTAATCCACAAATTGTTATTCCGGGTCTGGTTGTAATGTGTATGTCAAATTGTATCTTTTTTATTAAATAGACTTAATTCTACTAATACAGTAAAACAAACTGTTTTGTGTTACTTTATGACTTAAATTTATTTACTCTTCTGTCTTCAGTCAAGACGATATCTCAACTGAAGCGCTAAAATGTCTGTACGGCACTTCGCGGCCTAGTGAAATAGAGGACGCGGTTTTCAACGTATCTAAGAAAGAGACAGCAGTAGTCAATATAGACGAAGATGGTTCTAAGAAAGACAAGGACAGAGCAGATGAGAATCAAGAATTGAAAGTGCCAAAGTTTTCAGAAGTTGTTAATTATGTGTGGGATCAAATGCAGAAGAGGAAGAAAGGGTCGAACTCTAAACATAGGTTCGTGATTGGAAACCAAGTGTTGCAGTTTCATCCTTTGACTTATCAGGAGGTAAGTGACCTAAGTGTCAATTCACAACTTAATTTGTTGTGATTTTACTATCCTATTTGTACCAAGGTTTCAGGGTCAAACTTGAGAAGAACGAGAAGATCGATAAACATATTCACATTGTCTTATTTAAACAAAACAATAAGAGGAAACTTATAGTCGATTTTATTGTTAAGCCTTTTCCTGAGTTATGGTACATTTAATATATGTATAAAAAGTCGCTTTTTCTGTCCCTAATATACGCTTCATATCTCTAAAATTACGCAATGGGTTTTGATGCCGGTTTTTAATAAATAAAGGTGCCTGAATAGGAAAGTTTAATATGCGTTTAATAAAATCCATTAAATTAAAAGAATGTATCAGTGTTACACCCTGGTGTGACGGGGCGGGCCGCTAGTTTCTAATCTTATTATTATAAAGACGTTTGTATTGATAAATTTCGTAACACTTGTTCAGTAAGAAATAAGATTCTACTATTATGACTGTATTGTTTGTACATTTGTAACAGATTCTACGATACATGCGTATGTGTCTGAACCGCGACGCTGCCCTGAAGGATTGCTCGAACCACCCCAACGCGACGTCCCCGCTCCTCGCCAAGTACTTCTATGACAATTTGCTAGACACAGAAGTGCTGGAACGATACCTCACCATGATCACCTCATTACTGAACGCCAGTCCAGGTATTTTGAACTTTGTTGCCATTATTTTAAGTTGTTAAGTTAAGAAGCATCGTTTAGTATTTGTGATTTTTTAGGGTGTGCTTGGTTTTTATTGTGTAAAATCTTGAGTGATCTATTCGGTAATTTGGTGATTGACTGCACGGTTAGTGCACTGGCTGCGAAGTTAACTGCTGAACTTCATATAATATCACGAGTAAAAAACAGTCATAGTGTGAGACAACTGCAAATGTAGTTCAATTCAAATACTCAACACGGAAGTGAATGTATTATCATTTGGAAGGCCCTAAGTGTATATATTCCTTTTAAATATACCTAAATAGTTAACATGGAGGTTTTTTCCACACTAAAGCCAAGCTAGCAAAACTAAAACATAATTTCTTTTCCCAGAAATAATGCCGCTATCATGCTTCCTGGACATAATCGGCTGCGTGCCTGAGAAAATGGCGGCAAAATATACTAGTCTTTTACCATTCTTACGTAATCTATTCACGTCGAGTACTAAGGAGGATATAAGGGATATATCCGCGGTAATCTACGCAATAATCACAGTACATACCAGTGAGAAATCAGCTATAGATAAGGAAATAAAGGAGTTTGTATCACAAGGACAAAATAATAAGAATTTGGAGGCTCAATGTGGATATTTGGCGGCGTTTTCAAGTCTTTGTGAAAGATGTATCGTTTTGTCTAAGAGAGCTAAGTTCGGTGGCAAAGGATTTAATCCGGCTAATTGGGAGCCTTATCAAGAAGGCGCTGTTGTTTTGGGTAAGCGCTATTATGTTATTATAAGTCTTTAATTATATTTATAAGCCAATTTTGTATCAGGGTCTCTAGCAATCGAAATTCGTCTATACCACTACAAGGGTACAAAAATGCATTTGTAATATTAAATAATCAATATCAATACATAGCTTTGCCATTTTTTGCCGAGAATTTGGTAGTTTCCTGAATCAAAATGAATAATTTTTTTTCAGCTTATAAATATGCTTAAAAGTAATAATGTTCCTGTATTACCTTTACACTGCTATATTCCTGTTTTTTTTAAATAATTTGAAATACGAAATAACACGTCACAACGGCAACGTGAAACAAAAATCATAAATTACAAAACATAATTCTCGTGGAAACTAGAGTATACAAATATAACGTTTTTTTTTGTTTGTTCTCTAAATTGTATTTGCCTGGGATACTACTTCCATCTTTCACTTTGCTATTCCACAACTTCATAATAATGTTACACAACATTGTCCCAATAATAAAGCAAACATTGGCACAAAACATTGCAGCCAACTTCCTAGCAAGTTCGCAAACATTGTTGGTGAGTACATCATGCTCGGCCATTTCTCTCCTGGCTCGATGCAGCGGCCTGCCACTACCAACATCTTCGACCAAGCAGGATACATTACTCCAAGGCGAGAACCCCTTCAACATCAACAAGAGTGACATGAATGTTGACGATAATGACGTCACGAAGTTCACTGTTGCTGATAGGTAAGCGTGTATTTACAAAGACGTGACGTCATTTGCCATTAGATTTTTATTTCCTTGTGAATATAGCTCATGGTCTTGTCAGATGATGGTTATCTGGTAAAATAATGTCTTATTTAAAAACGATTAAATAATTTAGGCATGCCTTTGGTGATCACAGACTTAATTTGAACAAACCACCTTAATTCTTATAGCCATTAGGTTCAAAATGATTTAATATTAATGACAAGTTCTATACAAAAAATGTCATTAGCCTATAAAGTTATTGTGATGTTAATTACGTACCTGTACCCTGTTTTTTTTAAATCGATTTATTCTGTACCTAGGTTATTCAAAGTAGTCGGCAACGCGAAATTGCCGTCAAAGTTAAAAGAGAGGGCGCTGTATACACTTGGCCTGCTGTGTTGTGGAGAACGATTACCTTTCGCGAAGCAAATCGTTATGGGATTCTTACAGATGGCAAAAGATGTAAGTTTTTAATAGAATTCCTACTTGATTTTCGTTCCAAATAGACAGAAATATTAATTACCAAAAAAAAAAATAAACAAACTAGCTGCTGCTCGCGGCATCGCTTGCGTGATATGTTAAAGTTTAGGATAAAAAAGAAAGATTATTAGTATCATTACATTTTATCTACTTAAGATCCAATATGTTTTCTAATAAATTAACATTGCTTTCTTTTCTAGAGCAAAGAATTTGAAATTCATTTGCAAATTGGTGAGTCCCTAGTACTATGCGTAGAAGGAGTGAATTCCAATGAGAACAGAGATCTGTGGACTGAATTGCCTAAAGAGGTAAGCTGTAAGATTTTGTTGTGTGTGCTACTTTGATTGGTACTTCTCTTTATAAAAAGACTAGCAGACCCAGCCACACGTTGCTGTGTACCTTAGTCTCAGAAACACATGGTGGTTATGTTATTAAATAGTCGCTCATATATAACGTTTGTGTTTTTAAAAGAGCGCCATCTATTGAATACTTACTTAACCAATTCAACAGATATCGCCATCTGTTAGAATCATTTGGAGCTAATAGATAATTGCAACGGACAAATTTTTTTTTTAATGGCTAAATAATTGCAAGAAAATAATATTGTGACTAAATTGATGCACATAATGACACAATGACGGAATGCAAATCAAATTTAAAATCGGTTTATTAGTTTAGGAGTCCATCGCGGACAAACATATGACACGAACAGGGCCGCGCCGACCCCCGGCAGCGCCTGTGTGCGAAACCTATGAAGCGCCTCTATTTTAACGAATCATCATAAAAAACGAATTTGATTTTTTAACCGACTTCCAAAAAAAGGAGGAGGTTCTCAATTCGACCGTATATATGCTTTTTTTTATGTTTGTTCGCCGATATCTCCGTTATTTATGAACCGATTTTGATAATTCTTTTTTTATTGAAATGGAGATAGTCCCAGAATGGTCCCATGAAAAGGAAATCAGGATCTGATGATGGAAGACCAGAGAAATCGAGAGCAACTTTCAAAAATTTTAGGGGCGAGTGGTGCATTTGCATATGATTTCAGTAGGCTTTTGACAAATTTACATCTTGCCGATGTTCGAACCCGACCTGATGATGGAGCCGGAAGACAGTCGAGGGATCTCCTTGACTATTTGGAGTAGTTGCCTTGTGTTTGGGCTTGAATGATTCGTATTGGTGAGCACTTTGCACCAAGATTGGTCGTGACTGTCATTAAGGGTCTGATGATGAGAACGATGAACAGCTCAGGGAACTCCTGAACGGTTTACAGTAACTACCTCGTGTTTCGACTTCATTCATTTATATCGATGAAAACTTTGCACCTTTATGGATTACAATGAAGTTATGCAGTAAATTGTGATGATGGATCCGGAAGGCAGTCGAGGGATCTCCTTGATTATTTGGAGTAGTTGCCTTGTGTTTAGGCTTGAATGATTCGTATTGGTGAGTACTTTGCACCAAGATTGGTCGTGACTGTCATTAAGGGTCTGATGATGATCAAAAGAACAGTTTAGGGAACACCTGAACGGTTTATAGTACCTACCTCGTGTTTCGACTTTGTTCATTTATCGATGAAAACTGCACCTTTATGGATTACAATGAAGTTATGCAGTAAATTGTGATGATGAAGCCGGAAGGCAGTCGAGGGATCTCCTTGATTATTTGGAGTAGTTGCCTTGTGTTTAGGCTTGAATGATTTGTATTAGTGAGCACTTTGCACCAAGATTGGTCGTGACTGTCATTAAGGGTCTGATGATGAGAACGATGGACAGCTCAGGGAACTCCTGAACGGTTTACCGTAACTACCTCGTGTTTGGACTTAATTCATTTATATCGATGAAAACTTTGCACCTTTATGGATTACAATGAAGTTATGCAGTAAATTGTGATGATGGAGCCGGAAGACCGTCGTGGGATCTCTTTGACTATTTGGAGTAATTATAATGTGTTTGGACTTCATTCATTTATATTGATGAGAACTTTGCACCTATATAGATTATGTATAATGAAGGCCTGCAGTATACCTGATGATGGAGGTCATTGACATTTGAGGGAATTCCTCAACGATTTACAGCACTGAACACAGCATACAGCTGACTAACTCAGGACTGCAATTACCGTGATTTTCGGTCTCAAGTAGCCGTCGTCTTCTCTTTTGAGAAGCATCCTAGCTTTCTCTGCCTATCACTTAAAATGGTGAAATAAAATAATTTTTAACAAAAAAAAACCGACTTCAAAACGTAAACTAAAAAGCAAAAAATAAATTTACTTTGTTTAAAGTAATACATATTTTCATTTAGTTAAATATAAAATAATACCTATTTAATAACTATTTTATAATTTTGAAGTCGACTAGCGCGCGATGATGTTGTTTTGTTTTGCCTTAGCTATCTCGTTCGTTAAAATCGGCGAATACTGTGACCCCACCCCCGCTTGCGTCGCACGCATCGCATCGGGTTGCGTTCAGAAACTCACTCATACTCATACAAACTCGGCGCCTCTACGGTTTAAAATAACTAGTACTTTTTCTCTGGTTCAAAGAACTGCCGCCGTTTTAACGTTGAGCTCGTAAGGAATTTAAACTAAAACCCTAAACGTAAAATGAAATCATAAACGTGAATAATAATAAACATTAAATATTGAGAGACTTGTTCAATAAGCGTTATAGATGTTTTGTTGTTTACAAGGCCTATGTTGCGCCTATTGTACCTACTTACTTGTCGATAGTCCACTACAAAAAACAATCATATAGGTAACAAAAATAATTTAGGTGGCAGTGCCGGCGCGGCGCCCCTATTGTCTTGGCGCCTGTGTGCGCCGCACACTTCGCACACAGGGGCGGCGCGGCCCTGGACACGAAATTTTTATAAATAAAGATTAAGTATAACCACATCCTGCACTCTGGGCCGGTAGAGTTTCTGCTGTTATTGGTGTTTTTACGGCATCCACAGCAATAATGGAAGTGGTAAGCGAGCGTACGGCGCGTAGCGTTCCATACGCGCTTCGAAGAGCCAATAGACGAAAACATTAACCGGGGTGGCGGGGAAAGCGCAATAAAATACCGCGCACCGGCAAGAGAAGAAACGTGATGACGCGTGATTCAGTCAATAAGAGACGCTCTGACTCTGACGCTCCCTCTTTCCACATCCTAGGCAATAAGGAGAATGTTAAATGTTAAATTGCTATATACAAATCTTTGGTATACTATCATATGATTATTTCACTTTCATGTTGTCATTACTAGGGTGCTGCAAAGATTAAAAATACGGACGCTTTAAAGGAGAATGATGAGTTACTAGAATGGTTGTTGCAAGAACTGTTCAAGATCGGAAGACATCCACATCCACATTCTAGACAGGTATGTTTTCGTATATAAACAGTATGCTCATTGTATTAAAATTCTTATTCATTTGATTCAACTGGCCTCATTCTAAATGTTAACGAAAGGAGATACCAAGAAAAAGGTTTTAATTTTATACTGTCACCCGTTCTAGCAAATGTATTTAAAAAAGTTATACCTAGATTCACTGACAAACTGACTGACAGTAATTTAATAAAATTATATTTTAACGATTCAAAAGTACCTGTTTATGGTTTAGTTGGAATAAATGATTTTGACTTTTATATTTAATAGAAATAAAGTATTTATTATAATGTATTAGGAACGTGTTTACTATATATAGCTTTTAATTTATAATTGTTGTCAACTTGCAGGCGACAAGTATTTGGTTATTGGCGTTACTCAAAAACTGCGCTGACCGGGCGCCTATCAAGAACAAGTTGCCGATCCTACAAGACGTATTTATGGACTTCCTATCTGAGAATAGCGGTAGGTCATCCACTTCATAATATGAACATGTTATTCCTTCCCTGATTCTGTAAAAAATATCATCAAGATATATTCAAATCTTGTTTTAGCTTTTCATAATGAGATTTAGTTTCAATGCTAAAATATTCTCCTACCTTACCCACATTGTCATCCATTTTAATTTAATAAATAATATGTATTCAATTCACTCAATCATTTAAAAATGTTTTTCAGTTTTACCCACACTGTGCACCGATTTTTAATTTAAATATAAAAATAATAATTATAATTCTCACTCAAAATATTATTTGAACAGACATAGTACAAGATGTGGCCAGCAAAGGTTTATCCCTCGTTTACCAGAACTCGGATGAGAGTCAGAAGCAAGCGCTAGTGGGTCAGATCATAGAACAGCTGACGAGCGGTAAGCGATCTGTAGCACAAGTCACAGAGGACACCAAGATATTTGAAGAAGGACAGCTCGGGAAAGCACCTACTGGGTAAGTGAAAATGTTTGTGGAGATTTTTTTATGTGCTAGCTCGGCATGCTCGAGCATGTATGCTTGCATGGATTACCTGATGCAAGCAATCAGCGCCGCCCATGGACACCCGCAACAACAGAAGAGCTACGAATGCGATGCCGACCTTTTGGGGATTGGACCGGTTTTTATTGTAAGGCCGTAGTATAACTCCGGTCGTGCCGACCCATTCGTGCCGAAGCTTGGCTTTCCCGCAATTAGCATGAATTAATTAAAATACTACTTCACTTAGAGGACTGACTGCCTATAGGGGTCTAAATGAAATAAATTATTTTGACTTTGAATTCTGTAACATGCTTTCTGTTATTTCATTTTAAGAGCATAAATTATTTTTGAGAGAAATTACGATTTATCCAAACATGTTGCGCAATGCGCTTTATGCGCTAGTGATCAAGTTTGCGCAAACTAGAATTATGAAAGCAAACAAATTGGCATGTTCAGTGTTCAAAATTTGGTAGCTTATATGATGAATATGATAATAATGCTGATGATGAAAATGCAATTAAACTTTTTGTTCACAGTGGCAATCTCTCCACTTACAAAGAGTTGTGTTCTCTCGCATCAGATCTGAACCAACCGGATCTTCTATACAAGTTCATGCATCTTGCCCATCATAATTCTATGTGGAATTCTAAGAAAGGTAAGATTTGGTAAAAACTGTGTTATTAAGTTTTGTGATAGGAAACACGCTTCTTGTAAGATTTCGAGTCCATTATTTTAACCTACTCATAGGAACATTTATTTTATTATTTATTTAGAACAAACAAACAGCAACACATTATATCTGCGCAAACAACATAAAGAAGCCGAATAATTGGGCTTCTGGTAACGTCATTTACATGTTGAAACACAAAGCTGTGGTTGTTTCACGCCGGTTTTTTGTGCCACAATGCAGTGTTAGAGTACAAAGGTTATCTGTTGGTCCAGGCGCGGCGTTCGGTTTCCACTCGATAGCGCTGCAGGCGGGGGCGCAGCTGTCGCAGCACTTGCCGAAGATAGTGCCGCGCCTCTACCGGTACAGGTTCGACCCCACGCCGCGCATACAGAACTCCATGCAGGCCATCTGGCACGCCATCGTGCCCAACACTACTGCTACCGTAAGTTTATATACCCAATTGGGTCGTTTCATTGGGTCAAAACTCAAAAATAAATAATTTAGACTTTTCAATACAAAGAGTTTTTAAAATATAATGTTACCTAAATTCATTCATTGATTTGACGATATACCTAGATATTTTTTGTCTAATTAACTTTTTAAAAATAAGTATGCTGTTTAACATGAGAAGATATTATGACTTCATATGTTGGGATCTCATTCAAAATTCATAGAAAAGAGTATCGTTTTTGACTTTTCAATAAGTAGACAATTTGATTAGTTAGAAAGTATATCATTCTTAAAATGGCTAACGTTATTGTTCTCACCACTTTGCGCTAATGTAACATAAGGTCCTTCTTATGTCATAGGTTTCGCGACCATACAGATTACCTGAACACCAGGTTAAATGAAAATAAACAGACGTTGCCTGCCTTTTAGGGTTCAGGAGGTTTAGGGATTGGAAAGGAGGGAGGTAATAGAAGAGTTGGGCATCCTATTCTATCATCCTATTTCTCTAATCACTGTAGCATTCAAAAATTGCCTGTCCCATGGTACCTAATACTAGCTGTTCGAGTGTAATGATGGCTAACGTGTTTATGCCCTAGGGCTGACGTGTATATACTTATGATTTATCTTTAGTCTAGATTTAAACCATTGAGTCAAGTTTTGAATTTTAAATCTTATTCTCACCTACCTTAAATTCGAAATACTATAACTGGCACAATGGTCTAGACCTAAAGAAAAGCCTTGTTTTTTAATTAGGCCGATAATAAAGTATATATATATATTTTTACTTCAGGTACACAAATATCACAAAGAGATCCTGGATGATCTAGTGGCGAATCTCACATCAGGTCAATGGAGAGTCAGGATGTCTTGCTGTAACGCACTCGCTGATCTGTTGCGGTAAGTCGTGAAACATTAATTATAATACCATAAATAACTCTGGACAGCATCTTTATGGACTATTTCGCCACGTAAGGTTATCTATGAGGCACATATAAAAGGATGGTGGACATAACCTTGATATAATTGTTCTTTATTTGTACAGAGGCGCGCAGAGTTTGCATCAGTCCCTACACCAGTTGCCCACGATTTGGTCGCAGTTGTTCCGAGTGATGGACGACGTACACGAGGGTACAAGGCAGGCCGCCACCTCTACTGCTAACGTACTGTCCAAGGTAATAATAATAACTGTTCCATATTTATAAAATACTTAAAATAGTAAAATTGCTGTTTTCAAATTCAGATTCTTTTTCGTAACGAAAAAAAATCTTTTTTCAACTTACTCTTCTTGTAGTAACCTGTTTAAAAAAGCATTAAATATTTGGCACCAAAAATTAAAAAAATTGTCCGACACTGTGTATCTCCTGTGTCGCGTGGGTGTGTTTACAAATATACGATTTCACATACAGATCAAACACAGACCCGAAACAACAATTTGTGGATCGTTTATAATCCGTGGCGTTCGGGAATCTAACCGGCGACACGTTGCAGCGACACTTATTTTGGTATTACTTCTATTTAGTGAGTTATTTGTTTTCGTGTAAGGTCGCTACGTGTACTAATTCAAATATAATTAGTATGAAGATTTATGCTCTGGTTTACATGTGGTTTAAAACGTAGGTATGTTTTTCATGCGCAAAACTCATATATCGATGGCTTGCCAACAAGTTTTAAAGTTTTTTTTTTTAATATTTAAGCTGTGTATTCGGGCGGCGGACGCGAACGCTGGCAAGGACGGCAAGGAGGTTGTGTCCGTGATACTACCCGTATTGCTCGACACTGGTATCACCAACCTGGTCAAAGAAGTCCGCAGTGTCAGGTACGTAACACATCATGCAGAAATAAAATATATTGCTTATTGAAGTTATTCAGGTTTTCCGATAATGAATGGATAACCTTAAAATACTTTTTCAACATACTTCAGTGGACAACTTACTTTAAAGTGGCTCTAATTCCACGGCAATCAGGCACGCAATGACATATAATCAAACTGTGATTTTTTGATTACTAGTATTCACAAGTTTAGTTTTTTTTAATTATTGGTGGAGATACGCTTAGGTACACTTGCGCTAAAATGCTAACCGCGAAAGGCCCAAAAACGAAAAAGAAACATCATTCATAGGGTACTGATTATTTTATCCCGCCATTACGAAACATATTTCACAACTCGTCTCGTTTTCTCTTTTAAAGTTTTTTATTTAAGTATTATTTTATTGAAAATGTCGTGTGTATTTATTATTACCATCCAACTTTACACATTTATACAATACCGTACTACTGTTATAATATGCGTTATTTTACATGAGCATCAATGTCAACCATAAACATATTAAATTTGTTCAAACATTTCAGTCTGCAAACAGTTTCAAAGCTGGTGACAGCAGCAGGAGAAACACTGAAACCGTTCCTAGCTCGCTTGATCCCCGCGCTGGCGGGCGCGGCCGGCGAGCTAGAGTCGGCGCGACTGTCGTACCTCGCCACCGCGCTCGCCGACACTTCGTCGCGCGACCTGCTTGACGACATGCGGGCCAGCGCTGCCAGGCACCATTACACTACTGATACTGTTGTTAAGGTAATTTACAATCTTTTATTCGTTATGTAATTTCTAACTCCCGTATAGGCTTGCTCCTCTAGTGTTCCGGATGTCGTGTGGGAGGCATAGGTTATTTACGATTATACACCCAAAAAACTGTTTCTTAAATTACATCCGTCTTATTACAAAAAAGTCAAACATGTGTTGAACATGCGTTTTAACAAAAGATCTACCACAAAAGAGCGTTTAACGGTGATTTCGTGTTTAAACACCTCTAAAGTAAGACATCACTTTAGACACACGGAATAGTCTGTTTAGCGCGTGTTTTAAATTCTTACATTTGACATTTGTCAAGATAAAATGGATATCCTTGCCGTACTGGATTTTAATGATGAAGAAGACCAAGAGGATATTGAATTACTGGAAAACTTACGCGATAATATAAGAAACCGTGTGAGAATGAATTCCTTCGACCACTATGATGATGCTATATTTAAGAAAAAATATAGATTTAGTAAATGTTTTGCTAACAAAATATTGGATATTGTGAAAGACGATCTACCCAGTGATTCTCTTGGTTGTGCGATACATCCACAGATTCAGGTAGCCGTGCGTGTTACGATATTGGGCTCGCCATCAGGTAAGTTGCTGAGATTCATTATATCACTAGTTTTTAGGTACTTAACCGCACAAACTAATGAATTTTAAAATATTTAATTATGTAATGATAATTAGTCAGCATACTTACTCACTGCTTTACAATATGTTCATTCACTGTTTCCATTCATGTAATTTTTATCAATAAGTACAATATTTTCTATTATTTCCTATATCTAAATATTATAATATCGATTTTGTTTGCAGATTCAAGATGACAATGGAGACATGCATGGCATCTCTCAACAAGTAGTAAACAAAATTTGTAAAAACATTGCAGAAGCTCTGGCTAAGAAAGCTCATTTATATATTAATATGCCAAATTCACTTGAATACCAACAGGGTGTCATCAGAGAATTTAGAAATCTGAGCAACTTCTCTACTGTGATTGGGGCCATAGATTGCACTCACATTAGAATAAAAAAAGTGGGAGGCAGTGGCGGCGTAAAGGGGGGGCGGTGGGGGCGGTCCGCCCCGGGTGCCAAGCATCAAGGGGTGACAACACGGTGACAAAAAAATACCAACTCTGTCACGCAGATAGTAGGACGGGACAGACGCATCGCGGGCGGAAGGGGCAACTTATTTCGGTCCCTCCCTCCCCCAACCGTGTCCGTTGCCGGCAACGTATGCCGGTCGCGAAACAATGACAATGACAATTACTACCCGTGCGGTTAAAGAGGCGATAGGTGTGCGAGCGAGAGGTAAGTAGGTGCGATGCCATTTCTAATCCCATTCTTTATCCGCACGGGTAGACAGACAGTTGGTCAGTCAGTGTTATTGTTTATAACGTCGCGTCGCGTTGCGTCACATTAATTCAAACGAAAGTCAATAAATACTAAATATTGTGTAATAAAGGAGTGAGTGTATTGGCGGATAGTACACAGAGTTTAAAAGGTGAATTTTATTTGAACTATACACCTATTTTTTCCCACATTAGTTATATATGTATCTAGTTAAATTATATGTTTCGGCCGATCTGAATTTAACATTCTGTTGACAGTATAAATTGTACGTATAATTAATTTATCACGACGATGTAAAATGAGCAGTATAATGTTATAATTTTAATTCATGCATACAAATGGCCGAAACCCGCCATAATAGGCCGCCGCCTATATAGTTCCTCGGTATTTCTCTCTCTTTAGCTGCGTATCAGCCACAGCACGATTATTTTATCATGGCCGCTCTGAAATCAGGCTTTCCGCACTTAGCGCATTTACTTTCACTTGTAACAAAACTAATTGATTCCTTAATTTTTTAATTTTCAATCCTATAACCGATCAATATTCTACGATTAGTTTTTAGTTTTGTTTTGAGTGTACAGTAAATGCGCTAAGTTCGGAAAGCCTACTTCAGAGCGGCTATCGTAAAATAATCGTACAGTACGTACGGACTTCAATTTGTAGGTATAACGTTATGTCCAATCAATTGTGTATAAAAAAAAGAAAAAATAAGTATTTTTTAAACATGATTTAAAAATGGTTTTGCTTAATATTTTTATAGTTGAACTAAGAATTCAAATTCATCCAACATAATTTGCACTATTATTATTATTTAAAGAAAATAAAAATACACTGCCGATATACTGCTTGTCTTACTTCTACTATGGTATAATATGATAATGAGCGAGAAAAAACTGACAAAATTAACAAGTATTCCTTTATCGATCTTTACAGAATATAAATTTATTATGAAGAGAAATAGACCTAGTGGATTTCAGCAAAGAAAAATAAAAAAATCAAAAGAACTTGCACGTGAATCGTTATCTGGATCAATTTTGAAATTTGTAGCACCTTCGGCTTCTCTGGTACCAAATACATCACAGCAAAGTGTTGAAAGTGACCTTCTTGATGTAACAGATGATGAAGAAACACGGCGCCAAGATGCATTAGATGAAGGGACGCTGGGAAGAGAGCCTGACAATTTTGATACACAAGATGAAAGACAAGGCGAAGATCAGCACCAAGAAGAATATGACCAAGAAAAAGGGCGAAATAGCGACAATGAAGAAAAATCCCAGCAAATTGAAAACGATGAAGAAAAGGTGCATGGCACTACTCATTTCGATGTTGCTACTTGGCCAACACCAATGCCTGATGATCTGAGAGTTGAAATCGTTAAAGCGGGAAGTGAACCCTATCAAAACAGAGATGGTCCATTTGTAGACACTGTCCAAAGATCTGGAGACAAAATAAAAGGAAAGAGCCGACATTTTCATTCAGAATGGTTTTATAAAGCGTTACCAAATGGAGAAAAAGTACTCAGAAAATGGATGGTATACTCTCCAATAAAAAAAAGCTTATACTGTTTTTGCTGCAAACTATTCACGCACCATGAAACAAAACAGAGTTTCGTTAACGGTTTTAATTCATGGTGGAAACTAAATCCTAAAGTGTCTGAACACGAGAATTCTGAGGGCCATCTCTCCTGTTTTGAAAAATGGAAAATCTTGGAGAATGGATTGAGGCTGCAAAAAACTATCGATTATGAGCATCAAATGGTCTTAGACCAAGAAAAAAAGAAGTGGCGTGACATTTTGAGTCGCCTTTTGGATATCATTCTTTTCCTGGCACGCCAAAATCTTCCTCTAAGAGGACATAGAGAAGGGATTTCATCAGACAATAGAGGGAACTTTTTAGAATTAGTTAATCTATTGTCAAAATATGATCCAGTGCTAAAAGAGCACAAAATTAGAATTGAACATGCTATCGCCTGTACAAAAAGTAAACGGGTAGATTCTTATTTGTCTAAAGACATTCAAAATGAGTTCATCAGTCTTTTGGGGAGAGAAGTAAAGAATAACATTTTGGACGACATAAAGAAAGCTAAATATTTTGGAATTATTTTCGATAGTACACCAGACATATCACATGTTGATCAGATGAGTTATGTAATCAGATATGTTCATATTGAAGGCGATCAAGTTGAAGTGAAGGAATCATTTCTAGGTTTCTTCCCTATAGCTGGAAAGACTGCAATCGAACTTACGGAAAATATCCTTACGCAGTTAAAGAGTGATAACTTGGACATTCATCTATGTCGGGCTCAAGGATATGATAACGCTGCAACCATGGCAGGAGTTCATGGTGGTGTGCAATCTATCATTAAGCAACACAATCCTAAAGCTTTGTTTATGCCTTGTGCTAATCATTCGCTAAATCTATGTGGGGTGCACTCTTTCATGAGTGTTAGTTCAAGTGTAACATTTTTTGGAACAGTAGAAAGAGTTTACACGTTCTTTTCGTCATCCACACATAGATGGGAAATTCTAATGAAAAGTGTAGGCGTATCGGTCAAAAGACTAGTAGAGACAAGATGGAGTGCTCATCACGATGCTGTTAAGTCATTGAAGAATAATTTTGAGAAACTTGTATCAACACTCGAAGAGATGTGTGATCCCAGAAGCAGCAGAGAAAACGTCGATACAAGAGAAGCAGCATCCACACTCTTACCAGCTTTATGTGACTTCAGTTTTTTATGCTACCTCTCTTTTTGGTGTGAAATCCTAGAAGAAGTTAATCAGACACAAAAGTATATCCAAACATCTGGACTATCGCTGGAAAAGTGTGTTATAAAAATTAAAGCCCTAAAAATTTTTCTTCAAACTCAACGTATACAAATAGTGGACAGAGCTATTTCCTACGCAACTGAGAAATGTGAGGACTTGGATATCTCCGTTGAAAGAAGAGGAAGGAGGAGATTCCGAAAACGAATGCCAGGAGAAATGTCCCAAGATGTTGGACTAACATTGCCAGAAGAGTTGCATAGAGCTATGTTAGAATGTCTTGATAGATTTTACGAAGAACTAGAGCATCGCTACAAAGCAATGGATGATATTCTCATAACATTTGGTGTTGTTCAGTCTGAAACTCTACTTACGTCAACAGAAGAAGAACTTCGTGATAAAGTTCCAAATCTTACAAAAATCTATGATGAATTTTCTGCAGAGGACATTATTTTGGAGATTTTACGACTGAGGCGCCACTTGGAAGCTGCCAGCATTTCTCTTCAAGAAGCGATCCAATGGACTACCTTGGAGCTTCTGAAATTTATTGTAAAATGGGACTATTCTGAGTCTGTTCCAAGTCTAGCTCTATGTCTAAGATTTTTTTTAACTATTTGTGTTTCGGTGGCTACTTGTGAAAGAAGTTTCTCAAAATTAAAGTTAATAAAATCTTATTTAAGATCTACAATGAGCCAAACACGACTTTCCAGTCTATCCATTTTGGCCATTGAAAAGGAGAGGAAAGTAAATTTTGATAATGTCATTGAGTATTTTAGCAAAATAAAGTCACGTAAACACGTTTAATATTTGTCGTTTTATTTTGAGGGTGCTCGATAGAAAGTCGCCCCGGGTGCCAACCTATGCTACGCCGCCACTGGTGGGAGGTGATATGAGTGAAGCCTATGTTAATAGAACGGGTTATTACTCAATTAACACACAAGTTGTTTGCGATTCCAAATTAAATTTAGAGATATTGTGGCACGATAGAGGGGAAGCGTACATGATTCTCGAATATTCAACGAGAGTTTAATAAAGCAAAGGTTTGAAAATGGATAATTTCATGGCATATTATTAGGTGACTCGGGATATGCCCGCACCCACTTTTTATTTACACCTGTTCTTAATCCTTCGACAGCAGAGAGGAAGCCTATAATAGAGCCCATATAAGAACCAGGAAATCAATAGAGAGGTGTTTTGGTTTATGGAAACAGAGATTTCGATGTCTTTTGAGAGGCATGTATATGTAATTGACCACTGCCAAAACTACTACTGTAGCGTTGGCGGTCCTACACAACATCGCCATAGATATGAACGAGCATATAGATTTGTCTTGATTGTATTTATTGTCCAGTATGTTCGTCAAAGACCAAGACGTGTAACTCAAAGAGACACTGTAAGAGGAGCATTTTTAAGGCACAACTTTATTAATCTTGTATTTCTAATGCCTTCTTTTCTTTTTCCATCATAAGTAGATCAATTTCAATTTTTTGCCGCTGTTCCTGGTGGGCTAATTCTCGTTTCTGAAATTCTATTTTCAGTTTATATTCTTCTTCGAACAGAGCAATAGACAGTTTTTTTACTTCTAGATTTGCCTCAATTAAAGACGATTTGCTGTTACTGAAATAAATGTAAAAATATAAAATTAAGTGGAAATCTCATCTTAGCGTAGTATTACAGGTACCTCCAACAAACAATCGTTAACCAACCTACCTGCCCTCCTTAGGTACTATTGACATTGCCTTGTGTGTCAGTCAGCAGTAGTTGCGGACGAAATCTTGGTGGGGCATGGTGCAGTACCCCTAGTTATCTAAAATAACTGCTAGAGAATTTTGTGATATACTTACTGATTCACTGTTTTCTTTTGAGGCTTCGTCTTTGCTTCCTCTCTGACCCCTTTTGGAGGCACCATTACGTTATCACAAGTTTTGTTGATCTAAATAAAAAAGAGTCATAAGTTATAAGTACCTATGTGCCTAATCTGAACCAAATGCATACGCTTATGATGGGCATTGATGAGTCATTCAAACAGCTCATTTATACAATAGATAGTTACCTCATAATTGTGTACATCAGCAACTGTGACAACTTTGTCCACAAACGACACATTTTGTTGATCAACACACTGTAAAAATAAAATTATTGTTAGTTTTGACAAATATACATAAATATAGGTATACATACCTCATCATCTATTATTTGAGATTCAGAAATTATTTCAGTATTTTCTTGTACCGGTTTCTGTTTAAAGACAGGTATTAATTTTAGTGACAACACAAGAAATATCTTTATATTAAAGAAGAAAAAGCTGCTGGGAAATACTAACAGTAATTAGTAGTATTGGGGAGACGATTATTCGTAATAAAATACCGCCCGGCGATGCCGAAACCCTGAGACAGGACATTGCGGTGATATTGCGGAAGTCGAAGCCTCCAGCTAGCAACATCACTACAGAAGAGCGTCAGGCACTAAGAATTATAAGGGATAATCCGGATATTTTAGTGCTTAAGGCCGACAAGGGAAACGTGACTGTAGTGATTAATACGTCTGATTACCACAATAAAATGAAGTAGTTACTGAGTGATGACAAGGTTTACAAGCCGGTCTCATATAACCCTACGGCCCAAATAACACGGAAAATACGAGCTCTAATTCAAGAACATAAGGATCTATTTACAGAAGATAGAAGATGAGTACGAAAGGCTATATAAACCTAAGGCACACCAACTGCCTCGACTGTATGGCCTACCTAAAATACGTAAGTCCAACGTGCCATTGCGGCCTATTGTAAGCCAAATTGTCTCACCGACTTATGATCTTGCAAAGCACGTTGCGTCAGTACTACAACCATTGGTAGGAAAAACATATTCTTTTATAAGGACTCGCGTGACTTCGTCCAGATTGTAAAGAGCCTGAAGTTGGAACCTGATGACCTCATGGTGAGCTTTGACGTTGAGTCGTTATTTACCAGTGTGCCAATTAAGGAGTGTCTGGATGTTGTCAAAGATGTACTTAGTGACAATGAAATGCCCCACAACTACATATTATTATATTGATTTGCTGAAACACTGCCTGGATGGCAATTACTTCCTTTTTCAAGGCCAACATTACCTTCAAATCGATGGCGTAGCTATGGGAAGTCCAGTGGCGCTTGTGTTAGCTAATCTTTGGATGGAACACTTTGAAAAACAGGCACTGAGCCTCGGCCCAACGACCATCAGGCTTTGGAAAAGGTATGTGGATGACATTTTCAGCATTATCAAGGGAGGTGAACAAGAAGTACGTCAATATGTAAATCACCTAAACAGCATCCACCCAAAAACGGGTTTCACTTATAAGCTGGAGACGGGCAATTCGTTGTCATTCTTGGACATTAAAATAACCGCGGGATTAGATGGGTCCTTATCGCACTGTGAATACCGAAAGCCAACTCACACTGATCGGTACCTACATGCAAAGTCACATCACCACCCCCGGCATTTACAATCCGTGATGACATCACTAAAAAACAGAGCATATGACCTCTGTGACCCTGAACATTTTAGGCAAGAGCTAGACCTTGTTCTGGAAGTAATTAAAAAGAACGGATATAGTGTAGGGGATGGGCGACCATTGCGACCGCTGAAGAGGGCCAGACATCCAAACCTGCCTTCATGCCGTATATGAAGAAAACCCTTAAAAAATATTCGATCCCGACGATCTACACACCTAAGGCCAAACTTCATGATAAGGTAGGCACGGCGAAGGATGTAATGCCGCTACAAAGCCCAGATATTTATAAGATCAACTGCAGCTGCGGTAGTTCATACATTGGGCAAACACAGCGGACCATTGATGAGAGGCTCAAAGAATATATCAGTCAAGAACCGACAGAGCAACAAATCAGCGATAGCAGAACACCTGCTCCAGGCTGGCTCAAATCACTGGGTAGAATTCCACCGACCGCAAATTCTCTCCACTGATCGCCACTACCATACAAGAATTGTGCGTGAAGCGGTTGAAATAAAGAAATGCGTAATACTAACAGTAATCTGAACAGCTGTGTCACTTTCAAACTCATTACTGTCCATAACAAGTTCAATTGGACACAAATCCATAATTTTAAGGTCTGATGGTGGAGGAGACGGTGGCTTCTGACCACCACCTGTTATATTAATAGCACGCCTATGCAGAGAGACAGATTTCTTTGCTGCTATCTTACTTCTTCTCCAAAAACCTTTAATTTGTACAATGTCTCTTTTTTTGCCAGTGAGTTCTTGAAGTCTGAAATAAAAAATCAGTTCACAGTAAATACATCGAAAGTAACTAGCACTAACCACTAAAACAAACACTTGTAAGAATGTCTAAATACACACTTGCTTTGAATCATGATCCATTCCATATTCTTCTTTTTGTTGGAATTTGTGTCGGAGAGCTTATTCTCTACAATAGGCGCAGACTGCTGCATTATTTCCAAAAACACTTCCTATGCAAAAATTTCAAAACATGACTATTTTCATTAAGTATACCAAGGACCTAGACCTATGCCCAATAATAAGTACCTTTTCTTCTTGCGACCAATTATCACCACGATTTCTCTTTTCCTTTAAATTATTTTTTTGTTCCATTTCTGTATAGTTTTTGTAATAAGCACAGGAACCCAAAAACACCACGAAATTGCACAAACAATAGCTACTCAATTCAAAAATACTCAAGGCGCCTCATATAGCTGTCATTTACAACACTGAGTGACACATTAAGTTTCGTTTCATCCTGCACTGAAATATTATATTATTTTATTCCAAATCTTTGATATAACTTACTTTTTGTATTTTTCTTGTTCAATTTAAAATGATTTAAATTGTTTTTTTGATCGGTAGAAATAAAAAGAAACTATATAAAATAAAAATAATGTGATATAATAATATACATTTTGGCATACAACGGAACGGAGAATACGTATGATGAAGTGAAGTGAAAAAAACTGATTCAGATAAACGTTGTCTTGTTAGACACATGCTAAATACGGTTTTGTGGTAGCGAAACATAAACACGCGTTAAACATGTGTTTATGTTTTTAGACGTGTATAACTAAACACACGCTGGACCAGTGTTTAAATTTTTTTTTTTTTTGTAGTAAGGCGGCATATGTTTAAGTTACACTCACGTAGCTCTTCGAGTTGGTGACTCGACTAGCTTCAAGCCATGATGAGAATGTATTTTTTTATATTAATCGTCGTCATACCTACTGGTTCTATCCGTTGCAGAAGAAAGGTATCTTCAATGGGATGCCACTGAAATTTTCATTTTCATAGAAAGAAAGAAGAAAGAGAAAGAAAATACATTTATTCGGCATCAGACATGAAAGCCAGAAAAAAAAAACAAAAGTACAACACAAAAAAACAATAAAAGGTTAAAAAGACAGAAAAACAAAAATACACTAAATATACAGTTTTGGCAGACAGCAGAACACACAGTGTTGACAGTGTTCTACAGGGTTGGCAGACATGTCTAAACCAAACGGGTCGCCAACTCAGCAAAAAGCTGGGCACACTGAGCACCCAACACTGATTTTCAGTTGGCACCCCTGCAGTGACGCATAACTTTCATACTTTTCTCTATATCTTTAAATATGTCTAAGTATTAATTCTGAATGATCACTATTAACTAATATTTCTAAAACTTTGTTAGAACGAATCAATCGATATTTAGGCTTTACAAATTAAATCACTAACCTTAATCATGAAGACTCAACAAATACATTTCCTCAGTGTATGCCATACGTGGACATAGAGGTGATGAAGGAGATGCTGCCCAAGATCCTGGAGCTGATGAAGTCCCCGCAGCTGGGGACCAAGGTGGCCTGCTGTCACTTCGTCGTACTAGCGGCGCATTACTTGAGGACTGACCTGGAACCGGTCGCGGGGAAGATCATGGCCAACCTGCTTACTGGAACCTTCGATAGAAACGCCACTGTTAGGAAGAATTATGCTGAAGCTTTGGGACAAGTCTCCGCTTATGCTAAGGTAAGTTTTTACTTAGTACCTACTGCGATTGTCAACATATAATTTAGTAGTTTTTCCGCTACTTACTCGAAGATAAGGAGAGAGACTAATAAATTCTACTTTTTAAATACAACACAACTTATTTATTCTTTTCTTGATTAAAAAATTGGAAAATAATAAAAATAATATAATATTAGTTGCAAAAATATTTTTTACTGAGCTAAGCTTCGCCACGAATAGTTCGACTCACAGAAAACCGGAGTGAAACTATCACAGTGATGCCTTGCCGTGTTCTTCACTTGCCCCATCCCTCCCCAACCCAAAAAACTCCTGCCGGCAACGCACTCCTAACTACTCTATTATTGCGGGTATCCGTTATTTACACATAAAAAAAAACATTTTTAATTTGCTCAGGTCCAATCTGCGGAGAAATTAATGAAGAAATTGGTGACGTTGTACGAGACGAAGGAGGACGATATGTCGCGGTCTGCCATCGCGCTCTGCCTAAAGTCCATATCCAAGGCTAAGATAGAACACATCAAGGACAACGAGGATGTGCTGGCGCCCATGGTGTTCCTGGCCATGCATGGGCCTAAGGACGAAGGTGAGTTTTATTATTTTATATTTATTTTGATATGGTTTTTTATGTTTTAATTCATCTAACTCTAAGCGAACGCCGGCGTTCGCGGACCTTTTATTATTGTGTCTCTAATTACCACGACTCCTGAAGGTGTTGTAAGAGTCGACTGACGGACGCAGCAGACGTCAGCTCGCTCTGATAAACCTGGAACTTTTAAAGTTTACACGGCAATCTCGATTTACCTAACATATAAGGAAGTTTATCTCTCAATCTCGATTTACCTGACGCGTAGAAACGCAAACGCCGGCGTTTGTTTGGGGTTTAACACATTCAGTGCCCCCGACGCGTATGTGCGTTTCCTCGCACGCACATACGCGTCGGGGGCACTGAATGTGTTAATAAGTTAAAACTTATTTATGCGTGTTAATAAGAATTAGTTTCGTTGCATCCACGCTAGATTCATCGACAGTGGAGATGTTCGAGGAGATATGGACGGACATCAGCCCGGCTCGGGAGAGCGGCATCAAGCAACATCTCACTCTCATACGCGAGGAGATTGAGAAGTGTCTTAACTCCAGTAGCTGGACTAAGAAGATTCAGGTAACACATTTTTTGTTATATCGTCCAGCAACTTCTTTATTGAACCAGTTTGCATGGTAAAAAGTCGTATATTCTGTATCTATATTCATCAATATTCTATTAGAAATACTAGAAGCATATCGTATATAGCCTTTGTCCGTTTGTCCTACAAACGCCCACAAAGGCTTAATTGCCTTGATTTTTTATGAAACAATGAATTTATTTTTGTAAATAGGCCATAAAACAGCACTTTATCACGTCAAAATTATATGTAAAAAAACTAGATGAAGCCGGATGTGAAAGGACGGTAAACGAGCAGACATATTATCTGATGGTGAGCAATCAGCGCCGCCCAAGGGCACCCGCAACACTAGAGCAGTTTCGAGTGCGTTGCCGGCCTTTTGGAGATAAGGGTTTCGGAGATTGACACATAATGTTGTTTCCAGCTGGTTTTCTGCGAGGCCGTGGTATCACTGGTCCGACCCATTCGTAGCATGGTTTTCTCGCATATTTTGATACTAACCATAAAATATTGATGATATATTGTTTACTTATTATGTGTTTGTGTCAGGCGGCGAATGCGATAAAGACAGTATGCAAGGAGGTATCGTCAGGTCTGGGCGCGCACCGCGAGCAACTGGTGCGCGCCGTGCTGGCCGCCGTGCACGGGAAGACATTCGACGGAAAGGAACATGTCGTCATGGCGCTCGCCGACCTCTGCGCGTTAGTATCTACCAACTAATTGTCTGTCATTCTCATTTTTTTTGTAAAAACGTTTCCCCACACTTGGATTTTATCCTGTGCCGTGGGTGCGTTTATAATATAAACATACAATATCACATACATCACACCCAGACGCAGAACAATTTCGTAAATCAGAATCGAACCTCGGCAGCCAGTTGCCCAGCCACCGCATACTTAGTATTCTAATGTGAATGACGCTACTTTCTTGCACCTATGACAAGCGTTTTAGTGTTTTCTCAATGATGCGACTATGTCATACAGTTTCACGATGTCTGAATAGCAGCGGCTAAATTTCACCTGGTACAAGCGATGCAAATGATGAAATTTGAATAAAGACCGTAATTTTGCCGCATACTTTTAACTAGATGAGAGTAGTGAAACAAGCCCTAAATTATAAAGCTTTTCAATTTAAAAGTTAGTCACAACTGTAATATGAATACCAATGTCGATTTTTTTTTCAATGTTTTTGTATCGTCCGTTTCACAGGGTAAAAGAAAACGAGCAACCATTATCTCAGGCGTTAGCGACGGAAGTAATAAACGCGTTGTTAGTGGAGAGCCGTAAGCAGGATATGACGTACAAACGACACGCCATCACTGCCCTGGGGCACGCCATACAAGCCACGCATTGCGACCGATTCCAGCAACTCTACGATATCGTTAAAGTTATACTGTCTAAGGTATGATCATGTGAAATGAACTTTATATTCTAATGGATAGGGTTGTACATTGACTCTTTACTGTTTTTATGTATGTATGTACATTTGAAGCCATATGTCGTAAGTCTGCTTTAAAACGTTGATGATTTATAATGCCAATTTTTAGCTCTAAAACATAAAATAATACCGTTTTATTTTAGTACAATCTAAAATAGACCTTATTGTGTAAACAGGATGAACTATCAGTTGGTAAGGAATCAGATGAGGAGGACAATGAGGGAGCGAGACAGCGGCGGGAACAGCTGACGGCTTTGAAGGAAGCTGCTTATGAATTACTTGGGAAAGCCTGGCCTAAGGAACCTGACACACAAGGTGAGTTAGTGAACTATGCTGAACAAGTAGAGAAAGGGTGAGATAAAGAATAGTTACATAAACATAACTTGAATAATAGTTAATATAAACCTACCAATTCTACCAATTTCATTATCTATCCTACCCATGAAGCAATCAACTCGTAGAGCGGGAGCATACAGTGCTACCGCGCTCACCAAACATTTGTCATATAACAAATTACTGTTACTAATAAATTAAATAAAAATCGATATCGACATTTCTTGAATTACTTTTTTGCAATCCCTAAAAAATCTGCTGTCAGCAGCCCGTTGTCTGGTGACTTTGACTTCAAACAACAAACGTACCGATGCATGCTCCACCATTTGATTGCTTCATGATTCTACCATTAAACTTACATAACGAATACTACTTTCCCTACCCTGAATTTGAAAATGCGACTCCTTGTTGAGCAGTACTCGTACAACAAGAAACATTTATACGTTCGAAGACTTGTATAAAATGTTACGAACATTTTTATTATTCACAGAAAAGTATCAAGATGTATTCTTCGAGCACTGTTCGAAGTCGTACCCGACGAGTTCTCGGTCGACGCAGCTCGCCATACTAGCGTCAGTGACGCGAGTCCTCGAGCGACTGGCGATACTGGCTAATGCTGGGGAGCCTATGGAGACAGACAACCCCACAAACAGGGACAAAGCTATCTCAACTGTTACTGGACATGTTATTCTCATAGTTGATTATACTTTGCGTAAGTATTTGTTTATATTTTTACTCAAACTTAAGGACAGAGTGTTAGTTTTTTTTATGCGATAGGTCGGGTAACGATCACACGGATTACCTGATGGTAAGTAATCAGCGCCCCATGGACACTCGCAACAGCGGAAAAGTTACGAGTGCGTTGCCCACCTTTTGGGGTTTTGCAGATTTTGAGATTGGGGGAGGGGAAGGTTAACTCTCTCTCGCGGCGGAATACAACGCTGTGGTTGTGTCATGCTGGTTGTCTGTGAGGCTATCGTATCACCAGTCGAGCCTTTCGTGCCGTCGAGGCGATCGACACATTTATGATTTTCGGCGCTCTGATTGGCCTGTTTTAATTTGACCATCCAATCAGAACGCTTAACACAGTCACGTCTCAAACCCGTTAGCGGAAAGAAAACTCACTCGTTGCTTTAATATTATTCACAGAAAACAGCAATCAAGTAAGGCATAGGAGGGACGCTCTCAACATCATGGAAATACTAGTGAAACAATTAAAAGGTACATTTTTATATTTTGAAACATAACTGTCGTACATTTTTTTTAATAATGCTCATAAACTAATATCCGTTTTGCGTGAAAGAATAACAAATATACATGTATACATTCTCAAAGACTTCATGTGTCTACAATGATGTGTTGTACTAAAATAAATTTTATGAATAATAATTTCTATTGATCTACTAGCTAGATGAATCTCTCTGATCTACTGCTTGTTTTAGAATTTGAGGTTAGATTTAAAAGCCAAAAAATCTATTTTCCTTTCAGATCTCAACAAAACAGAGGAGTTAGACAAGCTTAGAACGATATACCAGTCGTACGCTCAGGACTTGTCGAAGGACTCGTCACACGAAATACGAACCAAAGTGGAAAACATTAAAGTGCATTTTAAATAGTATATGCTGCTTTTATTTATTGTCGTGACGAAAACGGTAATTAAAGTTATTCTAGTAATCTATGCTGTTTTATTGCTATTCAATAATGATCCTTATTATGATATCATAAAGGATGGCACACGCACATTATTTTTTATTCAATCACTCAACTACTTTAAATGGGATATGTTTTATTGTGTTTGTTGCACAATAAAACATATACAGAAGAAGACTTTGTTTTACTGTTATACATCTGTATGGCTTTTTTAAGGGTGATAGTGATAATCATCAAATGTCTTTTTCGGCCTGGGTGGGGCGAGGGGTGACAGACTCTTCATCATCGTCATCATCAGCCTATAAGTGCCCACTGCTGAGCAAATGCCTCTTCTTACACGGAGAAGGTCTCTGGAGCAGGAATGACAGACTCTTACTGACTAAAAACAAACCCGTTTTCGCATGCTTCAGGCTCGCGCTCTACAAAAATGTGGACGATTTTTGCAGCTATAGACTGCGATTCTGTGTAGGTTTCTACGTCCATAATCATAATACAATCTTTTACAAAAAAGCATTGTTCATTCATTCGCTTTCCTTCGAAACTTGGTTTTACTTCTTTTTATCGACTTCACTGAGAAAAGCCGTACTAAAAGTATACTGTGCGACGTTGCCGGGACGGGCACACTGCTCATGAATATGAGTCCCGCTATAAGTTGAAACTAGGAGAGCTTTACTGAGCTTATTAACGTAAATCATTACCTATACTAATAACATAAAGAGGTAAAATTTGTAAGTTTGTATGTGGGGTTAATCTTTGGAAACATGTCACTGATAAATAGCCACAATGATCCTAAGTGCTATAGGCTATAAATTATGCTTGATTTGCGTCTTTTAGTCGAGCTATCGCTTTAAACGCTCCTGTTTTAAAATCCCAGAATAATTACTTTCGAAAAATCTCTCTTTACTTTAAAAAAATCTCGCAATAGTTAAATTAAATGTTTTAGGCACTTATACCTTCTAGTGTGGCTTTTAAACTAATGAAATGATAGTATTTGCTCGTAGGAAATATCTAAATGGATACAGTTGTTGACATGTTGAGAGAGTCCAAAAAAGTTTATGGAGGGCTTTACCAGTAGGACTAGTAAAGGAATAGTTAGTAATAAAATTGTATCTACTTTATTTAAGGGTTTATTAAATAATACTCCAGATAACAATATCACATCAGTGTTTAATGCTATTGCATTAAATAAACCTATGGAATGAAATAAAGTATACAATAACAAAATAATTAGTTAGCATAAAAACATTGCCTTACAATAATAGATAAGTAACTATTTATGTACACGCAGAATAAGATATAATTTATTAAATAATATTCGTTTTTAATGTAAGCCAAGTTTACAGCGTTCTGAAATAATCTCAATAAAATAAAAAACAATACTTCTGATTATTAACTACGTAGTTTGATACACGGATAAAGAGATGACAAGGAATATTTTAGTAATTCTATATGAAAGCCATACTTCATTAGGTCGGAAGTTGCGAAAACGTCCAGCCCTATTAATAATAAATACATGATTTTAATTTAAGATTTGTGGATTGACATTATGCTATATCCTTTTCTGACACTGGTTAAATAGATACATTTGTACAAAACTTTGAGTAGACGAAGTCTGCATAGGAAAAAAATAGGTCTATTTTACTTATTAAGTGTTACATTTTAGGTTCCCGGATATTCTCTAGCCATCTGATAACGAAATAAGTTTCTTACAGTCAAACATTAAAACATCGGCCGTAAGGAGTTTACAATAAAGTTCTTTATTAAAAATCCCTTGTGTAGACATTCAATCATTGGCTTCGAGGGATAAGATCTGAGAAAATTCAGTACCTTTTAGTGTGTAGTATTAGAGACTAATTTATTAACAATAGCATAGGTGTATGACACACTTTGAATAAATATTTAAATGTGCATTAGGCCATTATAAAAAGGATACAGAAAGTTAGTAATGTGTGTTTAAGCACGACAAATAATTAATAGGTGCCATCATGTAAACTGGTGATACTTACATATCTTATTATGCCACGTTAGAACTAAACTACCCTTTAAGCCCGGTTCCTAAGGTCTAAATTCTTCTAATTTTTATCAATCCTACCAATTTAGTATTTTTAGTGACTTCTATTGTAGAAAGAATTATACTAATGTTTGTGAGACGATAGGAAACGACCGTTAATATTGTAACTATGCGAGCTGCGATTGCTGAGGTTAAAGAATTAACACATCCAGTGCCCCCGACGCGTATGTGCGTTTCCTTACGCTACTCTGTGTGCCCTCGACGCACCTGTGCGTTCAATACATTAATGTATAGACTGACACTGAATGTGTTAAGGATGTTAGGAAAATTTATGGCTACACCAAGGATTACCCGCGATCAAAACTTAAATTATACTTTTACCTACTACAGTGGCGATTATTACGTGCAATTTGTAGTCAAAGCTAAGAAGAATATATAAATTGTACAACTTCATCACAATTTAAAAGGACGCGATGCATCATAAACTTATGCACTCTTTAACAAAAACACATTTATAAATTGCAACAAAGACTAGGAAATAAGTCGAATTGTTAAGACTTGAAATGTTTTGACAGTACATATTCGACTATATTTAAAAATAAAATTATTTTTAAAACATATGAATTGCAAGCTATTAAAGATTAAAATTCAAATATTGCATTATAGGTTTGACCGAATTAATTGTAATGGATTATATAAAAATGTAAGCTGTATATATCAAATTTGTACCTAAAATAAAATATTTGTAACTAACATTCACATTTCACGCTTGCCAAACATTCAAATACAAACTGTAATCATTATCTAACAACGACATTACATCTAATTACAATAACTTAATTGACCTATTTTTGTGAAGGTGTTGCCATTTATGAGAAAAAGCTACCAATTTAATTGTAGGAATGATTTTTTTTTTACATATATTGTACTGAAATCATATGTTAGTTTTAATTTATGTATTTAAATCTTGTAAAAAATTAACTGAAGTTACTTTATGTTGTTACTTAAGGCCTTCTTGACTGTACACTACTTTCATTATGATAAGTAACATCTTACCTTATTTCGAGACATTTCAAAATTCTGTTAGAATGACAATACCTCGACAAAAACTCTGACAAAATTATCTAATATTATAATGTTATATTGCACTTTATACATCGTCAAACAGTCCACGGGGTGGGATGGTCATTTTGTCCCGACGTCGATCGTCGAACTCGCTTCGTATGGACGGCAGGGTACTTTCCCCGAAGCGGTGGTCTAGTTCATCTTCAAGGGTAAGGTTGGCCCTATTGTAGGGTAGCTCGGCGCGTTGGTAGCCTGTCAGCTGCGGTTGGTTACGCTCAGGGCTTGGTTGCACGTAGTAATCTGAGTCCACGTCGTTCAGAAGCCCAGTGTGGGCTGAAAAGTGACCAACATGCACAATAACCGATAACATTAATGATGATAGGAAAGAAGGGTCTGTTTATCGCGAGCTCTTGGTATTAATTTCTTGTATTTAATCAATCATACTAATAATAGTGTAATAGAATCCCAGTTCAAATTGAATAGCAACTATTTGGATTTGATGTTTTCTGTTGATATTTAGAAGATATCAATTTTTTTAAAGCAATAGTTAGGTCTCAAACACCTCAACATATTTAATTGTTTTGGCAACTTCTTGTACAGTTTTTCGTTTTGAAATAAAGCAATGGAACAACTAACGAAATTTAGTTATAAGCAAGAACTAGGTTACCTATATTATTTAACAAAATATTTATTATAAAACAATTTAAAGCGTATGTTTTAGTTGAAAAGCTAAAGGTAAATAAATAGCATATAAAATAAAATATTATTTCAACTACGGCAATACCAAGAGCAGTCACTCAACAAACAGAACAGTATAGAGTTAATGTTGTTATAAAGAAAAAGGCGATATCAAAATAACAATTGAAAAATTTATGAGTTTAAAGCGAATTATGTTTAATGATATAGATGGCACTGTAATCGTTTTAAGTCCTTTGCAATTATAAATATTAAAATGATTGCATATACATGCAAGTTCGAAATCTTGAACAATAAAGCATAACATAATTAGACAATTATGTAATAACGGTTTCCTTATGTATTTACAAAGGGGAAAAAGAAAGCAAATTAGTAATAATAAAAGGATGATAATGAATTAGAAAGATGAAGCATGTTATTATTAACCTTTTGACCGCCATCGTCAGCTATAAACTACAAACGAAAAATATGCTATTTCGCCAATGTCGACCGTAACCTAACCTGAAAACGTCATAATTGGGTAGATTCCTAGGTCCAAAAACAATTATTTTGAATTGTGGAAACAAATATTTTAAAATTATAATCATACTTTTAAAGATTGGTTTGACGATATACTTTATTTTAGAATTTTTCTAGTTTAATATTTTAAAATAAATATGCTGTTTGACGTAATAACAATATGACATTCATATGTGTGTGTACATTTCATTAAAAAAACTAATGACTATACTCGCAATTTTAATTAGATTCCTGATTTGACATTTTCAGTGTTGCAACGTTATGACAAGTACTAAATAGTGACGTTGCGAAATTATTCGATATGGAAATGGAATATTTCCGAATCGATTCCTCTCGTTTATAAATTAACACTCGTAAACTAGTTTATCAGGAAATTAAATATTTCTGAACCGATAATTTAGTTTTGACAATTAATTAACGATCTGATACTAATCTTTTATAATTGTGAGTGGTATTAATAAAAAAATGTGATCTAATATGGTGATAATTTATTTTATAAATTGTTACCGTCATCGCTATCGTTATCGCTGTTACTTTCTGCAACATTTATTATGAATTGTGTCTGTGATATTTATTGTCAATTAACATATAGATCTAGCTTACTCATTTTTCCTCTTTGACAACATGGGATACGCATTTAGGCCATTCGGAAGCCTTAATTTTTTAATGCCTTCCTGAAACTGATTCACTGATTGTTTATCGATTTTTGTGTATACTGTTATACTCGTAAGTGGTGTCATTATTTCATAAAATGACAGTGGCTAATGTCAAATCTGGAATCGATTTAAAATTCTGACTATAGTTTGTTTTTGGTGTGTCGGCTATAGTCAACTATGGCGGTCAATTCGTTGATCGTTAATATCGACCGTTATAATAATAAATTATAATGGTTTGTCGTATTACCTCCATCTTGTACATCGCGTGCCGACCTGTAGTTGGAAAACCTTTCGCTGTAGTCACGGCGGCGAGTCAGCGATTCTTCGGCACGTTGACGCTTGCGTTTCTCTGCATAGAAAACATTTTATAAATTTGTATGTGTATGAATTAGAATAGACATTGGTTTGTTTTTAGTTGTAGGATTTGAATATGGCAAAAGTTTTAAATAACCACAGTCTACACATCGCGGCGACGTTGCGTCAGTAAATTTAATACGTTTCACGATGATACTCTTCAAAAAAACAATGTCCCAAATGTATGTGTGCAAGCCAATAGGTAAATCTAAATCTATCTGTTTATTCCTTATTCATCCTAAAGCATTGTTATAAAATTCAAAGTCTATTTGTGAAATTTGATTAAGATTATAACTTGCAGAAGGCAAGATGTCAAAATAGAAACATTCGCCACGTCGTGTGATACTGCTTAAGCATATAGCCCTACCGTGGTTTGAAATTAGTCAATACGAATTACACAAACCTCGTTTCACAATCTCCCGTCCTTCGTCCACAAGGTCGGTGGTGAGTTCATCATCTCCCACAAACTGCTGGAAGCCGCAGAGTGAGAGCAATCGGCTGCCTAATGAGAAGTAGGTGGCAACGCACAGCAGTACCACTAGCATCGGGAAGTAAATGTTGAAGCCTTCCGCTATGATGCCCAACACGTCCATGTGACCCATTATCTATATTACAAAGAATAAAGCATTTAAATTTGTGTTTGAATTATAGAGAAAAATGTAAGCTGCTGAGCAAAGGCACATAGAGAAAGTTAGCATTAATCACCACATCTAGCTCAAGGCGGATTGGTGATTTCAAATTGGCCTCATGGAAATCCAGAGTATACCTACTGTTGCCTTCTCTTTCACTGTGTTAGAGGGACTAACCAGAGTTTAAAGACATTTTCCAAGCGGTCAAAAAGCCTCTAATTCCTGTGGCAAAAAGTTTGCTACGCGTTTAGATATATTTCATTGAAACAAAATATATTTTGGCTGTTTCAATTTAAATACATACCTGCGTATAATAAGTCTCCATAACACTCGTTTTGATGACGTGCGAGTCCATGTGTATAAGACTGAGGAAGTTGAGACACATGGCAGGAGTCAGCCGGCAGACCATCATGCCGGAAAAGATGAGACTGTACTCATTGGTCTGATGGTGAGGAGCCAAGTAGTAGAGGTTCAAGAGACGGATCTTCAGCACGGTGGAATACGCGCAGTAGAACATGTACGCTATTATTATTGTTGAAATTGCCTGTGAATAGAGGAGATTGGTTAAAAAGTGACATATAATCATCATCACGGGCTAATAAGTGCCTATTTTTGAGCTTCTCATACAGGGAAGGTACAGGGCGAGAAGCGGGGCCGTTTCTCTTCCTACTTATTTTTGCGTTTGTATTTGCAACGTGGGACAACGAAAGTACCAGCAAACATATAATGTGCACAATTTTTCAGGTCTTTGTAAGAGTAAAAACGTGTTATACAGCAATAAGATCATTTGTGTTGTTACGAAGTGATGGAGACTCACCTCAATAGCCAAATAATTATAAGAGTCGGTAGCTGCAATGACGATATTGGCGAATATGGAAAGCACAGGCTTTTTGCAGAAGAACGTCATTTCCGACCAGACGACGGCCACGGACATGATGCCAGTGATCACCGCCATCGTCTTCAGGAAGTACTGCCGCAGGAAACATTCCCAGTACCATTCTGAAATTTATTAATTATGTTAGGTCAGATAAGAAGACATTGATGTTCTTTTGAACTGCGTAGTATTTATTTGACTAAAGAACATAAATATTCAGAAGTTTAAAATATAAAAACTTTATTATTTTTCATGTTAAGACATGAAATTATCTTACCAACGATTGGCGGATAGAATATACGTTGTAATCTTGGCCGTGGTGTGTGAAATGTGTGTTGGAATCGATGGTCTGGAGACCGCTGGTTCGTGGCAACATCCTCAAGATGGAAGATACGTTCCAGCATCAGACCCCACTGCGTCTCCGTACGTTGAAGCACGTGTAGCGCCTTGATGGTCTATCAATTTTGAATAAATAAATGTTAACCCAAAATACCACCCTGTGGAACTCCTTTTAAAATGTATGACTTCAGTAAAAAATAAGAAAAATTTGTTTACAAGGTATGAATTATTACATACAATAAATATTTTAAAGCAAAGTTTTCTTATGTAAATACACTAACTACAAAAGAAGTTAATAAATACTGTTTTTTTTTATCGGAAAGCTTAGGCAAGTCAGAGAAAATAGGTGAAAAATCTTTTAAAGTTTACCTTTTTGTGTAAATTGACAAGTGACTTCAAAGATGGTGGTGTGGGTCTATCGGGTGGCGCACGGCCATTGAGTCTGTCACGAAGCTGTATAGGCAACTTTTGTACTATGGTGTCGACATGGCGGTACAGGGGATGCCCTGACCCTACTGCTGCAGTTACGGCTTTTAAACTCTGAAAAGATAAAAAACATTATTTTGATTAGATAATGCATTCAATTAAAATAATTTATTTATTGTCCCTATTTGAATAAATTAGGTGAATTTATTGCAACCCATAAAATAAGTTCGACTATTTCGCCTTTAGGTGAATTATTACAAAACAAGTTTTGAACATATGTATGTGTTATAGTTTTTCAGTATCAATATTTTTACGCATACATTGTAGCATTAAACTAGAAACAGTTGAACTACACTTCAGTTCCAAGTGTGTTTCTATGTCATTGTGATCTGATTAGATGCTGATAAAAAAGTTTATCCTCATTCTATGGCCACAACTGTGATAAATGTTATCTATTTTTACCTATGCAATACAAACCTTAATTTATTTTGTGAAAATAAGGTTGACAACCAGTTCATGGATTAGATTACTAAAGGTGAAAATGTTTGTTGTTTTAATTAATTATTAATTTTTATTTTCAAAATTCTTAAATAATCTTTACTATTGAGAATTTTGACATTTACCTACATAGTTTTATGTGCTAAAAGACCATAGCAGACCCCACTGCATAGTCTGAGCTAGTCAACTTTGAGTTGAAGAATAGAGCAGTCTATAGATCTGATAAAAAGTATGTAACATACAGCATTTCCACAAGTAATTACAAACTAGAACAAAAATACTTACATCCAAAATATCATCAACTGTTTCTTCAGCTTCACATTTGTCAGTACTCAGCTTAGCAATCTTGAAGTAGCAGTAGGTCAAAGTGTAATTCTTTTTAGAATTATTCCAGAGGTTCCTAGGCACCTCTACGAGGGCATATCCGAGGAGCAGGATTAAGAGGAACAGACCCCAAGTATTACTGGCTGATGATGCTATGGTTTTTATTTTTGGGGGATCCAAGTGCACATCCGGTTTTAAGGCGATGTATATAAGTAGTATGCCACATATGAATAGATATGAACCGTAGTAGATAGCATTGTCGACTAGAGCTGATTTTAGTTTGCCCTTTACGGTGAAGTCTCCAGCTTTGCTGTAAGACTGCATCATAGGCATTATTAGCCTGAAATAAAATTACAATAAGAATTACGGTTTAATGTTAGACATGATTTATTTTTGGAAATTTATAGCACTAGCACCAATTCGGTAGAAAATTATTCAATGTTCATGATTCATTTGCATATCAAAATGTTATCTATATTCATAATGACTACTTCTCATATCATGTAGTATATTATTCATATATTCTAAATTTCTTGACTTGTTATATATGATATGTTATATATGATATATCTTAATAATACTTTTATACCTAGTTTTAATAAATGTTATCACTACATAAACTGTTACTTAAGGAATATTGTAAATAATAGATATTTTGATAGCGGCCCAAACAAAATGTTTTATCTAATAATAATATTTACTTATGTGATATTATTATGATAAGAGTGTCAAAGTTATTTTTTCTTGGAACACCTGTATCACCTGGCTTTAACTAAGACTCATATTTCCAGACTGCAAATCTAAAATTTTACTATACCCTCTCTAGATGTTAGGATCTACATTATAGATGAGGGTTGCAAACAATATTTTTTTTTCCCACATTAGGATTTTCTCCTGTATTGTGGGTGTGTTTACAAACATACAATGTCACATGCACATCACACATTAAGCAGTGTTTTTTTTAATTAAATATACAATAACTTACCAAGTAAGACATTGTGATGTCCAATATACAATTCTCCAGAGATTAGGGAACACATTAGAACCCATAAAACTGTATGGTTTGATACACTCAGTACCTGGTGGTGCGACAGTTGTTGTACTATTCTGTAGTAACGATTGTGTTGTCTCCGTTATTTTAGTCGCATTTTCCATACATTGTCGATACACTGTCTGTTGTTAAAATTATAATTGTATTAGGAATGGGCATTGTGGTATAATTATCTACATCTAGGATTTCTACTGCATATTAATGTGTTTAATGAACCAAGTAATGATTAAAAAACGTAAATTCAACATTAATAGTATGTCAATTAGAATTTTATTATTAGCATCATAATTTTAAGTCTTAGCATAGTTATGTTCAGTTTAGAAATGTTATTACAAAATATAAAATGAATTTTGCCATTAAGATTTCAAAATCTCATGAATAATTTAATAGTGTGGTATCATAGCTACAAGCTCTACTGTAACTTCTATAACTAGTTTGTCTTAAGTGACTTAAGTGACTTACCGATGATATATCTAGGGGCAAGATGAACATAATCACGAAGGAGAAGTACCATGCTGTCAGCACTGACACTGTCACTATTATGTGGTTCCTATAACAGTCACCATATCTGTATAGTAAAGTCGCTGCTAATACAAATGCAGATATTAGTTCTATTACAAACAACGTGTAAGCCATTTTGTCACAACACTACACTGTTCCAAACACAAATAAAATTAGTTTTTCTTTGCAGTTCTCTGCTTCTCCCTCCAAACTCTGGCTGCTTCGTGCTGCAGCTGCTCAAATCTAATCTGAGTCGTAGATTTCAAAGGCAATAATCTTGGCCGTTCAATTTCATACTCCGGTGGACATTCTTCGTAAAAGAGAATCCCCTGATCGGGCAAAATAGGATCGAAGTCAATTAATTTGTGTTCGGGCCCCTTCGATTCTGACATATTTTTAGGTACAAAATGATAATGATGACATTGTCGTTAAAGTACCAGTTTTATTGATACAAAAATCTCCAGACACTAACGAAAAATATGAACAAAGAAAGAATTCACTAACATTACACAGAATCTCTAAATAAGTATTTGTGATATCATCACAAATCGCTATCAAGAAAGACAAATCAATCAAAACGTTAGGCAAGAATCCAGAGAAAACCTAACAATTTGACAATTATTCTATCTCTTTCACTCCTGCAGATACGTCAGTTTCAGAGATGGCTTGTCTTTTATAGCCTATTGAACTATTGCTTGAAATCATAAAAAGATGGAAATGGAACGTTTATCTTAACAGATTAAAAATAGTAGCATTTACAGAGAAAGCTTTCATATGGCTAGCTAAAACGATTATAATTATTATAATACTGCTAGTGCTTTAATAATTATTAAAGAAATTATGACTATGTCATTAAGTGCGTCTATGTTTGAAATTAAAATCAATTTTTCCACCACTTTAGTAGGAATTAATTTGTTTATTTTTTAGGCGCCATATGTTTAGCTTCAGGTTCGATATCCAAAATAATCGGGAAAGTAGTTTACACCTTAGGCCGGGTCCACACGTTGGCCCCAACGCTCGCACCAACGTTGGAGCGCAAATTCGGTGAGGCGTATACACGTTAGCGAAGAAGTTAGTGACAGGACACGTCAGGGCCAATGTGAAGATGTCCGATACAGAAATTGAAACTGCTGTGAGTGCGATATCCATATTTTGTTGTATGGTGTGCCATGCATCAACTATTAAATTTTTATTTTTATGATCCTCGAGAGATGTGTCCCATATTATTGGATGTGATTAATAAAGTTCAATAAACTCAATAACTTTTTCATTTGTCCATGCCGGTGACGATGTTGCGGATGAGGAAGCCATTGTCGCTCGACGTACGCACTCGCTGCGTGTTGCAACAGAACTGAGTAAAGCGCCAACGTGTGGACAGCTTGCGAACGTTGGGGCCAATGCAATTTTTTAGACCCACACGTTGGACAAGTAGCGTTGGGGCCTATATTGGGGCCAACGTATGGAGCCAGCGTTAGAATAATTTACATTGACATACGTATGATTCAAATTTTGTCTATTTAAAATGAGTTAACGATATTCATAACTTGGGGAAGTTATGAGTGATATTATTAATTCACTTCTTACAATAGTCGAAAAGTGGGTAGGTTTATTCCCCATGTTGACCAAGGTGTCACAAGCAAAATATTGGTAACAAAAGGTCCACCACTATAGAAAACAAATGGAACGGAAGGCAGGATTATCGGATTTACCTCGGATCTTTTGATTGAATGGGCTTTTCATATCTAGTGAAAGGAATTCTTTTGAAAAGTTGCCTTGCTAGGACAATGCAAGGAAAACTCAATCTATTTTCTCTTTGTGTTTTATAAAGTTATAACAGTAGGGAGAGAGATGTTTCAAAGTTTATCGTAGAAAGAAAACAAAATCTAAGTGAATTTAGTTTTAATATAGAAAATAATACCTTCACTTTATTAGAGGTACCTACCTAGAGGTACCTAGGTTTTTATTTAATTCCCTTTGTATTTTAATGGTGTCGCAACTTTTTGTAGGCAAACTTGCTCAGGTAAATATAGGTAACAGACATATTTATTTTTATGAATAGGTACCTTTTTAGTTTATTGGTTTGATTAGGTTCTATAAGTTATTTTCCATTTTTGTTTATGTTATATGTTATTTTTCGATGTAGGTACAGTCGATGGTCACAAGCGAAAAGATCGAAATCTGGTCGATGGGTCTCGGTTATTTTTCAGAAAGTTAGTTCGAACGAGTTCCTACTTTCTGGCAATATGAAGGTACCCCATGTGGGCACTCATAACATAGGCCATTGAAATTCGATGACTTTTAAACATGTGCCAATTAATTTATCCCTTTGAGGTCTTTGATATCTCATTTATTAGATCTTTATGTAATTTAACTTAAGTATAGCCTTATAACAGAAATATTAATTTTTCTTAGGATACATTTTTAGTTTATTGGTTTGATAAGATTCTATAAGTTACTTTCCATTTTTGTACCTATTACTTACTTACATGTTATTTTTCGATGTAGGTACACTCGATGATCACAAGCGAAAAGATCGAAATCTGGTCGATGGGTCTCGGTTTTATTTTTCAGAAAGTTAGGTCATACGAGTTCCGGCTTTCTGGCACTAGGGATATGCAGGTAGCCCATGTGGTAGGCTCTCATAACATAGTCCATAGAAATTCGATGATTTTTAAATATGTGCCATTTAATTTATCCCTTTGAGGTCTTTGATATCTCATTTATTAGATCTTTATGTAATTTAACTTATAGCCTTTACTTTGATATTTGTAGCTGGTACTCAGAATCTTATCTACCTACTTACTTTGTTACTTATTTCTACCTAGATAATTACTCCTATTAATGGTTAATTAATAGACCAATGTATCTTCAGGTCTAATTTTCTGATTGATCAGCAGCGAGATTAACTGTCAGGGTCCGACGTTCCTACTTAATCAATTGTCACTCAGTGCGGTCCTAGAGCTAAAGACGCCTCATTAGCTCAAAAACTAAATATAGACAGAAGCAATATAATATATATGTATAAGTAGGTACACGGTATACCTTACTAAAGCTAGTCTGATTTGCCCATATCTCATAGCATAGCCGTTAGTTTATATTACATATCCATTAATTCAATTTATTCGGAGAATTAAATTCAATATTAGTAGAAAGAGTAGATAAGATATCTACGCGCTAATAGGAAACATAAGACTAGTAATTAGGTACCTAGCAAAGAGTAAGAATCAAAAGATGGGCAACATTATGTCCTAATGGTGAACTATCTAAAAAAATGCGAATAAAGAATGTCTAAGTAAAATCTACTTTAATGATTAGAGATTTTAAGAGCGTACGGTGCGTCATTCCGCCCGCTCCTGAATAGCTGAGCTGATAGACAACCACACACGGGCTCCTACAGGCAATAAGGTACCGCAGCCTCGGCTTAAAGCAGGAGAAGGAACAGGGCGTTTTTAGCCATCAAGAGTCTGCTATTCCCTCTCGCTATAACGAGAGCAGTAATTTGGTGACTATACTCTCTCAAAAAAACAATTTTTGGCATTAGTTGTATATTATTATATTTCTATCGAAACGTAGGTCTTTATTTGCCCCTTTTTATTGATTTAATGATTGGGTAGGTAAGTACTCTAAGTATTCCTTTTTTGAAGCGACGTTGTTCCGAATACTGTGGGTAATGGATAAGTCTCATTTCTAGCTACTGATCCAATTGCGAACGTCAATTTTCTTTTCTAATGTGGTGTGTAGTATGTAGAAGTGGGCCGTTGTTTGCTGTGGATACGAGCTAATTGGGTTGATGATAACGATGCCAGTATTGCTGTTATTCATAGATATCCTATTTACTTAAATAACTTTGCCTATTAACTACTTTAGAGACAGGTCCTTGACCTTCTACTTACCTATCTATTCGCCTTATCTGCTTTCTTAAGCCGGGTGATTTTTCTTTCAGCGTTAACGTATACATATAAGACCGAAGGCGGCGATATCGTAACGAATGTTACAGACTCGGGTACGTGTTTAGCGTGTCGAAATAATGCCCCCGGGGGCTATAAACTGCCTTCTCGCGAAAGGATATCGAAAGAGTAATTCTTATTGAAACAACGATGAAAAACCGAGGTAGCTAGGTAGGTACCTCGTAAAATATGATACCTTCATATAAGAAGACGTAGACTTTCAATCTTGGTTTAAACACAATGATTCATGGAAGTTCGAGAATAAGTGAATGTTTGTCTTTTCTTTTGTTTTTTTTTTGAGGCGGAAATTCATTCAATTCTTTTTCCCGCCCTGGTTGAGGCGAAAGAGACCGTCGGACACTTTTTAAAGGGGAAAGTCACTATACTTATAATTTTTCTCATCCTGGATGGGGTGAGAAGAAATATCAGACTCTTACTGACTAAAAACCATCCCGTTCTTTCTCCTGCTTTGGGCCGGGGTCGCGGTATATTAAGTATATGTAGGTATGTCTAACAATTTTATACATGTCTACGTATTTATTGTCTACTAGCTACTCTCGCGCAGTTTCACCCGCTGCTCGCTTTCATGTAAGCATAGCGTGATGTTTTATAGCCTATAGCACACAGGAACATTGTAGCTATCTACGAGTGAAAGAATTTTGGCAATCCGACCAGCGGTTTCAAAGATTACCCCCTACATACAAACTTACAAATTTTAACTCTTTATAATATTAGTATAGATATTGACGACAATTGAAGAACTATAGGTGCACGAACGCCAGCGTTCGTTTGGGGTTTCATAAATTATATGCCTTCTAAAATAACTATAGATTGATAGGTAGAGTACCTAACCTATCTATCCACGTGATTGAAACAGAAACGATACCTTGTTTTTCATTGGCAGTTCCAAGTTTGAAAAATTTACGAACTGGTTCGCGGTAAAAATGTCCGCCAGTGAGATACGGCGCCGCGGCGGAGGCATTTCCCGTCGTGGTAAAAGGGAATTGTTCCCGGTTTAGAAAAGATTTAACACTGCGGCGAACTGTGTTTTATTATCTATGGCAATCCGGCCTGGCTTCGAATAAACGAGGAGACAGAATGAATGGTCATTTGCACATTTCCGTGTTTGATTTGTTGAATGCTTAGTTTGCAGTTTTCAAAAATATGCGTCTATTTTACGGGCCTTTTCTTTGGTAACATTTTATTACTTGCTTCCAGTATCAAATAGCAGAATTATTCAGATCCGTGCTTATTCATACCAAAGACTCATCTCGTTTATCATAGCATTATTATTTACGCAACAACCACTCAGTCTTAAAATAAATACAGTAAGGGATAATGAAGCTTGCTACAGCCAGCCTTTATTGCGTAAAGTACTTTATTACAAGGAATTAAAGCTGAAAATAGATGATATAGACCTGGAGGTAGTTACACATAATCCGCCGTTATTAATGTAAATTGAGAGACCCTTCTCATTACAGATTATTAAAGTTCGTGGAGTGTTGATTGTCAGTTGTTGTTTAGGGCCTTGTTGTTAATCTCCACTCCATATACAGGGTGGAAGCCGTAGGGAAATAAGAATATTCGAGGATGACTACAGATGTGCTGAAGGTCGCTGAATCAAACTATGGCTATAAAGATCTTAACGTAGTCCTACTGTCCTACATTTAGATTATAGACAAACTAGCTACTAGGTATCACGCGGTTTCACCAGCCGCTCGGCTCCATTTGATCGTAGCGTGATGTTTTATAGCCTATAGCACTCAGGAACATTGTAGCATCTATCAGTGAAAGAACCTCCTAAATACAAACTTAGAAACATTAAAAATTTTACCTCTTCATAATATTAGTATACATTTAAGCATATAAGTATTTTTAATCGAAGTATGTGGCAATGGTAAGGGGCTTTTTGTATGACCAATTTTGAAATATACAATTTTAGATTTCATTCGATTAGTTATCAATCTCCACTGAGAAAACAGTAGAGAAATAAATAAGTAAGCAAAATGTATAGGAAATAAAAAAATATGTATCTTCTTAGGTATACTTAATTGGAAAACGTTCCTATTACATAACCGTAGCCATAATATGGACTAGGTATTCGAACAAATGGATTCTAATCGCTAATGTGTAGTAAGCACGCACACACTCGAACAATTTATTGAAAATATAATCTCGTTTGAAAGCAATTTGTGAAACAATTTTCTTTGCCTCTCATAGAATTATGTTACCGAGATTTAGCCCGTGACCGAGTACATTGTTAGTAAAACTTTAGCTACGTAAAAATGTTTTATTACACGAACTAATGTTAAAAATGTCATAACAAGACCAAGCGGGATTCGGAGAGAGGTTTCCCTTATGCATAAAACTTTTTACTTTTATGTACATAGGGTTCCGTTTCTGTTTTTGACACTTTGATTAATTTGTTTAAGAATTCTGTATTTTTAGGAGAAACTCTAGTGGAACTTACTTCTCGGCCATCCAGTGTCTACCTACTAAAAAAAAAAAATTTTTAAATGGCACTAAATATCATCTAGTACATGATACAGAGTGTAGATACCTAAGTCAATATGTTTTTTATTTCTTCTCTTATTTATTTAGTCACAAGAAATTACGTTGATCATAGGGTCTTTGTCGAACACTGATGCCGTTACGATATTATGATTATTAAACTTAGATGTTTTTAAGATAAAATAGGTAATAATATTTTTTCAAGTACATACTTGTTAATCTGATGTACCAGAAAGAAGGTAGATATCTATATTATTTTTACACCGTCGGAGTGTGAATACATACGACATATAGTCAATACTCAATTATTTATTCCACAATGTGTTTCTTAGGTGATAGATTATAAATCATGGAACCTGTCGGGCACAACAATGTAAAAGTAGGGAAGTATTAAACTTACTTGTATTTCAAAAATGGAATCCCATTAGTTATTGTAGTTGGCAAAATGTCTGGGGTTGCAAAACTCCTCACAACTGACTAGAAAATATTTTATAGTGATATTCAACCAAGCCTCAATATACACCCATCTACATACATTATTTAAAAAAAAGGCTATTTGTAAGTGTAACTATAACTAACAATCCTCCTTGGACATTTTTATCTTCAGTACATTAATTTAAACTTAATCTCATCTTAAACTACGAAGACATAAAGTCGAAACTATAACTACTGAACCATTTTATACAAACAGAATCCGCACTTGACATTTAACTGAGCTTTATGAAGTTATGAAACATTTTCAGGCAGTAAGTGGCTTGTGAAGAGCAATTCGGAAGTTTATTATAGTGCAATAACAGCCCCAAGCTTATGCAGGCTATTTGAGAGTATGTGCTTCGTAAACAAGAAATAGGGGATTTAGGTTTTGTCATTGCGTTTTGAACAAATAGTTTTATGTACTTTTATATAAAATATAATCTTGTATGAACCTTTTTTTATAGACGGGTTATCTGATGATAAGCAATCGGCCTCGCCTATGGATCCACTACAATTGGTTTTTTTCCTCCGTCAAAAATAAATTCCTTTAAGATTTTAATACAATTAAATATTGTAGCAGCGCAGCGACAGTCGTCGCGTCGCGTGTCGCGGAATGCTGCTCATGAATATGGGTGTCTAGCAGGGCTTGAAACTAGTGGAGTCACCAAAAAAAATTTCGATTAATTCGTAATAACTTACCTAGGTACCATAGAACAGTTTTGTATTTGACATTTTAATAAAAGTATTGAATTTGACTATTTATTTGTCAAATACAGTATTATTGGTTCACCTCGTTGAAGAAACTTTTGAACTTTTAAATTTAATCCAGTCTCGATAACAGTAACAACGGTGTTCACTGCTGAATATAATATTTCGTAGTGACTTCCAGATCAGTCGGTTGTACATTGAATCATCTAATGGGGAAAAAACGTTTCACCTCTTTTAATTTTTTATTTACTTCTAAACCATACCTAATAAGAGAAAAAATATTACTAAGCCTAATAGGTATGCATAAAACATTTCATATAAACCAAAAAACTTCAGTAAATATATTCTGAATATCTTTGCATTTCTACTTAAGAACATCACACATTTATAAGCAAAAAAGTCTAATTTGTTTTACATATTGGGGCAAAAAACAAAAAGTGACGATGCATTCACATTGCGGGCTTAAATGGGTCACACCGAATAAGCGGCAACGCGTCCATTCCTATGTGAAGGAGATCTGAATGCAAACGGCCTAGCATTTTACATTTGGAACATACGATAAGAGAAAATTACCACAAAAGTGTTGGTAGGAAAAAGATTAGTATTTTAAAAATGTTAAAAGTTTTTGTTCCGTTTCAAAAATGGTTCAGAAATTATTTTAGGTTAGGGAGATTGTAAGCGCAAACGCTCCACGTTGCAAATTTAAGACTTATGATGTGGTTTAATTACTGGTCCTTGAGAGAAAATTGCGTTATATATGAAACTAGCTACTCTCACGCGGTTTCACCCGCTGCTCGGCTCCATTTATTAGTAGCGTGATGTTTTATAGCCTATAGCACACAGGAACATTGTAGCTACCCATTAGTGACCAGCGGTTCCAAAGATTACCCCCTACATACAAACTTATAAACTTACAAACATACAAACTTACAAATTTAACCTCTTTATAATATTAGTATTATAGATGTAACCACTCACAATTATAGGTTCATCATCATCAACAGCCTGATGTCGTCCACTGCTGGACATAGGCCTCCCCAAACTATAGGTGTATAATCATCTATTATTATTATTATTATATGAGTTTTGACGTAAGTTTTACGCAAAAGTCTTATTTACGCGTCAAGCAAAGAACGATACGTAATTATGTAAATAAGGGTCTGCGTATGTTTGGTATGATAAAAATAAAATAGGATACGACTTAGCACATACGTGGTTTTATTATTTTTAAAAGCGTTTACGTATGTACGTGGCATGGGTTTTAATAGTAATTTGAAGTCAACAATCATGGAAATTATTTATTAGATTTAAATGAAACTTGGTAATATATGTACCTATTACCTAATATATGACGTTCTAGAAGCTTACTTATTATAGTTAGAAAATTATCACCGGTCATTTTGTGAGAAAACCCATGCGGCTTTTTTGTGAATGAATTGAAGAATTGAAACAAAATTGAAGACTTTCTTCGTCATCAATAATTTGGTCATAATATTAGCCGTTTCCGAAAATTATTTAATTTAATTTAATTTTCTTTAATAAATTTAATTTAATTAAATAATTTGATATCAGAAAATGAAGATCGACTAATTTACTTTAATGATTAACAAGTGCTAATTATTTGCCATAAATAATAGTTTTGAAATCTCCTGGTGGACTATATTATTGCCAATATGACTTATTTATATCTACATACATACTCATTCATGTACAAATGTATATGAACCACAAAGATAATAATCAAGAACAAAAGAGTCGTCATTTTTAAATCGTAAAAGCAATTGAACTAGGTACCCACCGTACCTAGTTAAATAAAGTGTACAATAAGAAAGTAAACAAGATGTATAAAGTTACAGCGAAAATACATACATATTTTTTGTTCATTTGTCCTGTTGTTTGTGTAGCTGTGAGCATTAATCATTGTTCTTAATAAGTAAATCGGCTACTATAAATTAGAACAAAAGAATTATTTACAAAATAAACATTGTTTCAAAAGTTTCGTTTCTACCTCTTTACCCTTAAGACAAACAACATTGTATTGTATTGCTAATGTATTAAAATTTAAAATTGTAAATACTTAACCGTGCCCTGGATTTCCACTTCTGACATTATTAAGAGTCAATATTGTTGGTCGAGGCAATATATTTTGTTTATGACGTAATGAGTAATTTTCGTGCCTACGCACGTTTAGTGTACAGGTACGATAGTAACAATAGAAGTGTGTGTACACAGCTTTTCCACTTGCTTTGTTTGTTTCTGAACACGCGGTTCTTAACAATAAAGGGAGCTCTGAAATTAACAGTATTGTGTGATACATCGTCCATGTAGCTCACGATGAAGTTCGTTGGAATAATATTTTGCGTTTTGCTTTTTTGCTCTAAAATTGTCGGTAAGTTAGCTCTGCAGTGGAACTCGCAATAACATAACTTTAGTGTTTGTATCCGTAATTATCTTCCAAGTTTTATTTTCCACAGTTCAAACTGACTTTACGCAGTAAATTTAGCCATTTCTGAAAATATAAATTTGTGTTAGCTGAGGAAAAACGTTGGTTAATATTCTTTATCTGTTTCAGATTCGAAGCCTCAATCCGAGGTACAAATCAGGCAAAGAGCTTTCCAATCTTCAAACTGGCCTATAAATAAAAATGTTGCAAATGAAGAATATTCTGATACGGATTTCGCTCAAACTCAAAATGGGGACCGCTTGATAAATCCGACACTTCAAGATACAAATGAAAATGCCCGCAATTACTATCCAAATCAAGCAAGATATGCCAATGAATTTAGGTACAACAAAGGACCCATTCTATCACAAAGAGGAGAGGTGGTAGGAAATGATGATTCTTCTGAAGATGGACGTATTTTGGAATCTTATCCTTCAAGGTTTCCTATTAGAGAACCACAAGTTCACTTGGATGACCAACATAAAATAAATTGGCAATCTCCTAATCAATACGCCAGGTCTCAGGTTGTTATATCTGAAAATGAAAGACCTTTGGAGACTATGGAAGAACCATATCGTCCATTACAATATGTGAAACCAAAATATGTTCCACCTGTAAATCAACGATTCCGTCAACCAAACAGGTCATTTCCGGTTAGAGAACAACACCAATATCCAATAACAAGAAATACTGATGATACACAATATGTGGCAAATCCTGCACCTCAATATCCATTAAGAGGGTCTGTTACTTACGAAAATTTCAGCCAAGATCAAGACACACCCCTTGAAACAAGAGCAAGAGTACAAAACACCCAACAAAAATACTTGCAAAATCCTGTTATGATATCACAATCGAGAATAGCTCAAAATGCAGCCCGTGAGAATACTGGTTATGTTGAAAATGACAGATTTAATGCAGATAATAATGCTGCACCGATATCAAACTTCAATAACAAACCTAGTGAAATATCTGTTGTGGGAAATTACGATACGGGAGCTATTAATCTTACTCCTGTGAACGAAGAAAGAGAAGCTCCTATTGAAGTAAATAAAGGTCCACTACATAGGCCTCAGATCCAGAGACATACTGTTAATTTCAGGCCAAACTCCCAATCTCACTGGAGTAATGTTGCACGTCATCAAGCATACAACGTCGCACCTGCCCCAACTAATTATGAAACAGATTTTGATTTGAATAATTCTGGTCCTATTAATGGTAATTCTGAGTCTCCTTCCGTTTCTATAATCCAACGTCCGGTAAGTTCTGAAAATGAAGGTGAACCCAGAAGACCGAATACTGATAATGTGCATCCAGATATAAATTTGTATCGGCAGTTGACTTCAGGAGTACAAAGTAAGTTTTTAAATGCTGTAGTATTCAATAATTATTTATTAGATTTTTTAAGTGAGTATTATTTACTATTTAGTGCTACTTAGTAAAATGTTGAACGAATGATATTTTTCTTTTCAGAATATGATTTTAATAAAATTGTGAGTAACCCTCAAGTGAAAAATATTTTAGCCGCTAATAAAAAACGTTTCATAGTTTTTCACCCAAATGGAACTATTGAAAATTTGGATAATCTTGATTTAGAATCACAGCCAAGTTCTAAGTTCCATTTTGTACACACAAATCCGAAAAATGTCGATTCTGTTGTAACAAAAACTGAAGAAATTAACGAAACTCCAGTTCCACCACGTGCCCCAGCAACTATCGACAAATTACCTGTACACGAGTACAGAGAACCTGCTGATCTAAATCCAAAAGTTATTGACACCGACACTAAACCTTTACCTTTGTATGCATCTGTACCAGTTGAAGAAACTAATTTAAAGGCCTATGCCCCTCTACGAGCTGATGAGAGTCATTCAGCACCACCACTACCACCACCATCACCTCGATTTGTAGCTGTACCAGAAGATGATAAATTAAAGATATCGCATATACCTGAATCTGCGAACGATGAAGAAACTTCAAAACCTGTTCCTCCTAATGAAACTCAACCATTTAATGATAATGCCAAACCCCAATCCGAAGAACCAGCTCAACCAATAAATCAAAATCAGTTCGTACACCCGTACCGTCCATTACCTCCTTACGCAAGAAGACCAATATTAAGGCCTCCATACAAACCTCTGCCACCATATGCAAGAAATAAGTTGCAGCCACTCATCCCACAACGTGACCAATCAGTAAATGATGAAAAATTAAACCCTGTAGTTGAAAATGATGAGCAGCCACGTGAAAACCTTTCAGAAGTGGAAAAAGATAGTACTATGCCATTGAACCCCAAGCCGATAAATTCGGTAGAAAATCCACAAACTCCAGATATTGAAACCGAGCCACAGCCAGATGGTGATAATCCAGCGGGTAATGAGAGACCAAACCTTTCAAAGCCACAAGAAAAGGTGGTAGCATATGATGGAGATTTTCAACCATTAGAAGATGATTCAATATCTACGACTCCAAGTGATGATATCAGTTCTACAACATTATCACCTAATGTGCCTGAAAATAACTTACCCAAAAAAAGAATAAATTTGACTCATAGGCACCCTACGAAAAGTACACCGGGTGAGTAATAAATCTTCAAAAGGTTGATATTGTTGAACAAAAAAAAAAAATAAATAATTCGTTTGCTTAACTTACAGCTACTACAACATCCAATCCGGACAAAAACCAAGAAGACGAAATAATAACAATATCACCAATTGAGTTAATTACTGAAAATGTCAGTGACGTTCCACCAACTACGCCCAGTCCAGTTAAGCAACTTGATCCAGAAGATAGCAAGAAAGATAATGAGCAAACTTCTACAACTTCAATCCCCACCAAAGATGATAAAGAAAAAACAACTACAGAGTCGCCAATCAGTACAACTGTGCCTTCTGATAACGTAGATGACGATGAAGCCGAAACTAATCAACCTACTACAGGTAAGTAAACTTGAGTCTGTCATTATACGCAAGCGATGTGCATTCACGATGCGCCAATCGATGGACAGTCTTAACAGTATATTAGCCATACTGGCACATAAAATCGATGGGCCGTTAATTAGATACAATAGACGGGCAAGTAGATATGTACATCCTGATGTCCATAAAATATTAAGTAATGTTTTCTACCCCATGGATAGAATGTAATATGGTCTGTCTGGTCTGAAATAAAGTTAAATAAAGTCAAAGGGTTGAAATTAATTTAATTAAAAATTAAGTGCAAATATATTTTATATTCCTATAGTTATATAGTTTTTCTTATATCCTATTAAATTAAATAACTTTGAAAAATTGATTTCCTCGTTGCAAGTAGTGCCATTATTCTATATTTTAATATGAAAAAAAGGAAAAGTAGATGAGTTTATTGTTTACACCTAAAATAAATATCAGTCCTTGAAATATAAAGTATATATAAATTACACAGATGCAGATACCCCCGGTGAAGATGCAAAAATAGTGGTTAGTGTCGATTCAGACGACGATGACGAAGATGAGCCTCAAGTTTTTAAAACTAACTGTAAAACCATACAAGCCTATAGCGATGACGAAGATGACGGCGAGGTCAAAATTGGTAAACCTTTAAACTATTATCAATTTTATTTTTAGAAGAGTAAGGGTCTTATTGAGAATTTATTTTCAGATCTACCTAAAGGTAAAGGTAAAGGAGATTCAGCTATGTGGGTGAAAACTACTAATCAAGATTTTATCGACATATTGACCGGTAATGGTGACAACGATATGGACATGATATACGTGTTCAACATTGACTACCGACCCATCATAGAAAGAGAGAAGCACACACAGATGTTCTCTAATGGAACCGTTGTTGTAACCACAAAGGAAATCACATATTCAGGCAAAAATGGTAAATTAATATTTAGTTACATTATTATAATATATAAACTACATGCATTGCATAAGCATGTGGTAGGTATAATTTAAGTGTTACAATTAAGTTTTTTATATATTATGCAGAAAAGCGTGACCGCACATTGGCTACGATCGTAGGCGCGTTTGGGCACGATGCCATAGCATGATGTAAACGCCATTACGCCTAGACCTTTTTATTTTTTGAGAGGGGAACGTCAAACGATATTTCTCGACCAGGGTTAGGCGACAGGGAGTGTTAGACTCTTATTGTCTAAAGACCTCTCCGATCCTTTACCTGCTCCGGGCGGAGGCCTAGCTATTGCGCTTTCACCGCATTATTACGGCTAGACCTGGAACAACGATTCGTACAGTCCATTGGAAAACAACTGGATGATTGTCTATGCAATCGTCCGACCGCTAAAATTTAAATGTTAAAAAAGTAACATATCAATATTTTTTTCATTACAGATTCTAAACCCAAGATTGTGACATCGACTAAAACCATGCAAATTGAAGATTATGATTCAGATGAAGATTAGTTTCGGAAATCTTAATTTGAATAATAGCATAGCTTATTTTGTAATATTTTTTTTTGTTTACATTGTGACCTTAATAAACTATAGAGTTTGTGTACCTCATTTTTTGTAATAAAAGTAAACATATTTAACATTTGGTCGTTGTCGTTTCAATTACCTTTTTAAATCTGAATTTAAAATTATGGACAAAAAATAAATATGTTTTTTTTTTATTTAATAGGTCGGCAAACGAGCAGACGGATTACCTGATGGTAAGCAATCAGCGCCGCCCATGGACACTCGCAACGGAGGAGTTACGAGTGCGTTGCCGACCTTTTAGGGATTAGGGATTTGGAGATTTAGGGATTTAGGAGGGATTGGGGGAGAGTAAGGATTGGGCCTCCGGTAACCTCACTCACACGGCGAAACACAACGCTGTGGTTATTTCACGCCGGTTTTCTGTGAGGCCGTGGTATCACTCCGGTCGAGCCGACCCATTCGTGCCGAAGCATGGTTCTCCCACATTTAAAATAATTGTTACATAATATTAGTAAAACAATCTCCATTTCACCATTTCAAGATCATAAATAAATCATTGCGACTTTATAAGTTTCTAACACCATGTACCAAGATATAAATTTGAAAAATTTGTTTTAAAATTATCTAAATTTCGTAGTGTAAGGCCGAGTATTATTTATTTGTTATTTGTAAGAAAATATGATTTATATTTGTGTGTAATACCTAGAAAATGCGTGCGCTATATAAATGGTACCTGTCCGGTCCGCCTGCGACCCTATAAAAACAAATGACTGTGATTAATATTCACCATTCTTCATCACGTAAAGTTGGCTTTTGTTCGCCGAATGTTAATCCGATTAAAGAATATTTATGATTAATTCAACTATCTAGTAGCTGCAAAAAAAGAAGGGATTACTTTTTATAACTTCGTGTTTTTTTTGTTAAGTTCAATTTATGGAGCGTAGAGACTTTTTGTACGTTTAAAAAAATCATGTTTATTGTTGTTGGATTTGTAGTTAGGGATTAAAGTCGAAAATGTTTTATTCGGAGAAAAATTACCAATAAGGCTATAGAGTAACTTCATCATAATTTGGTGGAAGATATTAAAAAATAAATGAACTAAGTTTAAAGCTATCAGTAGGAATTTTAAAGAAGTTCTCATAGAACTCATCATCTATTCCCTGTGTTGTAGTGTAGCCATTTCTTGTAGTTCTAGAGCAGAAGTTATTAAATATTTTAATATTGCGAAGAGCCTAACTGAACTTATACTTACTTACTTTATGAATAACATAATGAAACTGAAAAGAAATGCGATTGTTAGCGATTTTCTAAATAAAGACCGCAATGGGGAAATTCTTCGAACGCCCTCTGTACTGTCTAGAGTGGGCAAGACACCTCACAAGACCATAGTATGGATTTTTTTTAAAAAAAGAGTATTTTTTGATAATTAGCGGTGTAGTTACAACATGGACACAGTTCGCTCTCTACTATGATTCTTTCTAAATTCTAAGAAGTTTTAAGTATAATAAATCGAGACATAATTCACGTCAAACACAACTGCACTAACAAAAACGTGTAAACAGCTGCAAATCTACTTATAAACACATCTACTAATAAATCATCAAAGTCAATACACTGAATAACATACTCTTTCAGAACACAAGAGTTATTAACAAAAACATACCTACTGCATTTTAAAATAGACACGTTTTTCCTTTGTCTGAGGTAGATAACAAGGAACTATATAAATAATTGAATTGTTCCTACAAGTTTGTCTCAAGTTCTTTGTTGTGATTCTTGCAAACAGAACTATAAATCTAGTTTGTAAGGATTCTCTCGTAAACTTGAGCTTAAGATGTTGTATTCATGGTCTTGGTGACGCGAGTTACACGTATAATCCTTACAATGTCAGTAGAATGTCTCCAGCTACAATACATTACGTGTCGAATGGAAAATAGTCTTTAACTCTTTGCAATATAGGATATGTGAAAGTCGTATAGATGTCAATTCTACTAAAGAAGTCGCTTAAATGTGCCAATCTATTCAACTATGTAGCAGTCGAATTGGAAAATAAAATAGCCTTTTCCCACACGATTCATTTAGACGTATAGATGGCGTGAGGATAATGGCAGGGTATGGATATTAAGAAGTAAAAAATGAAAGCTAAATAAGATTTAAAACAATAGTATTATTGTGAACCTGTATTATTCATTCCGGGCATAGGGGATTTTTAGTCAGAAAGAATCTGACTCTTATTTGATAATTTTCCCTTCGCAAAAAAGGATATTATCTATCTACACACTAGGTAAATATGAACCAAATTAATCCAGCCGTTTTTGAATAGGAGACTAAAATCCATATATTCTCAAAAACAAACACATTTATACTATTAGAGGATAATGACCACACAACGTCAGAACAGATAGAAACCACTAATATAAGCATTTAAGTATTTATTTCGGTTGTACGTTCAATTGCAGCTGACCGCAATAACAGGTGTTCTGGGAATTTGCGGCTACCATCGCAGCGTTATAATATTTGAATTTGTGTCCCACAAGTTCTCAAATTCGATTTACTAAATGTCTCTCGGTTTTTGATGATTACCGATATTATTTGGGGCGTTGTTATGCAATGGTTGTATTTGTATCCTGTATTTGTATCCTGAAGTTTCTTGGGGGACTATTAAAAATAGACTATTTCGACATTGTTATTTGTTGTTGTGTCCCTAGGTAATAATGTGGTCGTGTGATGATCTCCGGCCACCTTTAGTGCGGGTCTGCGGACGTCGAGTAACCCTTGTTCGCTGCCCAACAAGAATCAGACCTGAGCATATGGTGCGTAGCGTACCGCGCGCGCCTCAAAGAGCCAACAGACCAGCACATACGGGCCCACCTCGAGCTGACGCCCAGCCCAAGTTATGGGTCAAACACCATAATGTGCCGCAGCCCCAACCTGAAGCAGGAGAAAAATCGGAATGGTTTTAGTCACTAAGAAACTTCGCTCTCGGCCCACGCAGGGCAAGTCATATGATGATTTCTTAAAAAAACTTAATCAAGTGGTGGCTGGTGGTCTGTCGAAAAATACTAAGTGTGCCATTAACAATGAAGCAAGTGAAGGTTGTGCGAGGGATAATACGGAAGGAAAATCCTAACAAGCAACTGTTGTTGCAAAGTTGTGTTGTAAAAATTGTGTAGCAACTATTTTTGGGGTTGAAAAGTATTGGGGGTGAAAAGTGTTTAACCACGTCAAACTGAATCGTCAATACAACATTAGTACGCACTTGAAGTGAGACTTCGCCACAACAAAAGGACGTTTAAATATTTTAATGTTGGTTTATTCTGGCAAAACTGTACGACATAATTAATGGCTACATTTCAAGCTTAGGGTTTTGCAAACGAGAACTATAATAATACAAAGCAAAGTTGTTCATAGAAGGTCTCTAAAATTGAAAACTCTCCGTAATTTACTATTCCTCGAAATTGGGCCGTTGGCTCTGCTACAACAAACCGACCGACGCGAATTTCTTAGAAATGGTCCCAAGTTCAAAATATATAATATACTTAACAAGAACACTTCACAGTTTCAAGTAAATGTCAATTTACGGTTCAATGCGTCGTTACCATATTCTCAGTATAACCAAAAAGCTAACAGAATAACATAAATACTGTGTAACTAAGCACTTGTACAGCTGTTTGTCATTCAGTAAATAAGTAATGCGATTGGCCTTCTTCGACTTAGTTAGAACATAAGTAGAACCTTTTGTTATTCATTGCGGGCCTACAATAGGTACTCGAGACGGTTCTTTGTAAATTAAGAATTATATTCTCTGTTAAGGAGAAATAGGAGCAAGTCGATGATTTATTTATCAATCGGTCAAATGAAAATCTATGGGTGAAGCAATTTTGAATAAAACTTAGGTACTAAAATGTATAGTAATAGATAAATGATTTTTATAAGTGCTGCAAATTGTGATATTGCCCGTGTTACATATAAGTCGGCCATCCCTTATATTAGATTAGGTTTTCTTGGAAAGACTAAGCGGGCAATTTTCATGTAAGTACCTACCTAAATAATAGTTCTGATTTTATTAAAGTAATTTTATTTTGTTTTGTAGGTACGTAGTAGTTTTTTCGGAAAATATGTTTGAGATATAAAAATCGAATCAATTTTGATAAATCATCTTTTGCGTCGCCTTACATTTTTGTAGGGCTCAATAAATCCTTGTCGTTGATTGATTGTTCTCTAAGTAATTTAGATAGATAGGGGCCTTTATTTTTTTGATAGTGATCGATGGTGGCGGCAGGTCTGCGAAATACGTGTAGGTCTCAAGTCATCTAGTATTTTTTTTTGCGATAAATGAAGCAAACATGTTCGGGGCATTTAAGTGGCTGGAGTAGATTACTTCACAGGATATTTTAAGTAACACGATGCGGGAGGATCCAATCTCCTCATAATGCTGCGTCATCGGCTAACGAGCGAGGTTTATTCCCTTTTTATCCAGAGGATTACATCCCTTCGGGTGAGCGAGCAGGGAAAAAGTTCGTGGGGAGAGTCTCGGTCTCGGCTAATGGCACGCTGTGGTACAATTTCCCTACCTACCTAAGGAGGTGGCAAGACAGTAATAAAGAAAATTGCGATTTTCATTTTCGTTCGTGAACCTTCGAGTAATTGCTTCCACTAATGTACTTAGTTATCTTTTTGAGTGGTAGCTCGAAAGAAATTGCGGTCGCCACGTCTGAAGCGAGTGGACAATCAAAAACAATGCTACTTTTATTTAATATGAAACGATATAATTGAATTAGATTCTGAGTAGAAGAAAATTGCGGTTTTTGATAACGTCCTCGAGGGTATCAAAAATAATTTGATGCTATTAAAACCTTATTTCATATTAAGTCCAGTTACTATAAAGCACGATACAGAATAAACTTGTGAACAAAAAACAAGAAAAGGGCTTACCTTCAGAAATGACCTTCTCCGTCATTTCTGTAAAGCGGATTACCTGCTGAAACAACATTAGATTGTGTAACCGAGGTGTTATGTAATACCACGTTTTCGTGGTCTAAGCACAAGCAACTAGATCAGCTAATTTTGATTTA